GAATGCTAGTTGAACTGGGAATGCTAGTTGAACTGGGAATGCTAGTTGCCAGCGCTGTCAAAACTTTTCAAGCTATCATAGCGCTGTAAAATAGCGTTCTCACCCCCTTCAAAACCCCGCTGCGGTAGGAAACAAATCCCGCCAAAATGGACGATGACGCAGAGAGACGAATGATGGTTATCGACGCCACTGAAACGATGATGGAAGATCTGGCACGACGACTGGATGATGGATCCACAAGCAGCAACCCTGGCGCGAGCAGGGCACTGCTCGACCGGGCGCGTTTCGTGCTCCAAGGCGCCAAGTGGGAACTTCAGGATGCGCAAGCGCTCAAAGCTAAATTGAAGAAAATGGTTGATAAAGCAGAGCGAGCCAAGCAAGTAGACATCCTTGTCACCATTGAATTGGAGTGCTCTTGATTAGTTCATTGTTTAGTCTAACAAGAGCGAGCCTGTCAAGTCTCAGATTGCGACGACGCAAAGCAGCTTCTCGATGGCCTAGCGAAGCAGGGCATGTCCGTCGACTCGAAACTGGAAAAGGTGGTGACGAAGGACGACCTGGACGACTTCAAGCGAGAGCTGCAGCAGCGCTTGACTGCTGAGATCCGGTAGATCGCGCACAAGCCGGGCGAGATCAACCAATCGAAAAATCTCGTCAACGAGCCCCCTGCAAACCTCGCCGACGCCAACGAGGAAGATGACCCGCTCGTCCAGCATGAAGTTGAAGCGAGAGGTACCAAGAGAAAAAGGGTGGAGGCTTCCGACAGTCAACCGGAGCAAGCCCGTCTGAGCGAGCACGGAGAGCATGACCTCGCAAAGTTCACACCGTCAAACTCTCCTGCGGCCGCCATCCTCCAGCGACTGGTGCCGCCTTGGACCACTGGGTTTCCGAACTTCATCCGCTTGGCCCTCCGCAAAATCTGGGCGGAAGAGATTTGGAACACTCAAGTGATCCTGGTATTCATGGACAACACCAAGCTCAGACGATGGTGTTGTGTCCGGGGGGCAACAGAACTTCACCACAGTGCCTCGCGCCTAAATGCGCAACCTGACGGCAACTGCTTGTTTTGCGATGGCGACTGTCTCCAGATCGCTGATCGGCGATAGGGGAAGTCCCCACTTCTAGGAAGTTTCGTGTTCGCTTGGTGTCCGCCTCAGACTTCAAGCGTCAGACAGCGAAGTGAGCTGCTGGAGATCATCCCCGTGTTTCCTGGCATATCGTTTCGGTTGGAGGATCAAGAGGATTAGACAGAGGGTTTTCGGCTGACGAATCATGTATGTGGCGCAGAGTTTGGTGGGAGCAAGTACGGTACATGTATATACAGAGAGAGGAACCACGCGGCCGGGTAATTCGGCCAAGGACTTGGGAGATTATGAACAGGCAGGCTAAGGACTGTGTTAGGGGTCTCGTCGACAGCGTGGGCAGAATCCAGGTGGACAATTGGGTAGCCGCAAACGCCTTATAAGATCGCTTCGAAATGCGACCAAGCTAACACAAGGTCAACCTACACACGGCCCCCTTTCGGGCCCGCACTATTCTTCCCCTGAAATACCGTGTCAGAAGCCGTAGCCCCTCCCTCACTCGTCATCCTCCAATTCCTCAACTCGTGGCGCCATGTAGCTGCGCTGTTGCGGAGCGGTAGACACCTGAGTGTCAGTCGCAGTTGTGGTGGCCGTGGCCGGGGCAGGCTGTCCAGTGGTGGCGGAGAAGGTAGCTCCGGCAGTAGCTGAGCCAGACGACTTCTTGGTCTTCTTCTTTTTCTTGTTGGCGGCAGGCTGCGAAACCGTCAGTACGTAAGAGAGGCAGAAGGAACCGGAAAACTGACCTCATGCCACGCCCAGACAGGCTTGAAGCTGTCGATGACCGAGACATCCTCCCAAAGATTCGGGAACAGCCAAAAACCCGGCGGCAGGATAAAGTAGGTTATGCAGAACAGGATAACCCGGAAGATAGCCATGGCAAAGAACAGGCCCATGAAGCACAAGAATCCCCAGCTCAGGTAGTAGCCTCCCTGGCGCAGCTTCATCGGCCACAGCGGGTAGCAGACGACGGCGAAGATCGCCGCCAGCGCCAGCGCCGCGTACACCTTGCGCATGACCTGGCTGCCTTCCCACAGCCAGACGTAGTACATCTCGTCGCCAGCCTCCTGCTGGGGCTCGATGCGCACCGTCCACAGGCCCTTGACGCGCTTGCCCTGCTTCTTGGGGGGCGCGTGGTCGTGGCCCTCGTGCGGGTCGGACTTGACGACGCGGAGCGCAAGCATCGACATCGGGAGCAGCTTGAAGGTGTTCTCGAGCGAGGCGCGGTCAGTAATCTCGGGCAGCTCGGGGTTCTTCTTGCGCGCGGCCTTGTAGGCGTCTGACTCGAGGGCGCGGAGGGCGCGTTTGACCTGACAGGCCGTTAGGAATGGCTGAAGTCTGGAGATCAAGCGGGACGTACTCTGAACATGTCCTTACGCTCGCCATTCAGGATGACGGTGCGCGGCTTGAGGTTCTGACCGCGCAGGAACTTGGCGAGAGCCAGCGCAACTGGGTTCGGGGGGCCTGGTACGATGGGCTGGGGTTGACCGTGGCCGTGCTGGTGCTGGTGCTGGTGAGGGTGTGGATGCGGATGTTGGTGTTGATGCTGGTGACCGGGCTGGCCTTGTTGGCCTTGCTGCTGCTGCGTTTGCATCCGCTCGGCGGCTTGTCGCTTGAGATGTTCTGCAGCTCTGGATTAGCTAGAGTCGATCGACTTGACTGACGACGAGCTCACCGATGAATTGCGGCACCGTCATGCCCATCTTCTCTGCATCCATCGCCAGTTGCCGTTGCATCGCAGCGATCTGTTCTGGGCTGGGCATCATGGGCATCTGGCCTCCCTGCGGAGGACCCTGAGGAGGAGGAGTCTGCATTGCTCCCGAGCCTTGCGATCGGGTTGCGCGAGAAATTGGTTGCACCTGCGCTCAAAGCTGGTGAGACTTAACGTGGAGAATGTTGACAGTTGTGCTGCGATTTGTCCAGCAGGTGAGTGTGGGACTGGCTGCTTTGTGGGCGTTTGCAGCATCTGACGTTGAATCGGCACAAATCCGTACACGTATCTCAGATCACCCTTGTCGTTTGTTCCTGACCAAGAAGGCTTGGCGACGGAGACCAGCCTTAAGTGTACGGATGTACATAGCCTGGGGTTCTGCAGCGGAGGAAGCGTCAACGTTTTCCCGGAATGGGACATGAGCTGAGCACGAGCCATGTGACCAGGGCTCCTGTGGCTGTGGCCGGGGCTTTTTCCACGGATGTTTGTAGTGGTCTCAGCCACTGCCGTTTTACATGATGATCATTTAATTTTGCTTCCTTCTCCGCTTCCAGGACAGAGCCCGAGAGCACGCACACTTTGAAGCCCATCCGACGAACCCTTTGGAGCCGTTCAACAACTTTGACATAAGAAGGGGGACTCGGTTGCACGTGTTTGTGCGACATGCTACACCCGGCGCCCTATCCGATGGCCTGCCTCATCGAGGCGCGCTGTGGGCCACTCGATTTTGACAGTCAAGTTTCCCGCAGCTTCTGAGTCAGCCCAACGCGCGACTGCTCAATGGTATCCGTATTATCGCGTTCGAAAACAAGCTGTCGTCCTGCAACCTCTGCGGCCGGGCCATTGCTGTCAAACTTGTTTGCCTCTTAGCTTTGCTCCACACACACTGACTGCAGGATCTGTCTACACACCACAAAAAGGTTGAGCAGGCAACTCGGATCCCTTACAACGATTCGGCGCAAACCAATCCGGCGCGGCGGCCGGCTTTTGAAAAAAACACATACCCGTTGATGCAACGGTACCTTGCAGCCGCCTGTCGGATGGCCAGCATCCACCGAGATCGAAACATGTCAGCAGGGGTCTTTCCATGTCCGGATACGACAGATCTCAACGACGCCCTCCGCGCCGTAGGGCCCGTTTCAAGAAAGAATAGCAGCGACCCGTTGTCCGGCTTCCATCAGATTTTAATCCATTCCTGCTCATTGCCAAATGAGAGGATTGGCCCACCGAAACAGGGCCAATATTGACGGCCACGAGGCCCCCCTTTTGCAGACCCTTGTGGCAATGCGGCCTCGATGGTGGCCGCTGTCCAAGGAAAAGAGTGAGACATTTGAACGCGGTGCGGCACCTTTCGCGAGCTGTCACTGGTTGAGCTCCCAGGCTGGGTGTGTACGGCTGTCCGCGACCTCACCCTCCCCCGGTTTTGTAAGCGCCAACTGGTTCCTCGGTCGGGCTACACCAGCCTATCAGATGCCGCCCCTTGTGACCTCACATCAGACCACTGTCCACCATTTGATCAGCATGCTCAGCAGAGCATGCAACAATCTCATCGGGCAGCACGATGTTATGTAAAGATGGCTGGTCCGTCAACGCCGCCGCGTTGTGACTTCCTTCCGTCGTGTGCTTTGTGACCTTTCTTTGTCTCCGGGTGCTGGTCGCTGGACGCCCCTCGTTTCTTTTTCTTGAGGCATGAAGCCTTCACTTTCTCTTCGCTAGGTGCATAAAACGCGGCATCATCATGTCGGCAGCCTTATCCTCGTGGTTTAGTTCCCTAACATCATGTTTCGGCACTCGAAAGAGGACTGGAACAAGTAAGTCCGGTCGGGTTCTCGTATCTGGCTATGTGCTAAACCTGGCAGGCATTGAAAAGAACATCGTCGTCTTGCGAGACCAGCCTGCCGCCATCCCACGGCCGTCGGCGGAGCCGCTATGGTCGAGTGAGAGGACGTATGAGAAGACGCTAGAGCGTGAGAGGGAGAGGACGCGACTTAGGAGACCAGCTAGCAGGGGGAGTTTTGCTAGGAAAAACTGGTTTGGAAGGCCCTCATCATCAGTACACCGGCTGCGGATATCAGGGCCGACCAATTTCCGTCACCTACAATCCGAGTCATTCCAGTTTCCACCGCAGCCGTCGCGGCCACGCCCGCGTTCGTTCCGCCCGATCGAGCTGAGTATCTACGAGCCACAAAACCGGTTATCACCAATTCTGCCGCACCTCGAGTGGGATATCACGCCACCACCGCGGGCCTACACGGCCAACAGCTCTCGATGGGATGCCAGCAGCGGCACGACGCTCCACAACGAGCGGAGCTTCTCGTCAATGTCATTCCACCTCCCTCGAAAGCATGTCCGACATGAGTCTGGCCTCTCGGACACCAGCATGAATCCGCCAAGGATACCGCCCAAGTCACGAGCGCGTGCGTCCACCGCTCCTAACCCCGGGCGTATCGTTGAAAGAATTGCCAGTGCGATCCTCGAGAAAGAGCGGCTGCTGGCCGAGATCGACTCGGTGATTGAGCGGCAGAGTATCTATTTGGGCAGCCGGCCCTCAACCGGCTATGACATGCGGGGTATGTTTGAACTCATCAGACGTGTGAGATCTTTGCTAAATGTTCTAGACCTCGAGCCAATGCCGTCAATCCCGGCGCTGCCTGCGGCAGCCCCCTCATTTGCGGAGCGACTCAGCATCGATGACCGCCCGCGCACCGCTCCGTCCCAGATGAGAAGCATAACGGTGCAAGAAAAGACGCTGGAGCTCACGGCCGCCGCACAGTCTCAGCCATCACAAACGCCCTACGACGCCTCTCAATATCGCTCCTCCCGCGAAAACGACGACGAGCACCGCGAACCGCCGCTGGCCCCTCCTCTCCCCCTCGTCTTGAGGCCACCACTACGCAAGAAGAAGTCCTTCTCGCGCATCTCCAACTGGCTGTTCCACCCGGACGAGACCCGTCAGAGCAGCACCGACTCGTCACCAACCATGGTTATAACCACGTCGCCGCGGCCCATCAAAGATTCCGACGGCTTTTATCAATGCTTGGCGCCGCCCGAGGGCCTGCCGCGCACCAGCATGGAGACGTCGTCGTCAGTCTACACGTGGGAGTCACGGTCAGAAGACGACGAAGAGGAGACTAAGACGGTGCCTACCACGACGGCCTGGTCGCCGGAGCAGACGCCTAAGCAGGGGTCGTCAAGGCATACCACGCCCGTGATCGGGGTGGCTAAGGCAGGGTCAGGATCCGAGAAGGGGACAAGAGGCGCGCTGGGCGTCGCTGCTAACTCTTTGGACGGACACCGGCCGCTGAGCGTAGGTGTTGCGATTTAGTCATATTTTCCGATTGTTTCTCTGAGGATATACCCGTGTACTGTGTACGATAGGGCTGGGATAGACCTGGGTACGGGAAAAGGATGGCCTGCTGTCGAGCTGGATGCTTGGCGTTGCGTGGCAACTGGGGGTTAATGGAGGGGTTATTTACGGCGGTTTGTGTTGACTACTGCTATATGATACCATGGCGTTGCGTTGTTGAGAGCCAGCTCCCTTTGATAGACACGGAATTGCAACAGATGATTTGCTGGCATACCATTTTCCCTTGGCTTGAGGGTTGCGAATTTGAACTGTTGTCAGTGATGTTCGTATCCGCCGTACGTGCATGTCTTGGATCAATATCACGCCCTGCGGAAATGCCTAGCCGCCCGTAATGTCTTGAGTGTCTCGGCATGAAGTGTCACGAGATGGAGGATGGGGATTACATAATGCAAGAGCGATCGCACTGAAACAGGTAGGGCATTTGCACCTTGCTGGCAGCTTGTGCCGCGACAATGCTTAATATTATCAGTTTTATGGGAAGCTGCTTTGGAAGCTTTTCCGTTAAGATCGTGCATTTCAGGTGGGAGGACGGTTCCTCCGCCTCGGTCTGCAACCACGGAGTGTGTCTTGGGGTCAACATCGGTCAGACGCCGCAATGCCAGATAGTTAGCCCCTTGCGCAGCTCTTTGTGGTCGCACCGACTGGCAAAACCGTATTTCAGGCCCATCGTCCCCTTTGTAAGCGCCTTGCTTGCCTCTGCTTTGGTACAGTGTATCGTCCCGTCATGTTTTAGACCTACTCCTGGCGAATCTTGAATTTAAACGCCTCTGAAGGCCTCACCGGATCTTCGCCAGGAAACCTTAAGAGTAGCTAGTATACCAGAAGGGTTTCCGTCTTGGAAGTGGTCGGTTGTGTCTCGCAAGAGGCCGTGACGCTTTCCCGAGTTACCTTCGCGGGGCTTCTTGGGGCTCCTGGGTGGAGATCTGAAAAGACAGCATGATTGGCCCACGATCATAACCCGTGCACGTCAGACTCCTGTCGACTACAAAAACGCCCAAATTCCTCTGAGCAGTCACGTCAGAGTTGGGAAATCGATGACAGGTTGTGATGCTGGACATCATATAAAACGCGCTTCTGCAAAAGTGAGGATGACAGCCGTCGCTTGCTGCAGGCGTTTGAACCCTGGCCGCTTACGCCCAACGTCGACTCTCCGATATTCCTGAATCGTTCCCCTTAGAACGACCGCCCTCGTCCAGAAACATGGTCGTCCTCCTCAACCACATGCGGAGATCTCGCTCCCCATACATGTCCATACCGGATGAAGGGGACGAGAAAAATGAACATGAAGTCTCCATTCGGCCCAAACGGTTCGGATTCCTAGAGTTCCGTGGCTGGAGCGTCGGATTGGGCCGCTACGAGGTTGTCAACTGTATCATATGTTTATCAATAATGGTACTGGTTCTCTACCCTGTTTCGTAAGTGGAAGTCTGCAAAAAGCGTGCGGCTGCTCTATCACTAACCAACCAGATTTCTGTGGATACCCATGACGTGGGAATGCGACCACAAAAACAATGGCTTTGTGTGTGGCACTCCCATATCCCGCTCCTGGGGTCAATACTCGCCGTACTTCCCAGTGCCGTCCGAGGTCGACCCCGACATTCCACCGGGCTGCAAGCCCACCTTCGTGCAAGTCCTCTCGCGCCATGGTGCCAGGGCTCCGACTCTGGGGAAAGCCAAGTACTACGCCAGCCTCATAGACAGGATCCACAAACAGACTGTCGATTACGGCAAGGATGTCAAGTTCCTTCGAACATATACATACTCGCTCGGCGCTGAGCAGCTGACCCCGTTTGGCCAACATCAAATGTTCAACTCGGGTTGGAGATTCTACGAACGGTACCGCTCGCTCGCCAGCCAGTCTGTGCCCTTCGTTCGCGCCGGCGGCCAGGCCCGTGTTGTGCAGTCCGCCCAGAAGTTCACAGAGGGCTACCATTCGCTCCTTAGCTGCCACCATCTCGGCGGCGACGACACTTTACCTGAATACCCCTACGAAATAGTCGTCATCCCGGAAACGCCTACCACCAACAACACACTCCACCACAGCCTCTGCCCGGCCTTCGAGAATGGTACCTACTCCGCCGTCGGCACCAGCGCACAAGCGGCCTACCTACCCACCTTCGCCCCGCGCATCACCGCCCGGCTCAACAGCCGCCTCCCCGGCGCGAACCTCACCGACGCCGATACCATCGCGTTGATGGACCTCTGCCCCTTCGAGACCGTCTCCCAATCTTCCACCGGCACCACCCTCTCCCCTTTCTGCAACCTCTTCACCCACGCCGAGTGGCAGTCTTACGACTATTATCAGTCGCTGGGCAAGTGGTACGGCTTCGGCCCCGGCAACCCGCTCGGCCCGACGCAGGGCGTGGGCTTCGTCAACGAACTGATCGCGCGTCTCACGCGGTCGCCTGTGCGGGACGGCACCAGCACGAATAGGACGCTGGACGCGGATGAGAGGACGTTCCCGCTGAACAGGACGCTGTACGCGGATTTTAGCCACGATAATGACATGATGACCGTGCTGGGCGCGCTACGGGTGTATGAGAGCGTTGGGATGCTGGATAATAGCACGAGGACGGGGCCGGAGAAGAATGGAGGGTACTCGGCTAGCTGGGCGGTGCCGTTTGCGGCGCGGGTTTATGTCGAGAAGATGAGTTGCCGTGGTGGGAATGAGGAGATGGTCAGGGTGCTGGTGAATGATCGGGTCATACCGCTCAGGGGGTGCGGTGCGAATAATTGGGGGATGTGTACGCTCAGCCGGTTCGTGGACAGCATGGCGTTTGCGAGGGGCAATGGGCGGTGGGATTCGTGCTTTGCTTGAAACCATACTCAGGTATCGAAGATTGGATCGGGGTCAGCGATTGATGAGGCCCGGCTTCCTTGCTCTGCTTTCATTCAGAAAGTAACGTACTCCATCGCCCCAGCCCATCGGGGGCTTCGGCCCAGTCCAAGATTCCAAGCTTGCGAGTTTGGTGTACAGCTCACACTGTAGTGTCCAAAAATCTCTGATTCTATCTGGTTACTCCGGACAGCCAGCCAGACGTGACAAAGAGATGGCTCCATAGGGTTAGGCTTAGATGTCGGATCTCTGAGGACACTTGATCCAGCCTTGGCGTCATCAGCGGGGCGTCACAAGGCTGAGGGGCTGCTGTTTTCGGTTTCGGGCTGCCGGCCCTTTCGGAACGAACCCAGTTGCATTCCTCAAGCGACCGACCCGACACGAGGTCGCCAACAAGGCAGCTGGCATGCAACCTGGCACTTGCACCTTCCCATCGCACAACCTGACCTCACGCAACAATCGAGGCGTGCGCTCATTTCTCATAGCGTACCGACCAAATCGGGCCCACAACCATGAACACGGCAGGCGCAGTCGTGCTCGCCATCGTCCTGGCGCTGATCGCGGCCGCGGCCGGGTGGGTGATCTTCACTCGTGTCCGGGCATCAAGACTAGGGGTAAGCTTCGTCTTGATCAAATTTTTCGCCATACTCTCTGGCAGCTAACAGCCAGAAGTTACCTCCGCCCCCCTGGCGATCGTACATCCCCTTCCTCAAGTCCTCGTCCTCGTCCTACGGCGGCCCCGCCCCCGCCCCGGGCGGCATCATCGGCTGGATCAACGACCGCATCCGAATCATGCGCTATGGTCGCAACACCCGCACCGCCGCCGGCGCCTATGAGAGCTCGTCGTCCTACAACGCCGGCTATTCTGGCACGACAGGAGGTAATCGCGGCTTCGACCACCTCGACGACGACCCCTGGGATTCGCGGGTCGGCGGGTATAACCCGTACGAGGAGGAGCGCGAATTGGGATTGGCGCCGCCGAGCGGCTATGAAGGACACCAACAGCATGCGGGGTTCCGGCCGGAGGGCGAAGGGTACCAGATGAACTTGCCCGTTGACCCAGCGGAGGAGGAGCCGAGGGGCCGGAAAAGGAGTCGGTCGCCAGGGCCGTCGGCAAAGTCGAATCCGTTTGGGGACAACGCTGAGCCGAGTAACATCAGCTTGAGGGGTGTTAGCCCGCGGCCGATGGAGACGTCGTTTGCCGGGCGGAAGGCGGGGAAGGCGGAAGAGGACCATGACAGGAGGTCGATATTTCGGGAGGTGATGTAATTTTGTATGAATGGTTGATTACGGGTTGCCGGTCAACGTTGTGCATTGTGTGTGTTTCCACTGCTACAGTATGGACCATTACGTCTTTGGGAGGGTGGTTTGGATGGCGTTCGATCGGTTGCTTTGTCTTATCGCGCTGCTGTGGGGTTATACGCACTTCATCAGGACATCTACTTGTTACAATGCCATATATGTGTCTACGAACGGTGGGCAACCTGTAATATTTCTGTGGTTGTCTGCTCAACACTTCCGGCTCCGGCTTGGACGGTTATCGGGGCGTGACATCCACTGGGACAGGAGTCCGTCTCCGTGGTGACGATCCTGAGCTCAGAAACACGAGAAGGCTACCAAGGCCGAAAGAGCCGGAAGAGCTAACACCAAACCATTGATGTACCCAAAGGGAGCCTTGAACGCATCAAGCCACGCCGGCGGCCGACCTTCAAGCTGGGATACTCCACGGCCCAGGATGTGGATTTGCTTGGGATGTGGTATAGGTATGTACAGTAGCTTGAAACCCCAGCTGTGATCGGCGGTGCCGACAGCTACCCCGCTACCCCACCGTCAACAGCTAAGACCCCTCGCCAAGTGTCTGCCTTCACCCTTGAGAGCACTCCTACGGCCTGAAAGAATCCCCGACGCAACAATGGCAGACATCGACCTCCAAGCAGTTCACGACACGCTGGTGTCGGTCGCCTTTGAGGCGGGCCGCATGATCCTGGCTGCGAACCCCAGCAGCATCTCTACAGACACCAAGCTGAACGGTCCGCCCTCCCCTCCCCACTCGTTTCACTCGCTCTAGCTCACCTTGTATTACCTTCCCCAGCCGTCGACATCGTCACTGAAACCGACCAAGCCGTCGAGCGCATGGTCTCGTCCCGGCTACGCGACGCGTACCCATCCTTCGCCTTTGTCGGCGAAGAGACGTACCAAGCCGGCGTGACGCGCATCACGGACGCGCCGACCTTCATCGTCGACCCCATCGACGGCACCACCAACTTTGTCCACTCGTTCCCCAACGCCTGCATCTCCCTCGGGTTGGCTGTCGACCGCCAGCCCGCCGTCGGCGTCGTCTACAACCCATTCCAGGACCTGCTCTTCACGGGCATCCGGGGCCGGGGCAGCTACATGCAGCGGAATGCCTCGCTCGAGGCGGGCAAGGGGCTAGGGGAGAAGGTGAAGCTGCCGCTGGGCGGGGCGAATCCGCCTGCGCTGGGAGACCTCAGCTCGGCGCTCGTGTCGATTGAATGGGGCAGTCAGAGGGACGGGGAGAATTTCGAGGTAAAGGCACGCACATTTAGGAAGCTGGCGGCCGCGCGGGAGAATGGGGGCGCCATGGTGGGGGGGATGAGGTCGTTGGGCAGTGCGGCGCTGAATCTGTGTGCCTGTGCGGCCGGGCAGCTTGATGTGTACTGGGAGGGCGGCTGCTACGCGTGGGACGTCGCGGCTGGGTGGTGTATCCTGAATGAGGCCGGCGGCCGGATGGTGAGCGGTAACCCGGGAATTTGGGACACGGAGCTGGACTCGCGTGTGTACTTGGCGGTTAGGGGTGCCCGCAGTGGGCTGAAGGAGCTGGTGGAAGAGTTCTGGAAGGTCATTGGGGATGGTAAGATGGATTACAAGCATTAGAGACTGGCGAGCAACTTAGGCGCCGGTTTGGATACTCGATAGAATAGACGGCGGGAACACTATCGCCCAACAGAAGACACGACCTCCAAACAATACACCACACCCGCCACAGTGGAACTTTAGAAGAGCGGAGGGACACCAGGTATGGTTGGCTGCCTCGGCCGGGTACATGTTCCGGTGCTGTCCCAGTCTGGTGCCCCCCTGGGCTTGTTGTCACGAGGTGTAGTCGCGTGTCCAAGGGTCACGGTGGTGATTCGAAACAGCTAGAGGAAGGTTTCTCCTGACGCAGCATGTCCGGGGGAATGACGAAGCTGCTCATGGCTATTTGATTGTCATACCCACCACCACAGTAGGATACACGTCCGAGAACTGCCGCAGTAACTCACGCGGCTGTTGATAGCCTGATAGCCTGATCAGTTTCCTGTCTCGAGTGACGCATTGGATGGTGATACTGCATTTGAGTGCGCCGACCAGCAGCATGTCCCGGATCCGCTTATCTATTCCGTTTCACGACAGGCGCAGAAGCTTTCTCGGACGGACTTGACTCTGAGATAAGGTAAGTGTATGAGCTCTGCAGATGTATATACGAATCGAGTTCCAGATTGAGGATTGTGAGGCTGCCGCCGAGAACCTTAACGGTACGACATGTTGCTTCCGTCCCCTTCCAGATATGGCAGCCAAGCACTTGACCATGGATGCTGTACGTTCACGAACACCCACTCTATTTGCCTTAGATACACAGATGGCTAAGTCTCAATGCCAGATGAAAAACATCTTACTCTGGTACGGTTCAATCATCTCGCCTTCGCCTCGTTGAATGCGAGTAGGTACCTCTGATGTTAACAGCCGCTCCGTCACACACGGTGCGCAGGGAGAATGCCCGAGTCCGGGGAGCGCCGGACCGGGCGGGAAAGGAGAAGGCATGCGGAACGGCGCCATGCATATGCAGGCGGCGCAGCAGTCTAGCCGCAACGCCTGAAAGGACTGTTGTTATCTGCTGTTGATAAGCATCTGGCACGCCATTGCACCTGGACGTTATCTTTTCTATCAGAGCGCTATCATGGAGTTGCAGTCTTGGACGCGGCTCGTCTTTACATACCTTGGACTGTTGTACTGTACAAAGTACGGGCCGACACCGGTGCCATTCGATGCAAGTTGTTATCCGCAACTGCGAGAGTGTGAAAACTATGCCCTTCGTCTAGATAAGCGAGCGAGCTGTCCACACCATCAGAGCGATGGAAAAAGTTCGGAATCAGAGTTGGCACAGCCTTCAAATGCCGGGCCGAAACATGACGGTTTCAAGGTTTTGGACGAGCTTGCTCACCGATCGGTTACACAAGGTTTCACTCCAATTCAGCCAGCAACTTGAGGGCTCCAGATAAGAAGCCGAGGAAGCCTCCCGCCGGGAGCGGTATCGGCTGCAAGCAGGCTTTCCAGCCCGGGACAACATTGCAGAGGCAGTTTTATTCCACGTCCAGCCGAGATATGCGCGTGTTTCTGCAGCGAGCTCTGTGCGCCAGACCGACGGTGAACAGGATGATATGACGGCAACCGACCAATCCCAGGGTTTTGATGACCGACAGAAAATGCAGCGTCGTTGCTATCGGATCAGAAGCAGGGAAGTTCTGGGCCACGAATCTTGGCTTCTGGTTGCATGCAGATGCGACAGGGACCCTTGTTCGGACCGTTACAATATTAGCCGACAGTGTTGGTCAGGAGCCACACCGACTTGCTTTGCGTCCCCAGATATGGTATAGGGAGTTCTTCCGGTCAGGCGGCCACGGCAGAGTCAGCTACACATATATATCAACAAACAATGCCGTTTTTGCAATACCTTGACGTGGGCGGTATATTTTGTGCACTAGTTACCCCAGGTTGTGTACAGAAACAGCACCAAGACGTTTCTGGAAGAAACGATAAGCTCCACACAGTGTCCGCACAGTTAGTGGATTCAAAGCCACCGAAATATTTCATGGAGGGGCTGAGAGGGGCAACCTGTCTTCCGGCGGGGCCTCATCTGCATCCGTCGCGCAACATGCTCCTGGTTGTCGAATCTGAGATATTGCAGCCATGTCAGTCATGTCAACAGGACCGAGGCCGCATGAGTAGGATGGGCGGGGAAGTATCTTTGAGGGTCGGCGTGCCCATACGGATAGCTGGTATTGCACGAGATTGGAATGGCCGCGTCTGGAACAGGCTGGACCTGTGAAATTTACTTCATGACCCCGGTCGTAATCCCGTCCGACTCCATCCGAGCACTGTTAGAGGTCAAGGTGCCCTGGACCGACATCGTAAATTATTTTCCATGTGGCCAGTGTCTGCCCCTCGGTTCGTCCCTTCTTTCAACTCTTATACCCGGTGACCGACTGTCCACCACACCACATTCTTTTTCCTAAGCAGTCAACTTTCACTGCACTCGAGACAAAGCTGCTTCAACAGCAGAGAGCACTGCGGTGCAACACTCACCAGGTGCTGCCGACGGCGTAAGACTGAGGCCAAGCCGCGAAGCAATGACTCTAACAAGAAGAACAAGTCCCCGCAACCCGGATGAGTTCCCCACGGTCCAGCTCTTCTTGCTAGGTATGTGCCACTCCACCACCCGAGTGCCCAGAGGATGCAGCTAACAGGTGCAGCCATCGTCCGCCTCGCCGAGCCCATCGCGCTCACCTCCATCTTCCCGTATGCCTGGGCTCTCATTAAGCGTTTTCAGATCGGCAGCGAAGATGACGCCTCCTTCTACGCCGGCCTGCTCATCTCGGCCTTCTCCCTGGCGGAAGCCCTGATGGGCATGTACTGGGGCGGACTGTCGGACAGGGTCGGCCGCAAGCCCGTCCTGCTGCTAGGGTGCGTCGGCACCATGTTCAGTATGGTTATGGTCGGGTTTGCCCAGAACATCTGGGTGGCGCTGCTGGGGCGGACCATCGGCGGTCTCCTGAATGGCAACATCGGCGTCATCCAGACCATGGTCGGCGAGCTAGTCACCAAGCCGGAACATGAGCGTAAGTTCGCCACCCAAAGTTTTACAACAGATGTTCGATCGTTGCTAACAAGTGCCAGCTCGCGCATTCTCAATCAGTAAGTAGCAGATTGCTCTTTTGCCGCCCGACAGCAACTAACCATCACAGTGCCCTTCGTCTGGAGCGTCGGCACCATCATCGGGCCCATGATAGGGGGTTTGTTTGCTGACCCCCACGAGTCGTACCCCCACCTGGTCCCCAAAGGCTCCCTGTTCGATCGTTTCCCCTACCTGCTACCAAACCTCATCTGCGCCGGCATGCTCCTAGTGAGCATCGTGCTCGGCTACTTCCTGCTCGAGGAAACCCACCCCGACATGCAGCCCCGCGTGCTCCTGCCGGAGGACACCTTCGTCTCCGAGAACACACCCCTGATCGAGACGTCAGACGCCATGAAGCGCCCCGCCGTCGACCTCCGCGACGAGAACTACGGCACCGTGCGCTCGCGCGACGCGCGTTCCACCGAGTGGGCCACCAAAGACCTGGAAAAACAGCCCGTCAGCATCTTCTGCAAGCGCATCATGGCCGTCATCCTCTCCCTGTCTATCTTCACCTACCACTCCATGACCTTCGACCATCTCCTGCCCATCTTCTTCGAGGACGACCGCACACCATCCCACTCGCTGACCGTCATCAAAACCCTCGCCCGCGGAGGCCTGTTCTACTCGCCGGGGGGCCTCGGCCTGTCGCTGCAGGCCGTGGGCTTCATCATGGCGGTCCAGGGCGCCATCGCGCTGTTCATGCAGGCCGTCGTGTTCCCCGTCATGGCGGAACGCGTCGGCGTGTACCGCCTCTTTGTCCTCATCACCTTCTTCCACCCGGTCGTGTACCTGATTATGCCGGCGCTGCTGTATGTGCCCGAGGGCTGGCTGTACCCGGCGATTTACTTTTGTCTGGCCGTCCGGAATTTCTTTTCGATACTGCTGTACCCGCTGCTGCTCATCCTCATCAAGGAGGCCACGCCCAGCTTGACGGTGCTTGGCAGGGTGAATGGCTTGGCGGCGAGCGCTGGTGCCGCGTGTCGCATGGTCGCGCCGCCGGTGGCTGGGTATCTGTATTCTGTGGGGAAGAAGATGGATTGCACCGCGCTGGCCTGGTATGGGAGTACCCTGGTGGCGATTATTGGGGCGGTGCAGTGCTTCTCGGTCAAGAGGGCACGGGACGACAGGGGCAAGGGGGTGGATGTCGAGGAAGCGGTGGAGTAATGAGGGTGCTTGGTTGGGTTGAGCTACGGGGTGAAGCGAAGGAAAGGTTATGTGTCTTTCATACGTTTGGAGCTCGTGGGAGATAATGGCGAGAAAAAGGGCATGTCAGGTTGCCAGTGTGGCATTGTGATAAACGCGGCGCAAGGAGTTTGGTTGCTTTTTGCTAGGCGTATTGGATATGGCGGGTAGCGGGGTGTTTGGGTCACTTGATGTTCATGACTTGATGACAACTGGTCGTGGGATTGGGGTTCAAGCTGGGTAGAAAGAGGTATAGATAGACGCGATACCAATTTGAGCGAATATCGTAAAGCACAATGCTGGTTGATTGAAGTCTTCGTCTTGACTTGCGAGTCTGAATGGGGTAAATTTGTGCACGGCTCGTCTCTGCTCTTTTGACCACAAACCCGTCGATAATTACGCCCCAAGGACCATCGCAACACACCTTGTACCGTAAAGCTGGGAACCACCTAAAATCATCATATGGAACTTTTGTCTGCTGTCGGGCTTTTGTTGCGGATGTCAAGAGGTGTTATCTTGGCCTTAGTAAGGAGTCTCTTGTCTCAACAGTCCCATCTGTTCCAAGCCCTCTTTCCCGGAAAGCTTTTTCCTGCTGCGCTTGTTACCGGCGTATATGTGCGCAAAGCTGGCAATGGCCAGGTTACCATGCTGCAAAGGACTGCCTCGAAAGGGGCGAGTACCTATACAGTCTCACCTGCGCCCAAAACCAAGGGGACGTGAATGCCAACTGAATGCACTGCTCAACACATATAAATATCAGCTAACTAACACATGTTCTATTGAGGGCTCTACTGCCTGTCGTTCTTATATACCTTTCCAACTCACTGACAGTAAACACCGTTGGTGTGAGTAATATCACAAACGAGCCAACCACCATTCGGCTATTGGCCCATATCCCGTTCACCGAGCATTCGAAAGTTGCCTCCAATCAGCCAGCAGTCTTCATCCCTCCGGACCCTCGCACCCCTTACAGGACAAATAGTGCGGCCCCTGGCGCCAGTCCTCCACCAACATGTGTCCCGTCACACCTCACACCTACGCATGGGAGTGCGTTAAAGAAATAAGGAAGTAAACCTGCACGAGAATCTGGGACGCAATCCACGCCGGAGCTTCAGAGGAGGAGGCACGATAGCTCTAGTACAGCTGCCCCCTGCAAGCATGGACTCGGGGCCACAGAGTGCGGCCATGGAGGAAGTGCGACAAATGCCGCCATGAGGACTGGCTCAGTTCGCAATTTGGTGCGTGGCAACGAAGGTGGGATTCCCTCATCCGCATTGTGAGGCACAACCCTGGGATAGTGGAGTACCTCCAAGGACAGAGACGAAACCCGAAAACAACTGGGAGCACGCGGTTCAAGGGATGGAGATGTCTTACCGGGAGCTCCCCAATCTGGAGGGAAAGGCAGATGTGTAAGGTAACTGAACTTCTTGAGGCCGCTAATGCCCTGGTTTTGGTTTCGCGGTCTTGGGTCCCGGCGACGGCCGTAGGTAGGCCTGCTCTCCTGCCCTGGTGGCTAGGGGATGCGTGTGGTCCACTGAGAGGCCGGCTTTGGTAGCAAGACGAGAGAGTCGTTGAGCATTACGCGAGAATACTCAGTTGGACGCCGTATGTTTGCATGAATTGAATATAAGCGAGCTATCTTATGAAGGGTGGCTGACGTTGAGAAGCAGGCCCTTAGCGAGATGCAGCCAAATGCGCTCCTAGAGATGTTTCAGTTTTTTGCCATCTTCTAACCGCTGCAATGAGAGTCAAGAACATTCGAAGCAGGGCATAGCGGTTGGATCGACATCACGGCTGTGGTACGAAGCACGGCGTTTGCCGATGTACCTACTCTCCGTGGTCGCCCTCTTCCAGCCAACCCGTGTCCCCATCAACCCCTTGATTTCCACTCGGTGTCCCTTCGAGACGGAATAGAAGCGCTGGCGTTGACGTTGACGTGGTGTTCAGGGATGAACGGTCCATGTAAACCTTCGAATTTTGAATATCCTGGAGATCCATCCCGATCAGAACGACGACCAGATACCGTATGGTCATGTCGCAGGTTCTGATTCTTCCCATTCTATCCAACCGCAGCAATGTAATTCAAGGGCAGACTGGCCACCTGGGGTCCAGCAATCCCCGAAATCCGGCTGCCGATCACCGCTTTCCAGGCCTGAGGGAGGTATGTGGTTAATGTCGGCATGTGGGCGGGTGTGCGTAATCGTGGCCCCACAATATCTCGTCTCGACCAGACCTCGAGGGTTGCGCGTCGACAGCACCTCCTACTTTAGTCATTCAGAGGTTGAACATTGCGCTTACGGCCGCGTCTAGCTCCGGCAGTGCGGATGCCTGTCCAGTCCGGAGGCTCAAATTGGAATCAGGGGCCGGCTTCCTCCGCAAACGACGCGGGGAACACCAATAGCACTCCAGATGATGACCATGAAACATTCGGTTGGGTGAACAGGGCGTGTCCTGGAAAACGCCCGGGCTATGCCGTTGGACGCGTATGTTGCCTAGGGCCAGGGGATAGAAGTTGAGCATCCCGACGATGGCAGAAGGTAGGGACCGAAAGGTATATAGATCAACCAAGTTGCCCGTCTCGACTCTCGATCAGTATCTCATCGCCATCCTCAGCTACACGGCATCCACTCACTTAACCGTCCATTTACTTGAATTCAGCCATTCATCATGCTCTTGACCAAGGCTGTTTCCGGCCTCGCCGTCCTCGCCGGTCTCGTGGCTACCCACCCCGGCCACGATGTCAAGCACGAGGCCGCTGAGCGCCGCGCCTACCTCCAGTCGGCCAAGCGCACCTCGCTCGCTCACTGTGCCGACAAGCTCAAGGCCCGCGGCGTACATGCCCGCAACATTGCCAGACGCCAGGCCATCGTCGAGAAGACCCGCCAGAAGCGCGGCCTCAAGAAGCGCGACTTCGACACCATCATCGCCACGTCCCACAACAAGACAGATCTCGGCTACACCTCCAACACGGATGCTGCCACCCTCTTCGCCGGTTATAACTCGTGCCTTCTGACCCCTGACGTAACCCAGGGCCCGTTCTGTAAGTTCTGCCTTGTGCACAAGTGCCCTCCTTGACTGGTGCTGGACGTTAACAGCGCGCCCCAGACGTCGCCGGCGAATACGTCCGCGAGAACATCGTCGAAAACCAGGCCGGCTTGTCCACCCTGGCCGAGTTCCAGGTCATCGACGTGGCCACCTGCGAGCCCGTCCCCGACGTCTATGTCGAGCTGTGGCACTGCAACTCGACGGGCGTCTACAGCGGCGTCCTGGACGGCAACGGCAACTCGGCCGACACGACCAACCTTGACAACACGGCCCTCCGCGGCATCCAGCTGACCAACGACGACGGCGTCGTCACCTTTGAGACCATTTTCCCGGGCCACTACGAGGGCCGCGCCACGCACATGCACATCATGGTGCACGCCAACGCGACGCTGCAGGCCAACAGCACGCTCGGGCTCGCCAACTACGCCAGCCACGTCGGCCAGGTCTTCTTCGACCAGGACCTGATCACGGCCGTGACGATGCTCGAGCCCTACGCCTCCAACGACCGGGGCCTCACGCTCAACACCGAGGACGCCATCATGAAGGAGGAGGCCGCCACCGACGGCGTCGACCCCATCGCCGAGTACACCCTGCTCGGTGACACCATTAACGACGGCCTGTTCGCCTGGCTCGCCTTTGGCATTGACACGACCAAATCCAACGTCATCACCCCGGCCGCCTACTACCAGGCCGGCGGCGGCGTGACCAACGAGAACAGCAATATTGGCGGCGGTGGTGAGAGCGGTGCTCCCGGTTGTGGTGCTGGTCCCAGCGGCGCTCGTCCCTCCGGGTCTGGGGTGCCTCCTAGCGGTGCCGTCCCTACTGGCTCTGCCCCTGCCAGTGACGTTGCAACGTCCAGCTCTTCTTCTTCTAGCATTTCTGCTGTTGCGGTGAGCAGTTCGTCTCTCAGCAGCTCTACTCTCAGCAGCTCTACTCTCAGCAGCTCTACTCTCAGCAGCTCTACTCTCATCAGCTCTGCGCTTGCTGTGACCAGCTCGTCTGCCGCCTCTCCCTGCCGTGGCTCCAGCTGCGGCAATGGCAAGGGCAACGGCAATGGCATCGGCAACGGCAATGGCATCGGTAACGGCCGCGGCCGTCAACACAAGTAAGTTGCCAAGTTAGTGCACATCAAAGTGTGAAGGGGCGCGAAAAGTTTTTAGGGATGTCCGTGAAGGAGGCTGAGGTCGGAAATGCTTGGGACGATGCGGTGGAGTGTTTCGTACGTAAGAATCTAGAGTACGTAACCAGCGGCTTGCCGGCCAATTAATTCCTTGAATGGAATATCACAGTATCGTCCCTTGCAGCTGATCATGATGCGCAAGTCAAATCTTTCTCCTTTTCATCTAACCGCCAAAACCGAGCGCAGTGCTACCGTGCTGGGCAACAGAAGATGTCCCGCGAGGTACGAAGCGAGCTCTATACCAGGAAACCCTTTCGGTCTCACGAGGAGAGATTTGGAAGTAATCGTGATAGCAAAGGAGGCGGTCGCACAATATCTCGGAAGTCCGTATGCTAGAAGGCGAGCCAACAGCCGCGGCACGAGCGCAGAACCACGCGTGCGGCTCTTGCGTTCTCATGAATCTCGTGATGTTTGCAACTGCTCGCGGGGTCACGGCGCAGATTTCATGAAGCGTCTGCAAAACGGCTCCAGCATTCACTCCGGCGGACCATACGGTGCTCGACGGGCATGGCACAATTCGCTGAACCATGGTGACGAAAGGCGAGTACGTCTCGATGAACCTGTCCACCTGTCGCTTCTCAACCTCGTTCAGCTCGGCTACAGCAGCTCGCTGGGGCCTTGAAGCACATGGCGCTCAACCCGCTTCCTCTTGTTGGGGCGGTCTTGAAGGTATCGATCAGCGGGAGGGTCGGCGTCGTTGGCCCAGAAGTGGAACCCACCGGGAGTCTTTGTCCTGGTCTGCTTCGACCGTGTCACCAGTTCCGCCAGTAAACTGCGGAACCCGATTCGCCGACTGCTTGTGAAGCTCTTCCTTCATGGCCAGGAGATTGTTTGTGATGGTGTCGAGCTTCGCTTGCAGCAGAGCTTGGTTCTCCTGCTGCGACTCGAAAACCTCGCCGATTGTCTTGGATGTTTTACTCGCGTCGACATTCTCATCTCGGGCCACTGCCACCGCATTCTGATTGTCCTGTTCATAGAAGTCAAGTCTTGAATGGTACCGAGGCCGGGTATCATATCAGTTTCTCACCTCGAGAGCTTGCTCCAGCTCCTCAGCTCTGAATCGTGTCATCCTGTGCTCCAGCTCGCTGGCTTCCTTGAGCATTCCAACCACCTCGGAGGCGCTAGCTTTGCAAAACGGGTCGCCGCTGCCAGCGGCTTCCACTCATTCTTCGGCAAATCGACCCAGTCGCTGGACTAGGCGGTCGAATGCTGCCTTACGCAAGCCCCGTGTTATTGCCCAGTGACGCTCCGTCGTTGTCTAATTTTGCTGGCGCTGGCAATGCAATCTTGAATCGACATCGAGAATTTGGGGTGATTGTTTGTGCTGGGTCGAGAGCTTTGTGAGTGAATTTCTCTCTGTCGATGTTTGTTTCTGTGCGGGTTTGGTGGCAAGGAATCGGTAGTTAGTCAAAAGGGTCAAAGAGAGTTCGGATGGAAAGAGTTGGCTCATGTTAATATACCAGGGCTTCGATACTCAAAGGCCCAATACCTTAGTGAATCTATCATTCCGGTTTGGCGAAGTTGAAAAACCTCTTTCTGATGAATGCTATGGGAACCTCTTGCAGCAGACACCAACCTCAACGTACTGCGCAGGACTTCGCCGCCTCTCATACCTCATAAATCCTGAAGTTGTAGGCATACTCGCGGCAAAGCCTCGTAGATCATGCCCCACTCCGATCTGTGTAGGGGATCTGTGAATATGCCGGGCTCAATGTCAGTCTCTTTGACCAAATTTGAAGTGTGCCATGCGATGGCTGTGCGTAGCGTTCAACCTAACCCAACCGCAGCCAACCATGGGTCAAGCGAATGCAGTGTTTCTCTCGCTTGCTGTCACGGGTGCGGTTGTGCCATTCTTAGGACGACGGCACAAGTCCTCCGATGCCGAGCCATACATGTTGCGCAGTGCTGGGCGGGGGATGTGTAAGTGAGGTACCTCGCCTGAACGTGAGAGGGGCTGCGCCCGGCCAGGCTCAGCTCAACACCTCCCTCCCATGGGGTATATCATTCGGATCTGCCAGTGAGGCCTGTTTCCATCCCTCACCTGCTTCATTATCTTCTTTGCCCTTAGGTTGCTCTCGTCATCATGAAGCCCTCCCACGTAACGGTTGCCAGCACCCTCTTTCTGGCGCAAGGTGCATGGTCGCACCCCTTCGCCGAGCCCAAGACGCTCACAGACCACCCCTGGGAACCCACCAGGTCATCGATTTATGTCCGTACCCCTCTACGCCTTAGAGTTAGCAAACACTCTCTAGGATTACACTGACAGGTACAATAAACGGGTCCGCAGCTTCCCACGCCCACTCCCACTCAGGAGGGCATGATCAACGGGTGCAACAAGTTCCATGAGGGTGAGCCTCTCAACTTCGGTTCCTCCAGCTCAAGGCAGGGTGATGTCTGACTTAATATGATGGGACCAGCTGTGTCGTTTGCTTTCGACTGCAACGACATTGCCTCTCAGTACGGCATTTCGTTCGATACTTTCATCTGCTGGAACCCTGCTGTTGGCCCTGAGTGCAAGCACATCCGGATCTACCACTACTACTGCGTGGGACGCCTAGCGGAGCAGCAGAAACCTTTTGAATGTATCATGTGAGACACTCAAACCACAGTCTTGCTGACTTTTGGGGGACATTGCCGGGCAGCGCGAGGCAAAGGAGTCTTCGTCGTGATCCATTTCACTGAACCTGCTATGATTCGCTCCAAGAGGCTTGTGTAAAAGCAGTTCAGATATAACTATCTCTCCCTTGCATCCGGATCCCAGCTTGACAATCTTGCCTTCCACTACGTATACAACTCATCCGTCAGCGTATTCAACGCCAACCCATCTTTCGCCAAGTCATCCACATCAGTCAAGAACTGCAGCGGCATCTCGACCAGATTACCCCTGATGCCGCTCAACCACTCCTTCAGCTCCGCCACACCGCCAGGGAATTCCTCCCGGACAACATGCCCATAGTCAACCTTGCCCCGCTTGTACCCCTCAGCCGCCTGCTCAGCCGGCTCGCCGGGAACGACAAAATATTTGGAAAAGAACCGATCATAGTCCTCCCACGTGCGCACCTTATCGTTCGGCACGGGATGGAACGCGCGGCTGAAGATTTCAGTGTTGCGCCGCGCCGTGGTCCGCCAGAGATCGAGGAACTCTCTGCTCAGCGGGTCCTGCACCAGCCGGTCGGCGGGGGAGCCCCAGTCGTAGTCGTTCACCGGGTCGTGGGTGACCGGTGTCCAATTGCGGTCCGCGGCGTCGGGCCGCTGGTGGGGCAGCAGGCCGAGGTGCTTGCGGTAGAGCTGGCGGCGGAGCGAGGTTGCAAAGGCAGACGCTGTATAAGGGCGTCCGCCCATCGAGCTGGAAACTGGCGTGGGGTCTTCGATGACCACGGCGATCTCGCTGTCGTGGTTGCCGAGCTGGGAGCGGTCGTTGAGGTTCGCGGAGCCACAGATCACCAACTGATCGTCGGCGATGAGGACCTTGCTGTGAATATACAGTTGCTCTGACACGAAGGCGTTGAGCTCGTCCTCAGGTGAACCAGTCCACGGAACGCTGCGCAGGTCCGGGCCGTTTTGCATGTAGCATGCCGAGACGGTATCCCACGTCTTGTCAGAGATGTGGCTGGCGGCCTCTTGGTATCGGCGGTATCGGTCGTCCCGATGACTGCTGCGGCCGTAGTCATCTTGGCGACCGTCCTGGTCATGCCGGCCATAGTCATCCTGTTGACGATATTCGTCCCGACGGCCATACTCACCGCCCCGACCATATTCATACCCGCGGTCACCTCGACCGTACCCATCGTCGCCGTATCTCTCACCGCGGCCGTAATCAACAGGATAATCGCCACCATACCTCTGCTGATCTCGCTCGTATCCGGACCCTTCGAAGCGCTCGTCGTACTGTCGCCGCGCCTCCTCGTACCGGACGCCGCTCTCACGCTCAACGCGCCCCATGACGGCACTGGTATTGATGCGATCATAACTGCGCAGGTTGTAAAAGTTTATGTACATGTGTGGATCCTCAACACCCGAGTTGCGCAGCGCTTCGATGATGCTGAAGCCGCCGCGGTTGATCGAGTTGTACTGGAACTCCATGATGGCTCTGGTGCCGAGAGCCCCTTCGGACTTGAGGTCGCCGGCAAAAGCAGGCACAGCAGGCATCATGACGACAACTTGAAAGTCCTCACCGGTCTGATGGGCGTGGAGGATCCGGTCGACGATGGCCCGGCCGATCTTGTTGGTGACGGGTCTCTGCTTGTCCGACGTGGCGGTGATAAAGAACTGGTTCTCGATGTAGACAAAGTGCCGGGCGTTTTTGATAGCCTCAATGTAAGCATTGGCGATCGAGTGCTCCGTAGTGATCCCCAGAGACCACTGGCAGCTACTGCGAGTCAGCTGGATATGGGCGCCCTCCGTTCGCCGCTCAGTCCTGTGCGATGTCTCGTCGTCTCCGAGGAAGCGGTGCATGTGACGGGAGAAACGATTCTGCAGTTCGCCGAGGTATTCCTGGCCGCCGTCTATGAGGTCACCAGAATGCGGGTGGTGAGAGCGCGGCGGCTCAAGCCGCTGGTACTTGCCAATGTCCCTGGCGGTATACTTCTTGTTGAAGATGAAGTTCCTGAAGCAGGTTAGCAGGCGCGAGCAACTGCCAGAGGTACGTACCATCGCTGGGTGAAATGAATTTCCAGATTGTCCACGATGGGTCCTGACAGGCTGATGCTGATGTCCGACCAGCCCATGCGTGAGTTCTTGGTCCGGTCAACTAGGACAGTTCGTCAGCATCAAGGTTGGAACAATCAAGAATGCAAAGTAGATTCTATGAGGAGGAGTGAAGATGAAGTCTTGAACGAAAGGGAAGAAAGAGATGAAGGGGTGGAAAGGGAAGGGAAGGAGTGGGACGAAGAGAGGTCCATAGAGCGGACAAAGACATAGACGACAAGGGGTAGCGACAGCCTTGAAGCTGTCTCAGGGCTTACGCTTGTTGTTTTCCCACTTGTCGACATCCTCGAAATCATAGATCCTCGCATTGTTGTAGTCCTGTCCAGGGAACACGATGTCCTCGATGTTGCCAGGATGAGCGTCCGCGATCGGGTGGCCTGTCCTGTAAGCATGGTCCGAGGCTCAGAGTCAATGCTACGTACTGTTCGTGTCCCATCTGCCAAAACCTGGAGTCGTTAGCACGGCTGCGCCTGTTGGAATTAAATTTCAAGATGACCTACACATATCTAGACCCCCCATAAACGCCACCCTTCCATCAATGAGGCACAACTTTTCACTAGTCGACTGTCAGGACTGCTCTTCCGTATGGGCCGGCGTCTTTGAGCATTCCGAGGTGTGGAGGAATGCTGTCGGCTAAGTTCGCATGGTCGTGGTTCGATGGCTGTCTTCACGAGGGAGTACAACGGATACGGTACTTACTGATGGGCCCAGAACAACACGGTGTCCTCGGCAGTGCCGTAGAGACTTTTGAGGGCATCCTCGGAAGCCCTGGCAAGGTCGAACGTCTTCAGGCTGAAGTTCTGCAGGCCGGTGGAGAGGCCCTGGATGCCCGTGACAAGGGTGTTGCCGCTGACGTAGTGGTCAGGGTATCGGAAGACCTTGATGTTGGGATGGAGGGCTTCCAAAGCGTGCTTGGTGTGCTGCGGTGGTCAGCGCCGTCTCAAACCGGGATGTCAATAGGCTTACTATCGAGTTCACTACGGCTGTTAGTCTTGTCCCTCTGCACAACGCCAACCTGAGCTCACTCACATGTTAACGCCTGCGGCACCTCCTTGTAGACAACCACATGGATCCGCACTCCGCGCTCAGCGGCGGCTTTGAGCATGCGGTCTAGCCGGTAGCGCTCATTGCGAGCAGGGGGCCGACGCAGGTACAACTCGGGACTGCAGATCGTCAACATGCCGACCCTCGGCTTCCCGCGGAAGAGTGATTACATACCTCAGCCACCAATCCAGGATGTAGATATACTCGCGGGCCTCTGCAATCCGTGTTAGTGTCAGTGGTTCAGGCCGCCAAGCAACGGTGCATACCTTCAAGAGCCATGGACACAGCCCAGAAATAGGAGGCGCCGTCGACATACCACTTGGCATGCCCCGAGCTCTGGGGCGCGAATGAGCAGTAGCGATTGGTGCCGTACTCGGCGTGGGAATGGCCCTCGTGACATTCATGGCCGTCATGGGTGTGAGAGTGCTTCTCCTCGCCTGGCAAGAGGTCGTCGATGCCCTGCTTGGCTTTGCGCAGCAGCGAGTGGAAGTCCATGGTCTCGGCGTGCGAGTCGGTCAAGGGGGCCGCGCCTCGGCGTGGGCAACTGCGGGGCAGTCGAGCAAGAAAAGAGGAATCTGAGGTCTGTGAAACGGCGAACAACGTGACGACCGGAAAAAGACCGGGAAAGGTGGCGTCCAGCGTTGAACCTGGTATTGGGTGAGTCGCTAGCGCTCAGGAGTCGAGATGTGAACCCGGGTTCCTTGCATCATGCCGTCAAGTGTTCAATGCCCCTACCGCTCAGCTGGCCCGAGAACTGGCTGCCAGCAGTGCCAGAATACAGACCAATGAGAGCCCGGGCTTCATGCGCATCCTTCGACGAGTGGAGGCTCCCACGGCCCGTGAAATTCGACAAGTCATTCGCCAGCGCGTCGGATCCTCCGTAGGGCTGAGGGAATCCACATCGGCACTGGCAAGAGGTTCAACGTTCGCCGGGCAGTCTCGTGCTCTTTTCTCAAGCGTCATCTTGGTGAGAGTACGGCGTCTACGCTCAGCGTTTCTCTTTGAGCTGCTGGGACGGAATTGTATGAACCACGAGAGGCTTCGTGATGAACCGAAATTATATATTCCTCAACCGAGGGAAATTGGGCTTCGTCGGCAAATCCGGGTTAACCCGCCAGCTAGGGTACGTTAGTTATGTACACAGATCGAGCACAGGACGGCTTGCCCAGCAGGACCTCGGTGAGAATTGCCATTCCACCAAAGTTGGTGTGGTGAGGCGGACAGGGGTCCTGTTGTTCGACCCATGGATGCAGTCCATCTCATCAGTCCACGCGGGCTCTGAACAAAATTCTTTTGCCGCGTGTACCCCCGCACTGATTCTGTGTGGCGTCTGCTCCCGCGCAAGCCACGGCACCCTCTGTAAGTTATGTACATATTTTACCTCGGGGAAAGTGGAAAACCTGTGAGAAGGGCTCCATTAAGCCTTACCTCATGTACGGATCCGTATCAATATGGAAGTTCCCCTATCAGACAGCGGTGCCTGGCATTAAGCAGCAGCGGCAGCCAGGAAGCTTCTGACATCAAATCCTGCAGCACACCCTCCTGCATGCGGTAGCTTCCCGATCCACCGGCCTGCAACCTTAACGACCGCGACAGGACGACCGGTGAGCCGTGATGCGATGAGCGTGCATCCGACACGCCGTGGTAAAAGGTACGGGACCACCTCAACTTGGGCTCGGTGTGACCGTGGATGAGCCCCCATCCCCCCAATTCTCATCTTCCCCCATCCCTCCATGGGCACCTTAAAAAGCAAAAAAAAAAAATCTTGAGATTCCCTGCACACCAACCCGCTCCTGCGACATTTTCTTTCGAGACTAATCCGGTGCCGGCGCCGTGCACAATTGGCTAACTTCCCGCAGATACGTTCTGTTGAAGTATTGATCCAGTTCTGGAGAGGAAAGGAAAGGGGGTTGTGGGAAGACAGGGGACCTCTCAATTGGCGCGGGGATGCGACAAAAAGGCGGCCGAGGTCTCGGAATCAACCCTGCGGTGGAATCATCTCTTCGCCGGTCCTCTTCCTGGTAGACTCTTATACTCTTCGAAAGAAGTAACACGTCCAAGGTCACTCTACCACATACGTACACCCCCGTTGTGTTCTCGGGCGCGTCATATTGGGGTAGTGAACGGCGAAGGGACGAGAGGACACGAAACGCGCCAGCCACGATGACTTCGATGACCTACGTCTTCTCGCAAGAGCTGCACGGCCACCTCGTCCCCTACATCGCGGCCCTGCACGCCTCGTGCATCACCCTCGACCACATGGTCGGGCCATTCCTGCCTCCTCTGACCAACGAGAAGCTGCTGCCGTGGTGGAAACAGCGCATCGCCGAGGCCAACAGCGGCACCCGCATCATCGTCCTCCTGCTGCCCGAGACGGCGCCGGGGAAGAAGCCGCTGGGGACGGACCTGCGCGGGCTGGCCATGCTGAAGCTCTCCGAGACCGAGACGGGCTCGTTTCGGGGCCATATTGACGCCGTGCTGGTGGACCGCAAGCATCGACGGCAGGGCGGGGCGAAGTCGCTGGTTGCGGCGCTCGAGTATGAGGCTTCGAGGAGGGGGCGGTCGTTGCTGGTGGGCTTCCTTTTATACCCTGCTTTAGAAGACATGAGGACGGTTAATGGCTGACCGTTGGCAGCTTGTCGACACCGAGACGGACAGCGCGGGCGAGGCCGTCTTCAAGAAGCTGGGCTACATCGAGATTGGCAAGGTGCCGCACTTTAGCCGGACGCTGGCCAACGGCAAGAAGGGCGAGACGTTCCTCTACAAGGAGTTTCTGCCGTCACCGTCATAGAGTGTGGTGTCGGGGTGGTTCTGCTTTCTCACTTCTACCTGCTCGAGGCGTTGGTGTTGGGGTCGGTATCTAGATGGACGAGGCCCACGCTTCTGAAGGAATCTGCTTTTACCTTCTGCCTCTTCGTTATTGTCCGTTTTGAGAGCCCGACCACAGTCTTGGCTCTTAGAAACGAAAAATTACTTTCTTCTGATGTTGCAGCTCCCTATCCGCAACCCGGCCAAGTCACGCACGCGGGGTTTGGTTTGGGACTGACACCTGCTTGTCATCGTCAGCCACACAACGGATGACTGGTGACGTTGGTGGCATTGCCGTTGTATGCAAGTACCCGTGGGAAGCTGATTGACGAATAGCACCGGCAGTACAAACAAAGCTGAGTCCTCGCCTCTGCAGGTCCCCGTCCGCGGTAGGGTTGCTTCTGGGCTTCCTGGCCTGTTCTCGTCTCGTATCCATCGAGTATCCGGGAAGCTGCTCCATGATTCCATCAACTAGACCGTCCATTATCCAGACCATCAAGCTGACTTGGTTACATGTATTATACCCAGACTCATCCGAAACGCTGAGTGAATGCTGTAGCCCCGAATCTCAACTAACCTTTGCTTTCGTTCCACCGTGCCTGATAGATGTCTCTTTTTGGATCGAGCATGGCCAACTGTGTGCTCAGTACTCTGTATCCAGGATCACGGTGCGCATCCCGTCAGCCACTCTTACGGTAGTCCTCTAAACATTAACATGCCGCTTCGGCTGGGCATGGTAGGGGCTCGGATCTGACGGTCTCCGGCTGCAGAGACCCCGGTAGGTGATTGGACAGGTATCTACGTTACCGGTATGCGTTATGTACTATGTACCGGCCTGATGTGCCTTCACAGCTAGTCGGTTTGTTTATTTCCCAATTCAAGAGGACCCCTACTCCGTACGGAGTGCAAGCTTATGTCGACCTCTGAAACGTTGCAACCCGATCCCGCCGTGCATCCGAGCATCTGACACGAGGTCTCACACCATGGCGCCGGCCAATTGTGCGAGAGAACCCGCCTAACCACAAGCAGCCTGATCCGGCCGATCCCCCGCCATTGACCTCACAGTGTGTGGGCGGGCTGGTCACGCCGGCTGGGGTGTTGCCGAGCGAATTGGCTGACCACATTGGAAGTCAGCATATCCGTACGAGGTAGGGAAGGCCCAGGGAGAGCAGCATTCCTCGCAAACAGCCATAAAACAAACAGAACAATTACAGGAGTGGTGGAGAGGTCCAAATACATGGAAGCCAGTATCCGTAACCCAAAGAATCAATATTTACAAAACGAACCCGCCAGTGTAGGCAGAAGTAAAGCTTCAAGACAGCTGCCCTTACCCGGAAGAAGATATTAGTATGCACCCCAGAGACCTGGCACCCTATCCATCGCCGCCCTGATACCAAGGAAACATCATCACCCAAAAGAGCTATACACACGTCTATGCGAAAAACGGATATGATCAGAAACCAACCCCGACCTGTCCCCGTCTATACTTCTAGTCGACCTTGTTTCCGTTGGTCGACGCGCCCAAGATGGGCCCCTTGAGCTCCTTGGAGGCGTCGTCCAGCTTGAACTGGCCTTTGGTCCTCCTTCCTATTCCTATCCTGCCCCTGAACCACGAGAGACAACCGAACGCGATGCCGAGGACGCAGCCGGAACTGAGGTACGGGTGATCCCTGAAATTGGTCCTGATGTCAAAAATGATTTTCTCAAGAAAGCCGATGGTGAGCTTCGGCCTGAGCTTCGGCGGGCTCGCAGTGACCTTGGTGAGGGTCTCGAGGATGGAGGTTCGCGACGGGACGATGGGGTTGCCGGTGCTGGTTTGGTCCCAGTAGCGACGGTTCTAGTCGCACAGTCAGCCATATCTGTCAGGCAGTCTCGAGAAGCACGCTGCACTCACATCTTCGTCATTGATGACGACCCTGTCGCCATCCTTCACATCAATTCCGTACGTGGTGCGGATCCACCGCTGCCAGAAGGCGCTGTCAACCCACGCAAACGTGACCTCCTTGCGATCCGACCGGTTCATGTCGATCCGAATGTTCTTGGCCCGCTGGAGTGCCCGCTCGTCGTTCCGGTCCTGGGCCTCCTCGATGCGCAGCTGTTTGGCGTCGCGCAGCTCCTGCCGCTCGAGCTGGAATAGCTGGATCTGCTTGTCCATCCACTCGTTGGCGGCGCTCTTCATCTCCCGAATGGCCGACTTAAACGAGCTCTGATCTTCCCTATTGAGAATGCCGAGAACGACAATCTTGCCGTCCATGATCTCACGTGCATTCGTGGAGACGAGCTCCGGCACCATGGGCAACCAGACAGACCTCATCCAGTTCAACAGCTGGTTGGTATCCCGCATATCGCGCGGGCCAAAAGGCGTGTAGTATGTCGGGCGCCCTTCGCGCGAGACGAGCAGCCGCGGCCACGTCGTGATCTTGAATCGCTCGTACAGCTTGACGTCGCGTGTCTTCACCAGCTTTGCGCGGCCAATCAGGTTTATGGGCAAGCGCTCGAGGGCCTCCATATCCTCCGTGGTGGCGGCATGGTCGTAAAAGTACAGGAAGATGACTTCCTCCATCTCCTCAAGTGCCTTGAACGACTCGGCATCGACATCTTGGACGCCGCCGACCAATTCAAGAGCCTTCTCAGCATACGAAAGAAGGTCACCAAGGCCGCGGAGCCCCTGGTACTCGACATGTTCGGGTCCCCTAAAGAACATGAGAGTCGGATAGCCTCTGATGCCATGGTCCTTGCAAAGCTGCCGCTCAGCATCGCAGTTAATCTCGCCAATGTTGAGCCGGCCCTCCATCTCCTTAGCAAGCTGCTCCCAGTTCGGCGCCATCTTTTGGCAGTGGTGGCACCATGGAGCATAAAACTTGATGAACCAGGGCTCAAACGAGTTGGTCACCAGGCGGTGGAAGTTGTCGTTCGTCAGTGAAACGGATTTGCCATCGGCGTGGTGAGGTGATGCCGTCTTCAAGAATTTTGCGACAGGCGGGTTGAACGGGATTTGGACATATGTTGGGCTGCCCGATGCCTCAGCCTTCTCTGGCGGGGCCGAGGTAGCTGGTTTCTGATTTGGCGCCGGAGGCGGGGCAGGAGCTGGCGGCGGCGGGTTGTTGTTCTGTTTCGGGGCTAACTCCGCTTCACCAGCACCTTTATCGGCCGGCTCGGCTTTCGACTTGGGAGATGATTTATCGCCCGGCTCTGGTAGGTCGATCTTCGCAGGACGTGTGCCGGGCTTGGCCTTCTCGAGCGCGTCCTCAACGGCACCGCTCAGGACGCTCATGGACTTGACGCCCTTGAACGTTACGATGGGCTCGCCATCCTCGTATATAATGGTGGTCGGCCATGATGACACCTTGTGCTTGGTGCAAAGGTCGTTGTACGCGACGCAGTTGATGTCGGCGAATCGGAAGTCGTAGAATTGGGTGAAGTCGGCGACTTGCCCGGCCGGCGAGGAGGTATAATAGAATTCGTACAACGTCTGAAACGTCGGAGCAAAATCGATACAATGCGGGCAGTACGGACTGGGAACATTAGCACGGCCGTGTCATGTAGCGTGGGACAAGCGCGTTACCTGTAATGTTTGACTATCAAGTACTTGGATGCATTATACTCCTTTTCCCAGTTGTCGGGGGTCAACTCGAGCATTGGTGGCACCTTTTTGCCGTTGAAGTATGTGTTTTCTCGGACGGGATCCTCGTCCAAATCTGCTGACTCGGCGGCGACGAGCGCGGCCGCGCCAAGCAGCAATGGCCAGGTAGACAGCCGCATGATGGGCCGCTTGTGTCTCGTCTTAATGAACCGAGAGCAAAAGCGCCTGGCACCGGCAGTGGCAGCAGGCGTCGCACCTGGGGGTTCACGACCAGCGCGGGCCGTAGGTCGTTGTCGGCTCGAACTTTCGTCGACGGCGATCTAGCAAGGCATCGGGAGCACAAGTGGAAACCAGCAGCGCGGACGCTGGGACAAGACAGTTCCGGCTCGCGTGGTACGGACAACCGATGCTGATTATCGCAGATTGTTGCACACTCTAAGTCGCTGGCCAGGAGTCGTCGTAGGTCATTACTGGTTGTGGTGTCGATGCTGCGGATGTCGAGAAGATGGTTCAGGAGGCGATTGATTCTTCGAAAAGGATTCCGACACGTTGTTGGTGCGGCGTAGTCCCGGTCTAGCCCCCATACCTTCAAACATGGGTCAGTCACTAACCACGTTGGGTCTAGCCCGTCCAATCTCAAAGGCAAGGGGCAATCCACGGATCCGTACCTCTGTTTTCTAACATCATCAGCTGGCTGCCAGTGGCACGTAAAACTCTCGAGGCAAAGCATCCAGGCATCCGTCCCCGGCCTTAGACGTTGATGAGGCACCGATTTGATCCTTTGAAACCATCCATTTCTGAGACAATTCGAGGCTCAAGAGATGGATCGACCGAACAAGCGATTGGCATCGGCCGATGATGAACCAGCCGGCAGTTACACGCCGCTGTCCCTCTCGCACCCAGTGAGCCCTCCGTTGAAGAAGCGTCGGCTCGCGGTACCAGCGGAGGACAAGAAACCCCATGTGCAGTCCTCAATACGGCCTCGAGTTTTTAAGTCCCCGTTTCGGCTCACCAAGGTCCGCAACTTGCCCCCAGAAATGAACAAGGACACAGTCACACTCAAAGACATCCTGGGCGACCCTCTGATCGCGGAATGCTGGGAATTCAACTATCTTCATGATATTGATTTTCTCATGGCCGCCTTTGATCCCGACGTCCGTCATCTCGTCAAAGTCCATGTGGTCCATGGATTCTGGAAGAGAGAAGACCCCAACAAGCTGGCGCTCCAGGTAGGCATGCCGTTCTGTTCAAGTGAACAGGACATTTCATTTCCATGCGATGCCTAACGTCTACCAGGAAGTGGCATCTCGGCACCCGAATGTCACTCTCCACGATGCTTTCATGCCTGAGATGTTCGGCACTCATCACTCCAAGCTGATGATTCTGCTCCGTCACGATGAGACGGCCCAGATCGTCATTCACACAGCCAACATGATTGTCCGCGACTGGACCAACATGACGCAGGCTGCCTGGCTCTCGCCGAGGCTTCCTCTCATGAAGCCATCGCAGCAGAGCATCAGCCAGGAGGAAGCAACAATCGGCAGCGGAGCCAAGTTCAGAATCGACTTCCTCAACTACCTCCGCGCCTACGACACACGGCGAGCCACCTGCAAACACATCATCAATGAGCTGACCAAGTACGACTTTTCTGCAATACGCGGATCCCTTATCGCCAGCGTACCGGGGAGACACAAGCTCAGTGACTACTCGCCAACCAGATGGGGCTGGGCAGCGATGGAGCAGGCCCTCAAAGCCATTCCCGTGTCCCAGGCTAAATCCGAAATCGCAATACAAATCTCCTCAATCGCCACCCTAGGTCCAACAGACAGCTGGCTCAAAAACACTTTCTTCCGCGCCCTCAGCGGGGGGCAAGGCACCGCTACCCGACCACCTCCCGACTTCAAGGTCGTCTTCCCCACCGCCGACGAAATCCGCAAGTCCCTAGACGGGTATGGCTCGGGCGGCTCCATCCACACCAAGATCTCGTCTGCACAGCAGGTGAAGCAGCTGGCGTACCTCAAACCGATGTTCTGCCACTGGGCCAACGATTCGGCCAACGGCGCAGATCTAGACGCCAACGCAACGGCACAAGAGGCAGGCAGGAAACGCGCAGCGCCGCATATCAAGACATACATCCGCTACGGCAATAAATTCGATCAGTCCATCGACTGGGCGCTGGTCACGTCGGCGAACCTGTCAAAGCAGGCATGGGGCGAGGCCGTCAGCAGCAGGGGCGAGGTGCGCGTCGCGTCGTACGAGATCGGCGTCCTGGTATGGCCGGGCTTGTACGCAGAGGACGCGACCATGAAGGCGACGTTCTTGACGGACTCGCTCGCGGATGGCGAGGTGGAGGAGGGCAAGGCGGCTGTGGCGCTGCGGATGCCGTATAGCCTGCCGCTGCAGGCGTATGGGGATGGCGAGGTGCCGTGGGTTGCGACGGCGAACCATTTGGAGCCGGACTGGATGGGGCAGGTGTGGGAGGCTTAACTCGGCGATAGGTGATGTTGCTAAACCAATTGCGAGCTTCAAGCGAGACGCGCTGGCTGAGGATCTGGTGAGCGGAACACAGTAATTGCTTGCTACCTCAGATGCGGATAGATCATCGGGACGCCTCGTCTCATCGCCGTGTACAATGATTCTTTTCCGCAAGACACGCACTCTCCCCGACATCTTCGTTTATTGCCCGCCAACGGCCTCGGGCTCCTTGTTCTCGTCGTAGCCGTACTTGCTCTTCATCTCCTCGATCTTGGTGACGTACTTCTCCTGCGCCTGCTCGGGGGTGGTGCCCTCGTCGACGGCCGCCTTCCACGCGTTGTACTTGGCCTTGCCCTAGGGGTGTGTGAGCACATCAATGTTGGTAGCTTGGATTAAGATTTGGTCCAGGCGCACCTTGAGATCGAACATGCCCGGCTTAGTGGCGGCCTCGATGTTCTCGCCCGTTCCAATCTTGAAGAGGGCTGGAAAGCATGTCAGTGTGCCCCCGATAAGTCTGCTTCAACCCGCACACACCGTAGATCTCAAGGAGGTCCTCATTGCTCGGCTTCGACGTCAGCTTCTTGCTGTCGACGACGGCCTTCTTGAACGCTTCGCTCTGGGCAACCATTTTGGTAGTATTCCGACAGTGATAGGTGATGATGCGGATGCGGTTAGTTCTGAACGTGGTTCGTACTGATGGTGTTGCGAAAATTCAAGTTTCTTCTTTGCAGCTGATGTTGTTGAGGAGATGGGTCGTTTGTTGGGAGGTTTGGCGGGGTTAAGACGGTTCGAACGCGGGGTCCAAGTTCCTTCCCTGGCAACCTGAGGGGCAGCTTGTGACCCAAACCACTACAGGTCTGGATCGTCATTGCTCCACTGCCACCTGCCAAGCTCTATGTGCTTGTGCCTGTCCCAGCGCACATGGGGTTTCTGCCCAAATTATTAAAGACAAGTGTACCTATGACAATCACTTCGAGCTGTCGCTACGGGTCTTTGACCATGCGAGGCACCGTGCTCGTCGGAACTGCAAGGGCAAGGACTGCATCTGTATACCCTGGCCGAGGAGCGGACGGATGTCGATCTGCTGGCCGATAGGGAAATAACATTTCCTATTGTACACGGATAATCCACCTACGGTAAGGCAGGTCAATTACCTAGGTAATATTGTAGGCCAGCCTCCAAACTGGCATGTTCTGCCCTCAATGACATGAGACGCAATCGTCGGTCCCGAATTTCTTGATCGGCCGTCTCGGGTGCTACCAGCGGTAAGCCATTGTCCAAATTTGGTTAGCGCTAAGATGGGCACGTGCTCTATTGTCGGTCCTTCGGCAGCAAGCCGCTCCGTTGGCCCGCGATTCTCTTCAATTCCAAAGTTGCAATGCCCTATTCGACCCATTGCTTCAATCCTTACCATTCAATGATGATAGAACTGTGTTGCAAATTAGTTTTTAGGTGAATCTTAGACCTCTGGGTCAACTTTTGACGTGAACGTCCGTCACGCCCCAAAGTTTCTGAGGAAGACCAACGACAAACAGAAGCAGATCGGCAATGCGGATAGGGTTCGCGCATCTGCAGCAATGCGTCGGTATCACGACAGCTTGGCGCTGGACCGAACGGACATGCGTCGACAAATGATCCGGTAGGTGAGTATTAATTCCTATCAACAGCACAAGCCAGAGGTCATTGCGCAAGTCGGCTTCGGTCAAGAGAAGAAATACGGCAGTCCTACGTGTGGGCGCGTCAAGATCCTCAGGGATGCGACTGCACGGTAGGAACATTGACGGTGCTCCTGGAGCTTTCATCTTATAAGAAGTTCCATCTTTACACTCCTGCACTGCCCAGCTAGTGAAACCCTTCCACACGGAATATCCAACCCGGCACGCACAAGCACACCAAGCTTCATTTCCTCTAAAACCAGTTCCTCTGTGAACCGTCCGGTCTCATTCCGCTGCAAACTCACACCAAGATGACCGAGACCATCCTAATCCTGGGAGGATCGCTGGCCGGCCTCCATGTCGCCCATGCGATTCTCAAGAAGCGATCTAAGAATGTAAAAGTCATCATGGTGTCAAAGGTACGCTAATCGGCCGCTGGCGATAGGTTCTTGAACGCAGCGACGAGGGGCTGACAATCACAGAACTCGCACTTTTACATGAACTTGGCCTCTGTCCGGGCCATTGTCCCCGGTCAAATCAAGGACGACGAGCTCTTCACGCCTATTGAAACCGCCCTCTCACGGTACCCTCGAGAATCATGGGATCTCATCATCGGAACGGCCGCACACGCCGACTTCGAGAACAAGACAGTCGAGATCGTTGTCCATGATGACAGCACTACCCGCACCATCTCCTATGACCAGCTGGTTCTTGCGACCGGCTCCCGCTCCGCCGATCCCTCCATGCCATGGAAGGCCTCGGGCAGCTACAAGGACGCCGTCGCAAGCGTGCACAAGACCGCCGAGCAGGTCCAAGCCGCCCAGCACATCGTGGTCGCGGGGGCCGGCGGCACAGGCATCGAGGTGGCCGGCGAGCTGGGCTACGAGTACGGCAAGACGAAGAATATTGTGCTGCTGTGTTCCGGCGACAAGCTCGCCAACGGACACGGCATCGCGACGGACGCCGCCAACGAGCTCAAGAAGCTCAACGTTGCCATCAAGTACGGCGCCCGCGTGCAAAAGACGCAGCCTACCGCCCAGGGCAAGACGGACGTGGTCCTCTCCGACGGCGAGACCATCACGACGGACCTCTACCTCCCAACCATAGGACTGATCCCCAACACCGAGTACATCCCCACGCCGTACTGCAACTCCGACCCTAACAGCCGCACCGTGCTCGTCGACGACTACCTGCGGGTGCGGGGCGCTGAGGACGTGTGGGCTTGCGGCGACATCGTGGGTAAGCCGCGTGCCGGCTTCCTTATCACGCAGGCGCAGGCAAAGACCGTGGCCAAGAATATTGAGGCCGCCCTGGGGGGTGCGAAACCGAGTGTGCACAAGGGCATGCCGGTGGATGTTTTCGTGTGCTCCGTCGGCCGCTCCAGAGGTGTGGGCCGGATGAACAACTCAATCAAGTTCCCGAGTCTGATGGTCTGGGCAATCAAGGGCCGCACGCTGGGGCTGAACTATGTTGAGAAGTATATCGGTGGCAGTATCGCCTGAGAGATTGACGAGACGCCCAAACTCAGGTGTCCAAGTTTTGTTTTTGAAAGAATAGGTATTTGTAATGGCGGGAAACGCCCCTAATATATCATTCGTTGTGTTGAATTCTCTAGGTCTGTCGTCGTCTCGTGAACATACAAAATCACCCACTATCTCCCCGCCTTCTCATCCTCAATCTCCCTTCTCAGCTGCTCCAGAAGCTCTTGTCGTGACCGCAGATGCCCCTCAAGGCCTTCAACCTGCTCCCTGACCGTCTGCAGGTCCTCACTAACGCTCTTGAGGCTGCTGCCCGCCTTGCTCCGCCCGTTGCCCTCCTCCAGGTCCCGCAGCTGCTTCCGCTTGTAATCCAGCAGCTGCTCCAGCTCCCTCTTGACCAGCGCCGGCTTGGAGTCTCTCTTGCCGCCCTTCCGCCTCTCCACGGCCGCCTCCACCTTGGCGATCTTCTCGTCCAGCTCGGCCAGCTGCTTCTTGAGCCGCACTTCCTCCCACTCGGCGTCCGTCTTGGCGCCGCTGAAGTCGGTCCCGGCCGTCTTGAACCCGCTGCGCCCCAGCCGGGTGAGGTACTGGTCGCCGAACTTGGCCTTGCGGCCCGTGCTGGTCTCATCGTCGGCCTTGGTCGCCCACCGGTTCCGCGCGCTGTCGACCTGGTAGTTGATCTGGTTGCGCTCGAAGCTCGCGCGGAGTGAGGCGGGGACCGTCCGCGGGATGCGGTACCCCTCGTGCCGGTTGTTGAGGATGTGCAGGAAGGCGAGGCAGGCGTCTTTGTTGATGGACGGGGCGGCCGACGGGTTGATTAAGTTCCAGGCGGAGCGAATGTCGGTGTCGGGGACGTCGAGTGAGTCGTAGAGGTCTTGGAGGGACGAGACTGGGGTCATAGATCGTCAGCGGTCAGTTTAGAGGTGTTGAGGGTGCGCTCTGAACCTACAGGCTACTTCGCCCCGCATATCCCGGTTCTCTTGGTAGATCTGCTCGTACTTGGCCTTGTCGGCTGGGCTCATGTACCAATCGAAGCCGTCTTTCAAGCCCGGCGTATCGTCGTCGTCGTCCTCAACCCGCTCAAACTGCGCCGCTTTGCCCGTGAGCGCCCGGCTCGCCTGCACGAGATGCGCCTTGGACTCGGGCACGAGCCAGTCTGGCAGCGTGGCCGGCACATCGGCGTATTCCCCGTTTAGCAGGTCGAAGATGACGCGCATGGCGACGCAGAACTCTTCAAAGTCGAGATTGCCGTCATTATCGACATCGGCCAGGTCCCACACGCGCTCCAACTGGTCGTCCCGCAGCCCGCTGTTCTTGAGCACGGGCGCTGCTTGCTCGCCCGTCAGGAATTTGCCGCCATTTGTCCTCGCCGAGAAGATATTCCAGTACGTCTCGATTTCTTGTGGTTCAATGCGCGGCCCCATGGCGTGGGTAGGGGGCAGGACTCGGAGTAGAAGGGCGGGGTCGAGACGGGGGGAGTGGTCGGAATGGCTGGATTGGCAAAGGCGCTCCGGACTATCTGGTGGTAATGCCGGGGAATTGGAACCAAAATGCCGGCGGCTGGGGAGTTGCGTATTGCTGAGGTCTTAGACGTACAGTACGTAGCTTGTTGGTGTTGCTCAGCCATGCAGTGCGCATTCGACGTTGATGGTTGTGGCCAACCGTAGCGGGCTCCCCCCTGTCATCCCCTACCAAGATCAGATTGACTACCCCGTTCCCTAGCTTCACTACAGTCACCAAATCACTCACATCACGCTCAATGCGATCATCAGGACGGTTAGCATTCCTACGTTTGCAAAATAGATCACTTCTTACAATCCAGCAAAAACCCAAACGCCACAAGTCGGCGTGGATATCCTAAGTCCTTCCCGCTCCTGCCAAGCCGGGGCACCATCAGCACCTTCCAAGCAACTTCAGTTTCAGCAACGATGACCATGCTTGCAATGTCATCGTCGAATCCAGCTGATCCAAGCTGGGAGTCATCTCCCAAAGCCAGTCATCCCACATACTCCCAAGGTCTGTATCCTTTGATCGACCTGAAAGATGGTAGGCAAGCTCCCCTGGTTGATCTTTTCAACCACTCCAAAAATCCCCACACAAATATATATACCCAAAGAAGATCAAGCCTTTACCGGTCATATCCTATACTCCCCAAAATCCAATGGGAATCCAAAAAACGAAACGAGAGAAAAAATCAGATATACGAATCCTGGCCTCCAAAAATCGAAGCAGACGGCCCAGTACGACGACCACCACCGCCCGAGCCATCATGGTACAGCTTGGCGGGAGCATAGCGTCCGCCGCCGGTGTTAGGGTAGAGAAGCGGAAGCATCCCCTCGGCGTAATCGAGGAATTCCTGGTCTGAGTTAAACCGATCCCTGGTTTGGACGCTGTACCTGCTGCACCGCTCATTCAACTCGGCCACCCGGGCAGCGACACGGGGGTCGGAGGCGGTCGGACCAGTTGCGCGAGTCGTGGCACGCTGATGCGGGGCACGCGGGCGAGTCGAACCGGATGCTGCTGTCGGGCCAGCGGTAGCGGTGACATTCGGGGCCATGGGGACAGTCACGGCCAGCGGTCCAATCGCTGCAGGCGGCAGGGCGATATGGGTGGGGGTGTTGGGCCGAGTAAAACCACTGAGTCTGGTCTGTCCGGACCGGTTTGGAGGCGCCAACCCGAGGACCAGGCGGGACGGATTGCGCGCTGGGGTGCCAAAAGCCGGCTGGGGCTCAGCGGGACCAGTAAGAGCGTTCCTGGGAGCCGGCTCATTGATCTTCATGTCGCCCGGATCAGCCGAGGCCTCGTAGCTGCTGTCTTCGTCGGTCATCTCAGCACTCAGCTGGAAGCTCTCCTGGCTGGTGCCAGCGCCGTACTCCGAGTGCACCCCGCCAGCCCGGGAGCTCCCCGCACGAGCCGACCGCTGGCTGTCGTTTTGCCGCTGAGAATCCCCTTCATCGCCCGATCCTGCGTTCGCGATCTCCTGGCCTGACTCGTTCCGGTATTCCGTTGTGAACGACCAGATGACGCCAGTTTCGATGATTTCATATCGGCCGCCACCAACAACGCCGCCTGGGAGATATCTCCGTTCGTGGACCTTGAAGGCTCTATCGAACTCGCCGCGCGTCATCTCCTCGCCCTCGCTTGAGCGCATCACCACGTTCGGGCGGACGTGGAAACTGGTTCCCTTGACCGTGCTACACCTGATGGGCCTACCTTGTGAGTCGAGATTGCGCTTGCGCCGTACGAGCTTAACCCGGTTGCCATTCTCGTCGTATTGGGGCGGGCGGCGGTTTACCTTTTTCGTGACTGGATTCCCGTTCTCGTCGAGCTTGGGTGCGGCGCGGCTCCTCTTGGGCTTGACCGGATTGCCGTCATCGTCGGCTTTTGCCTTGCGGTTGCGCCTCTTGGGCTCGATGGCTTGTACGGTCTTGTCAACCTTGGGACTGGGAGCGATCTTGATCCGGATTCGCTTGGGCTTACTCGGTTGGCCCTCCTCGTCGAGCTCCGGCTCCCTCTTCCTACGCTGAGTGGTCTTCGGCGCGGACCGGCCGTTCTGTTCACCAGCCTCGGAATTTTCTGGCTCATTTGGAGCAGTTGCGAGGAACGAAGACGGCCGTACGGCGAACCTGGCAGCGGTAAACGGGCACTCGAGCTGGGAAAGTGCCGCTTGCATTCCCGCGACTGCGTCGTCCGTCATTGCGTTGCTTGAGCTCTGGGTCGTATCCGAAGTTAAGTGTTGCAGAACGGCCGCCTGCCGTGTCGGCCGGCCAGATGGCACGCCTGCCAGAGGGAACGATGTCATCGATGCGGGTGTCGGACTCGCGGGTGGCAGCTTTACGGGCGGTTTGGGAGTCGCAACAGGAAGCGGCCTCTTTCTGGGTCTTCCCGGGCCGCGCTTGACGGGAGTGGGAGACGTGTTGTCGCCAGCTGCACTTCGGTGTCTGGGGGCAGCAGGCGTAGGGCGAGCGCGCTTAGGTGCTTGTTCCGCGCTGGGCGACTCAGTACAGGTGCGCTTTCTTGCGCCCGATGACGTTGCGCCAGATGATCCTGCACCAGACGCTCTCCCCCCTGGGGCTCTGCTCCTAGGGTATCTTGTCCCAGACCTGCGGTTGGCCGGTTTCCACTCTGTATCATCTGGTTCGCGCAGACGAGGGATGTAACGGGGTAAATTGTCTTCGTCCGAAATCTCGTCCTCCACACATTCCCCTTGCAACAACTGACGTCGAACCACTGGAGTAGGACGACGTGGTTCGGAAGAAACTGGGTTGTCGCCGGCGAACGAAACCCTGCGATTATACTTGGCCAATATCTCGGCAGTACTCATCGCTATTTCGGGGTCGAGAGGGCGAACAGTCGGCGCAGGAGCATTGAGAAAGGCGTGAAGGGCTAGCGCGCTGGGATCCGCTTGCGATGGAACAGCTTGCGCCGCCGGGATGCGCTCGTGGACCTCAACCGACAGAACGATATTGGGTTCGGTGTTCACCGGTCCGGAGGCCTGTCGGCTGGGGATCTGGTTCGAGACGTCTCGCATCTCGCAATCTTCGTCGGCAAAGGCGGTCCGCGTGACCTCTTGTTCCGCCGCCGCTTGGGAAGGGGCCAATTCCGAGGCAGTAGCGGCAATCTCACAGCCGCTTTGCTGCTGACCAACGTCCACTGCTTGCCGATCGACGGTGGCTTCAGACGAGTCGGCGGTGTCATTGGCGAACATCCGAATGTCAAAGTTGATGTCCGAGGGGCTCACAGAGGCATTGCCAGGCGCGTGCGGATAAGGGTCGGATGCCTGGCCAGTCGGGTACGTGAAGCTGAACCCATCCTAGGAGTCTGCTCGTCTGCTGTCATACCAAACTGGGTTGGGCGGCTCCTCGAGACGCGGCATTGGAAGGTAATCCTCAAGACTGAGGCTCTCAAGCGCCGCAGTAGGCTGGGCCATGTTGTCAGGACGCTCAGTGGCCCATTCCGTCTCCTCGTCGCTCTCGCTAATAAATTCGCCGAAATTGAACTCAAACGAGCGGGCGGTGAAGACGGTCAAGTTGGCCAGCGGGATGTTGCTGACCGGGCGCAGAGATTCCCAAGACGGCCTGCGCAACGTGTCCAGGATCGCCGACGGGCCGGTGGTCTGGTCCTTGACCTCATAGTTCTCCTGGTGCAAGCCATTGGACAGCGAGGCTTGCAGCGACTCCAGGTTCTCGGCGCGCGCTGACGGGCCGCCACCTTTCAGCCGGCGGGGGTTGACTGAATTGGGGGGAGGATCCAGCCGCAGGATCAACTCCGGCCCCGTCATGTTGAGCATCTGCCTTCTAGTCCTGCTGCTTTCGAGCTCGCCACCGCTCGAGACGTTAAAGTCGTTGACGAAGTCCATGCCGCCCTCGTCGATCTCGACGTCGTGGATGTCGCCATTGGTGCCCTCCTAGAAGCCCAAATTGGGTGCCACGTTGGTAATGCCGAGGAATTTAAGAAATCCGCGGCCGCGCCGGACCTCCCTGGCCGTGATGCCTTCGGTGACAGGGGCTAGCGCCAGCAGCTCGTCGCTGGAGGAAATCTCGGCAGCCCCCCGGCGCTGCATGAGCGCGTCGTAGGTCTTCTTCTTCTTGCGCTCAGCCTCGATGAGCGCGAGGAGCGACATGACCTCGTCGTATTCGAGGCCGAGATGCTGGACGGCCTGGGAGAAGGGGACCGTCCGGGTCATGTCGTAGATGATGGCATACTTGATGCCATCCGAAAGGTTTGCCCAGTTCGGGCGGGCGGCCTGGTTGTTGGCGGGAGCCTAACAAGTGTTAGTGTCTCAACTTCAAGTGCGGAGCAGGGAAGTCTAACTGTCTCTTCCACCCACTCATTTGAGTTTCCGGCCGAGGTGGTACCCTTTCCGCCCCCTTCCGATCTCCCCGCGGGTTTCGCCCCTCTGGGCACCTTCGCAACGTACGCGGCGCGGGCCGGCTGATCTAGGGGCGCTGGAACAAACGGTTGGCCCCCTTGGCCGACCTGGCCACCCGTGCGAGGAGGGCGCGAAGGGGCCTGCCCAGTGGTTTGACCCCTCCGGCCGCTCGCCGAAGCCTGCCGGCCGTCGTAGTCGTCGTCCTCTGTTTAAACATTGTCAGTCCGTTTATTCTGCTCGTTTCGTGTACGTCACTGCCCCCAGAGCTCCCTATGAAAGGCCGCACCGCAAGGAGGGGAGCGCTTCGCAAGACATGCAGGAGGAGACAGTTGCTGGTTTTGACGAGTATCTCGCGACAGCGGCAAATGGGGTACAAAGAGCGCAGGGCTGACTTACCATCCTCTCCATCAAACGACTCATCACTGTCGGTCTCGTCACCCATGCTCTCGGGCTCTGCTGCCGTCGTCTCCTTTGTCGCCAAAGCCGCAAGCCGAGCGCACTCTGCCTCTGAAGGCCCAAGGCCCGGGTGGTCCAGCGGCAGACTGGGATGGGCGCAGTGCTGCACCAGGGCTACGTTGAAGGGCACGTCCGGGTGCGCGAAGATGGGTCTGTCAGCGCGAGATGGCCCGAAGTCTTCTTGGTACCGCCCTGGCACCCTCAGCATTGAAGACGCCCGCAAATTGACCATCTTTGACGATGGCGGCTGTCTCTTGAGGCCGCGCTTTGATGAAAGAGGTTGTTAAAGGAGGCAAAATTGAGAGAAAGGTTTGGCTGATTGAAGAACGATGATCTATAGGTCGCTTGAAAGATGCGATGGTGCTTTTCAGAGTGGGCGTGTGTTTCTGGTGGAGAGAATGCAGGGCTGCAAGTCTTATTGTTGGTGAATTAATCCTGTGAAGGGCGCGATGCTTCTTGCCAGAGTAAGCAGCTAGTTTCTCATGAGGAGAATGAGGAATCGGGATCTTCTTGTCGCGCGATAGAGTAGAAGGAGAGGAACAGAGGAGGGAGTGTCTTCTTTGGCTGGTTATCGCGAAGAGGGAAGGATTGAGATCCCGATCGCTATAGACGAGGGAGCTTCTTTGGCTGTTCACGTCGAGAAGAGGACTGAAATTCCGACCATCAAGCTGAACGGCAGAAGAAGGAGAGATAGCTTCCTTGTCGGCAGGCGGAATGGAAGAGGAAGAACGCTCTGTGCTTGCGCGATGGTATGGAAAGCGATTGCGCTCTCTCTCACGAGCAGTGTGATTGACTTGTCGCGGCGATGAGCAGGGTAATTGCGTGAAGAACGGGGGAGAAAGGTGACGAGATTGGCGAAGGTTAACGAAGGCTGCGGGCGGAAGAAGGTGGTTTGAGGAGAGTTGGAAGGTTGAAGAAGGTCGCCAGGTCAAGAAATGGCCGGGTTTGAAGTGGACCGTGCCCCTGGAAGCGGTCGAAGACGCCGGGAAGGTTGTGGGAGTGAAGAAGGTTGAAGAAGATGCTCGGGCGGAAGAGGAGAGGCGAGGTTGAAGGAAGTGAGAAGAGTGGGAAGACCAGAGTGACCTTTTCAGGAGGACGCGTGACGCGTTGGGGCTATGGCCGTCCGATGTTGACGGGTCTGCACGGTGATTGGTCCCCATGGCGGGTGAATGAGCCTCAAGAAATGGAAAGAGGTGGAAGACCAGAATGACCATTTCAGGAGAACGCGTGTCGCGTTAGGGCTATGGCCGTTCAATTCTGACATGACTCAAGCTTGGTGGTGATGGTCTTCCAGGGGAGCGAATGAGTTCTAAGGGAGTGAGAAAGAGGCGGAGGACCAGAATGAAGTTGACAGGCAGGACGAGGGAACGCGTGACAAATCAGGGCAATGGTGTCCGAACCTGAAGCGTCTAGGCGGTGAGCGGTCCCCAAGAGAGTGAATCGGCTTCACAGCTGAGCTGTTCTGGCAGCGATACCGTCGATGACAGGAACACACTGAGTTCAAGAGCCTGGATGCGCGTCTTTTCTGAGGGCGAGGATTCAAACCGTCCTTGAGTTTTCCCATGCTCTGGTCGACCAACGTGTTGATGATGCCAAACGGGGCATCATCGACCTTAGCACCATAGATGTCACTTTCACGGCATTAAATAGGGGGTCCCTTTGTTTACTTCAGGGATCAGGGGACAACTCCGCCACCGACGGTGTCAAAAGGGGCGACATTGACTTCAGCGCAGCTGGCCTGCGTTATCAGCGTCAAAAACCAGTTTGTTTACTTCAGTGGTTGAACAGCTGTTCCGTCACCGACACCGACGGAAAGGGGCCTTGTTTCCTGGCCATGTTGCAGATGTTCTTTTCAGCCGACTGGGAAAGCTCGCAAGGTTGCCAGACTTGCTTCACTTCTGAGATGAACCTGATCTGTGTGCCCTCCTTCGAGAAGACATGGGTATCTCAGGTTATCAAAGGTCCTTTTCGCTCGTTGTGTTGTTAACAGCCATGGGCGAGACAGGTACCAGCAACACTTCAGTCTACAATTCGCTGTGGTCAACAAGCGGCCAAGAAGAGCGTCAGCCAAGAGAAGTCACTCCTCCCGCTCGCCCTGAGGTTCGACCTCCTTGGGCTGAGCATAACAATTGTGAGGATTGATGACGAGCTTTCCGAGCAGACGGTCAGCACAAGAGCACCACAACTTTCCCTAGTTCTACTGCGTGGCCAACTACAGCTTCTGTCTCTCAGCTGGAGATTTTTCTGGGCAGCCGCTGTTGTCCTTGAAGATGCAGCGTTGAGATGTGAAGGAAACGAAGAGAACTGATGCGGTTGAGACGGGGATTGGATCCCTGCTCTCAGACTGGGTTCACAGCAGTGTTCAGGTCATCATACTAGCCCCAGCACCGGCTCCCAGCTAAACGACGGCCTCGGGTTGAGTGACGGAATGCTCAATCATCTAGAGGAAACAGGGTCATGCTTCAAGTTGCTCCGGTCTATTACGAGCAGAGAAGGGACCAACAGACAAGGCCTCGCCGAGTCCCCGCCCTTCATTGTTGACCAACGCCGAGGGGCATTATACCGTGGAGAAGACAGAGTCAAGCAAGGGCTTTCAAGACAAACAATCAAGCATTCTTTACCTTGATTTAGTAAGGGCAAGCCATCAGCGTTGAGATATAGGCAGTCCGCAACCTGCCCTAATTCAGCAAACATCGGAATTGCCAGCTGTCCAACGATGTGTTAGTCTGGAGGCTCGAGGAATGGTTTAGAGAGAAGAAGCCAGCCGGACAGCACTGAGGAAACTAAGCTGCAGAATTCATCTTAGGGTTAGAAGCATGGTGCCCTACATATGAGCCGCAACGGATTAGGAACAGCGGATGGAAACACACCACTTCAAACCATGTTTTGATTTGTCGCACTCAGAATCCTCGAGACAGAAGCGATATACAGTTCTTGACGTAACCGTGATGTCGAGGTACCCACTCCTCACGTTTCTGCCAATAACACAAAATGACAATGACAATGACATGGTGACAACGTTCATCGTATGCAAATCACCGTATCAGATCGTCGCCGCATAAACTCACTTCCTTGACTCGCCCTCGGCAGCCTGTTCCTGGTTTTCCCTTCTTGCCTTGGCACTAGCCTTGAGCTGCTCCCACCTCTCTCTGTACTTTTCCAGCGTCACGCGCAGCTTTAGACGGTCCTGCTCCAGACTCTCCATGCGCTTCGCCATGTCGGTGATTTGCTCCTCGAGCTCGCGGTTCCGCCTTCTCAGCGCCGCCTCCTCCCCCGTCCCCGTTCCCGGCCCCGTCGCAGTCGCCGCAGGCTTTGCCCCTCCTCCCCCTCCTCCACTAGAAGACAAGGGCGAGCCGGGCCTCTGCAGTCGCAGACTCTGCGCCAGCGCAAGGTGAGAGCTTTGCGAGTTGAGCTCAAAGGCATGCAGCCGCTTGCTGACCTTGTCGAGCACCTCTTTGAGGGAGGCGTTCTCGAGGTGCAGCTCCTCGATGACGTTGCGCAGCTCCTTTTCGGACCGGCTTTTGCCCAGGCGATTGCGGAAGGTGGGCGACGCGGGGGGAACGCCCATCCCCGCCACCTGCGACTCGCGCGCGTCGACAAAGTCGTCGTCGTCCTCATTGTCGTTGTCGTCGGCGTCAGGACGGTGGAAGGACGCGGCCATGCGCCGCTTCTCCTTGCTTTCGTGGTTCAGAATGCTGGCGTACGAGGCGGTGTGCCCGCTGGGGGGCACCACGTAGAAGGAGTCGTTGGGGCCATGACCGTCGCGGTCGAGCGCACGCAGGGCGGCGCGCGAGTAAATCTTGGTCAGATCGGGTTCGGCGGCTGAGGTGAGGTGGTGTTTTTGTCGGGATTTCCGCTGGGGAGGTTCTGAGGTGGGCGGGGTGTGCGCCGGAGAGGCCGGGGGCTCTTCTGAGATGAGAGGCAGACCGGCAAATGCCAGGGGTGCGGACAAGCGGTTGATTAGACTCCCAAAAGTGCTGTAGAACCTCGAGAAACCATCATCGCTTGGTGTTGAGCTGACGGGTATCGACTTTGGGGACTCGCTGGCGGCGTCCTCCGGAATAACGGGCGGTACCCAGCTTGGCTTCCGTGCCTGCTCCAGCTGATCCGGGGCCTTGCTTCTCGTTGAAGCCTCCCTGCGGGGACGCACCTCCAAGCTCCCTGGGGCCTGGTCATTCGAGACGCTGGGGGTCAGTGGCTGTGTGCTATACCGTGCCCGGATGCCTCGCGCCGATGCCAGGTTGCTCGCTATGGAAGAAGAGAGGTTTCGCCCGGGATATCTCTGATGTGGGAGACTGGGTGGGGACTTTGCCGGAGATTTCTGCTTCGAAGCGGGAGACTCCTCCGGCGGCAGTGCCGTCTTGGACTCGTCTTGTTCCCGTCTCTCCTTCTCGTCCTGCTCCGGAAAATCGTCGGTGCTGGGTTGGCTCGGGGGGCCGACGGGGAGTTTCAATAGGTCTGACAGACGCTTGTGGTGTTGCTCCAGCAGCCTCAGGGTGCGCAGAGCTTCAATACTGGCCGTGGTCTTGGAAGCGTTGGCAAACTCGCCGGCAGCCTGGGCGTGTTCATTGATGGCTACTGTCGTGTCCGCCGTCTGTGTCGCAATGGCGGCCGCCCGGGCATGATCGTGCGCCCTGGTCAGAGGTGAAGACTCCATCTGCTGGGTCGCTGGTATCGCATCGCATCCCCGAGATAAAGCAAGTGGCGTTTGTTGAACTTGAAGTGGGAGATGGCGGGGATAAAGCGTGGTAGGGTGACTGTAAGTGCAGGGCTTATCTTATCGCCGCTCGAACAAGGTGAACTGCCCTCGAGCTGCTATGGATCCGTACTTGTTAGGGTCTCTTGGCATTGCTGAGCAGGCTCTCTTGAAATGCAGCAGCATGCCAAGACGCCCCAAGTGTGGATACGTAGTGTCAAGCAGGTTATCCACTTTTCCCATTGCAGCTGCAGGGATCTTCCGCCGCTTGCATCTGGCACATATTCGCACCACCGAATCCATCACGTTCGCTCTGTATCCTCTGCACCTTTCTTAATTACCATCTTCTCTGTACCTACCAGCCAATTGACACCTACCAGTCGCCTAAAAAGTAGTCTCAACGAAATGGACTACCAGAACCGCGCTGGCTCCAAGTTCGGCGGCGGCGGCGTCGCCTCGCACAGCGCCACCAACGCCGACCGCCGCGAGCGCTTGCGCAAGCTCGCTCTCGAGCAAATCGACTTGGACAAGGACCCCTACATCTTCAAGAACCACCTCGGTTCCTTTGAGTGTCGCCTCTGCCTGACGGTGCACCAGAACGACGGCTCCTACCTCGCCCACACCCAGGGCAAGAAGCACCAGACCAACCTCGCCCGCCGCGCCGCCCGCGAACAAAAAGAAGGCAAGGGCGAAGTCGACCCGCACACGGGCCTCCCCGTCGGCGTCGTCGGCGCGGGCTTTGCGGCGCTCGGCCTCGGCGCGGGCGGCCCGCGGAAGAACGTCGTCAAGATCGGCCGCCCGGGCTACAAGATCACCAAAGTGCGCGACCCCATCACGCGGCAGCAGGGCTTGCTGTTCCAGCTGCAGTACCCGGACATCGGCACGGGCGTGACGCCTAAGTGGCAGGTCATGAGCGCCTTTACGCAGCGCGTCGAGGAGCCCGACCGCAACTTCCAGTACCTCCTCGTCGCGGCCGAGCCGTACGAAACGTGCGGCTTCAAAATACCCGCCCGAGAGTTGGACAAGCGCGAGGACCGGCAGTTTGAGTATTGGGATCCGGACGCCAAGGAATACTGGGTGCAGATCATGTTCATGACGGAGCGCGAGGAGAGGTTTAATGCTGCGCCTGGATTGACGGGGCGGCGGTGAGCTGGGGCATTGGCTGAGGATGGGGGGGGGTTTAATCTATGGGATATGGGCCGAGAATGTTTGCGGATATACTACGAAGACGCGAAACAGGTCATGGCGATGAGTATGAGGAGAACGCGCGACACCGGTAGCATGCAATGGGCGTAAAGACGGAGCATGCCTGCTTGACCGGCCTACCACCCACGACACCGCCCGGTATGTGAGAGGCATATGGACCCAACACAATTCTTCTTGTTGTCGTCGAGATGCGCGATTCTGCCTCCCTAAAGGAAGAAAGGGGGACGTGTAAGTCAAAACACGCAGCACGCTCAACGTGCTGTGCACAAGCTGTAAGCCTGCAGCGGATTGGTGAACATCGTTCATAGCTAACTGGCTGGTAGCGGAACTATCAACCTCAATCCAGCTAGGGAGGAGTGGTGAAAGGCTTGCTAGGAAACAGATTGAATAGTACCACAGTTTCATAGTGTGAGCGGGTCATTGTGGTATCCGTCGTGCGAAACCTGAGTCTCGTCTCATTCTACCCGACAATCACCTGCCTCAACTGAAGCTATGCTCAACAAGCCCTGCGTGTGCCGGCTCAATTCTTCCCATCATGGCAGATGGCTCTTAGCACACATCCCTTGCTGTTGAGATTGAGCCTTTTCGTCCTTTCCATTCCTTTTGCTAGAAAGAACGGTAGTAGTAATATCTCGACTTCTGACACGCTTCTGCATCCCGTGACCCAGCGAGTGCATGCATCAACAAGTATTCAAAAGCACGCCGACAGAGAAATTCCGACCAAAGCATCGATCGCAACGGAAGCCTGAACGATCTACGGACAAACAAACAACTGCCCTGTTGCTCAGGTTGATCCAAACCAACCGCCATACCCCTCCCAACCACACACCCCTTAGCCTCCCCAATGACCACAACCCAAGCAGAGCAGAATCACCGAAAGTTATTGTCAAACCGCTTGAACGTGTACCCGATAAACGGCAGGCTCATCTCGGGGCTCTCCTCCTGCGGCGACGCGCCGCCGGCGCCGTTGCGGGCCTGGGCGGCCTTGAGCAGCGTGGCATTGTCCGTTTGGTCGATCTCGTCGGTGGGGAAGTAGGTCGTGTCGATGTTGGACGTGAGGCGTGGCTCAAAGGGCGCGCGGATCCGGCGCAGGCTGTCGAACTCGACGCCGCGGAAGAAGGCGTGGTTCTTGATCTCGTGCGCGCCGCCCCGGCCGAGCCGATTCTCCGAGTTGCAGATTAGACTGTTTGCATCAACATGGTGAGCACATGAGATGAGGAATACGAGAGATCTGGGAGGTTCTGAGTGATGTGAGGGCTGGCAGTCTCATCTTACCTCCGAATCAGGTTCTCGGCTTCCACGCCCAGCTGGATATCGTCCGGGAAGTAAAGCGACTGTCTCCAGTTGACAATCTTGCGGTACGTGTCGTGGCTGTCCTCGGCGCAGAAAGGCGGCCAGCCGACCAGACACTCGAACATGATGGTTCCCAGCGACCACCAGTCGCAGTCAAACGAGTAGCCGTGTCCAGTGAAAATTTCCGGCGCAATGTAGTCGGGTGTGCCGACGGTCGAGTAAGCCATCAGTCTCCTCGACCGCCTCCAGTCGTTGATCTGAGACCGGTTGCTGACGGTCAGGTTGATCTGGTCAATGGCGATCGAGTTCCGGTTGTCGCGCGGCTTGTTCGACTTGCCCTGCAGGAGCTGCTGGTAGTAGTTGTTGTCGTGCAGCTTGTGGAAGCCGGTTGAGAGACCAAAATCGGTCAGCTTAACGTGGCCGCCGCGGTCGAGGAGGATGTTATCCGGCTTGATATCTCTGGGACGGGTCGTTAACACCGCGCATGTACGCTTTTTGACGAGCATAACCACCACATACCTGTGAATGAAGCCCAACTTATGGACTGCCTCAATGGCCAAGACAATCTCGGCAATGTAGAACCGGGTGATATCTTCCGAAAAGATCTCGTACTTGATCAACATGGTCATGAGATCTCCGCCAGGCAAGAACTCCATCAGCATGTACAGGAAATTGGCGTCCTGGAAGGTCGTATACAGCTTGACGACCCAAGGGCTGTCGGACTCTGCAAGAATGTCGCGCTCTGCGCGGACGTGGGCGAGCTGGTCCTTCTTGAACATCTCCGTCTTGATCAGCGACTTCATGGCGTACACCTTGCCGTCCGACTTCTTTTGCACTAACTTGACCTCGCCAAAGGCGCCCTTGCCGATGATCTTGATGGTGTTGTAGTTCTCGGGCTTGTCCTTGGTTCGCAGGAAGCGCAGGTACGAGCCTTCCCTGCGGCCTCCCGTAGCCCAGATCGATTCCCGGCGGCGAGGGTCGGTGGTCTCGGCCAGCTTCTGCTCCAATTCGCTCTGCCTGTACAAGCACATACCGTTAGTGCATTGGTTTATTAGAAGTGACAGCAACACCGCTCACCTCTGGTTCCGCTCGCGAGCTCTCTTGACACTATCCTTAAAGAAATCCGAGGCCAACTGGGAACACTTTTTCTGATTGTTGTTTGCATTTGGGCCATACTTGTCCGGGTTCCTCTCAGGGGCGGGAGCAAAGTAGTCAGCCTGGGCAGTCTGGGTGGGCATGGGCGGCGCGTTCAGGTAACTGGAGTAGCCAGCCTGCTGGCCCTGGGCACCGGCTGTCCGGGGGCGTTGGCCTGGGGAGGCGCCGCGGGCGCCATACGGGGATGCTCGGCCGGCGCCGCCCAGGTTCTGGTGGGAGAACTGGTGGGCGAGCCCCGTGTTGGGGTCGTTGTTGGCGCCGGGAGTGGTCGACCGGGCCTGTCCGTAGCCCTGACCGGCAGAGCTGTAATCGGAAGCCTGGGGTGCGAGCTGCGACGGGTACTGAGCACCAAAGTGGTTTGCCGAGGGCTGGAAGTAGCCGGCCGACGTGTAGCCCTGCTGGTGGGCCTGAGGCTGCTGGGCGCCGCCTGGGTTCGCTGACTGGCCCTGGAAGACAGGCTGAGGAAAGGTGGACGGCGTGGTGGGATACGTACTGCGGTCGGTTGCAGCCAGTCGGTCGTTGTTGTTCCCAAAGTTGAGGTACAGGCGGTTGCCCTGGTTGTCCATGTTGACGGCTTGGTGCGGTATGGCTCCGGGCAAAGTCGTATTTTGCTGGTAATTTGTGCTGTGCAGGCGCGCGGGGACGGACTGCACGTGTCAACGGGCGAGGTCGAGCCGGTGTTTCGAGGAAAAAGGGAGGGGGGGGTGGAAGAGCTGATGGGACCCTGCTTTTCGGAACCGGGGTCTGTAATGCGAGAAGGTCGAGCGAGGTCTGGCGGCGCCTGTCACCTCAATTCGCGGATCAGCGCCCCGCCTGTTTGAAGGTGGGGTAGGGGCAGGCGACAGGGAGCAACTTGGGGCAGCAACTCCAGCGGAAGACTGATGAGCTGGACAGATTGATTGATAGATAGATGGCGGTATCTGGGATGATAGGATTCATAGCGCTTTTACATATCTGTGAACCGCTGCAAGGGCCCGGAGTGGAACGCTCATATCAAGTGCGCAGCACAAGCTCGAGACAAGTTCACCCTGAAACAAGTGGAAAAGGTGGGTGTGCTGTGGATAGTGCAACAGAGCTCTCTCTTTGTTGAATGCTTTCCAATCCAAGGATAACGTTGCTCGGTACTCCGTAGTCCCGAAATAAATAATGTCCCGGTAGCTATTGTCCGGGAATTACTGCAGTTGAGAGATTGAGACAGAATTGTAATGGCTTAAGGTACTCTCTGTACTCTATTTCTATTATGAAGCGGGTTAGGGTCGCACTTTGAACCAAAGATTGAACCTCAGTGCCTCACATGCAAAGTCCGTGCACGGCCGCTTATCGCGATAACATCGCCTGGAAATTTGGGTCATCAACAACCGACAGATCGAGAAGCCATCATGAGGTTCTCGCGGATTGTCTATTGACTGGTTTACCTGCACGCTCTGTCTTGAACCGTGGCCAAGCCTATCGACCTCCCTGTTAAGCCCAAAAGTCTCGCTCGGGGCCGCAGCAAACTCAATGTGCTTGTAGTGTTGCTGAATCTCCCGCGAAGGAAGCTCAGGAATTCCATCCGAGCCACAACCATGGCCGATCCGACGCCTGCAACACCGGCGACCCCGCCCCTGCCGGCTGGCAATGCGGTAGGATACACCACGTCTCGATACACTGCTCTCCATGCCCTGACAAGTTCTCTACCCATTTAGGCGTCGAAAGCACCCCTTCGAAACCCGGCTCTGCGCATGCTCGGCCTCCCCGCGCTCCCAAGGAAACTACCCTCCCGGAACTGGATGATCTTCTGGACCGTGTCGACCACCATAACCGCAGCCATCATTTACGACAAGCGCGAGAAGAAGCGGGCCATCGCAAAGTGGTCCCATGCCGTCGAGCACCTCGCCAAGGAGCCGCTTCCCGACAGCATTGGCCTCGCCCAGCCACGCAAGCTAACTATCTACCTGTCAAGCCCGCCCGGAGACGGCCTACGCGTCGCCCAAGACCACTACACTGAATATGTCAAGCCAATCCTGGCTGCCAGCGGGTTAGACTGGGAGTTCGTACAGGGACGGCGGGAGGGTGATGTGCGAGCCTACGTCGCCGAGCGGGTGCGGAGGCTTCGTCGCGGCTGGGGAAACGACAATGAGCCGGAACCGACAAAGGAGCCTACCAAGGAGGAGATTGTCGATGCCTTCCGCAAGTCGCGAGGAATCAAGGAGTATGACGGGATCCGGGGCGACGTCGTCATCGGCCGGCACACATGGAAGGAGTACGTCAGAGGATTGCACGAGGGCTGGCTAGGACCCCTCACTGCACCGCCTGAGCCGGAGCCGCTTCCCGCGGTTGCTACTCCAGAGTCATCAACCGACGACAAACCTGCCGAGGAGAAGCCTACAGAGGAGGAAAAGAAGCCCAAGAGGCCACCTCAACCACGACCCTACAACTCCACAGCCGACTACCCTGCATCACCCCTACCGCCCCTGATCCCTAGCACATTCGACCCTTCAGCGCCCATACCCCAGCCACACCTCCTCGGTTTTCTCAACACCCCCACTCGCCTGTACCGCTTCTTCAACCGCCGCAAGCTGGCCGACGACATCGGCCGCGAGGTGGCCGCCGTCTGCCTCTGCACCTACCGCGAGTACCGCCAACTCGCCGCCGAGGCCGACCCCGCCAGCCCGACCGGTTCCGGCAGCCAGCCGCAGTACGAGCAGCACAAGGAGCTGCAGTGGGAAGAGAAGGATTGGATCAAGACGGTCTGGAAGGAGGACGATCCCAAGGACCCCGAGACCGCTGAGATTCTCGAGAGAGTGCGCGCCAAGCCCATGGTCATGGACCCACGCATTGCGGCGCGCATGCGCCGGTTCCAGCTGCTACCTGAGGACGAGGAGCGGGCCAGCAGGATTGTGGTGCCCGAGGAGGAAGTCGAGGGCTGGATCAAGGGCAAGCTTCGCCAGCTGTACCGGTGGGGCGCGAAGAAGGCGTTTGAGAAGAAGCTTACGCCGTTGGATGACAAGGACGTAGAGTGAGGGTCTAGATGAGGAGGATTGTTGCGTAAGGTGTACATGTATAACTGTTGGTGTATGATGTCGTGTTGGAGTATCACGGAGCGTAGACGTGCTGTGCCGCAGCGCCTGTATCGTAGGGTATCTACGCTCTAGATCTGGTGGGACCAGGACGGTCATACAGCAGCAGCAAGGGCTGTTGAACATAATGAGACTCCTCTTGGTTATATTCGCACACAGGCTGGTGGCAGCTACGTGATACGAGATGAGGCAGCACAGTTCCGGTGTCACTCACTAAACAGAGAGATCATACTCTTGCGGGGCGTTCTTTGAGATTGGAGCCGTCATTTAGGAGGATGTTCCATATTATCGTCGCCCTTGAACCGAGCGGTTGGTCCTTGGCCCGTGTTTGTATACATAGGATTCGCCACTGAACTCCTGAGCTGCAATCAACTAGGCTATAAACTCTGCTGGTTCGGACGCAGCTGATTGTCGACTGGGCGGTGGACAACGGCCATGGCTCAGTCCTCGGCATCTGAAGAGCCATAGTCCACCAGCAGCCCACCAGACTTGCCCGTACTCGTAAATTGTGCAGGCATCTGAGTTGTCGATGCAGCCGCCGGATTCGATTCCTTCGCTTGTGATACTTCCCCTTTGCCCCGAGGACGCTCCTCCACTCCCCCGTCCTCTTCTCGTTTCTCCTCCGACTCTTTCCCTTTCTTGTTCCCCTCCGTTTCACCCTCGCCCCCAGTACACGACCTCTTCAACCCTCCAACTCCCTTCAACCTCTTCTTCCCTCTACCACCCGCCTCCCTCATCCTTCTCTTCCTCCCAACCTCCCCAAACCCCCACCCCTCCCCTTCCCCCTCTCCACCGACTTCCCCTTCCCCGTCCCCTTCCCCTGCGCCATAACCCCCCGCAGCAACCCCCTTCCTCTGAGCCTCCTTAAAAGCCTGCAACCCCCTCTCAACCTCCCTCCGCGCCTCCTCCTCCTCCCTCCGCTTCCGCTCCCTCACCTCCTCCAGAAACTGCACTTCATCCTCCTCCAGCGCGCGGAACTGATTCCGCAGCCGGTGCGCCTCCTCAAACGCCGCCTGCTTGGCCGCTTTGTTGGCCTGCAGGACCTCGTACAGCGACTTTTCGGGTTGCTGGCTGCCCCCCTGTTGCTGTTGTTGGTGCAGACGGGCGGCCTCTCTCTGGCGGCGTTCGGACTCAAGTTGGGCTGTTACGGCGACCCATTCGGCTTTTTTTTTGGAGCCTGATGTTGTTTTTGTTGTTGTTGTGGTGGTGGTGGTCGTGTCGGTGGTGGTGGTGGTGGGAGGATCATTTTGTGTGGCCTCGCCCGTTGCGGCGACCATGACGCCGGCGGAGACGAAGCGGGAGGCCATCGTAGTGATTATGTAGATTTAAAAATTGTAAGACAGAGATATTAAAGAATGTCGCGTCAGGAATTGGGTGGGTGTTGGGGTGATGGGTGATGGTAGAAGGAGGACGGACGAGACACCGGTATTGCGGCCGGGTTCGCAGGATTTCATTCACTGCTGAGAGTGTGTGTCACATATGTTTGTGAAAACGAGGGAAATCCTGATGAGAACTCCAATCCGAGCGATACGCCGAGTACGTCTTCGGGATGTTATTTGTTAGATGTAATTCTGGGACCCAGTGATCGAACTTAACTTAGAACTCGAGGCTGGCCGAGAACGCGATGGCTGGCAGCCAGTTGCTGGCAGCTGGGATACGAAGGCAACCCGGCGAGGCATGAAAACAGGTACAGCAATGATTCCAAACACGAAAGGCTCACAGCTTTGCTATGTGATCAGATTTCTTACTTTTGGTTGTATCAAGGTTGGGGGTTCCATGATCGTTGCCATGCGCTGTACCCGTGCTGGCCGATTGTCCTACAAGCACACATGCCCGATCCCTAACTCCTCAACAGGTCCTTGTTTTGCAACACGTCTGCTCCAAAAGCGCCATGGTTTGCCAACCCCCTACTCCTCCCATCTCCTTCCATAGTCCCCTTTGTCCTACCAACCCAATCTTTCTCGTCATCCATCCTCTTTTCCCCAGCACCCCCGAAGCTCGTCAAGTCATAACCTTAGGTGAGTGCTAAGAAAAATGGAGCCGCACGCACGCCGTTAGGCAATGCGCCAAAAAATCTGGAACAGCGACATGAAAACAAGGCCGTACGCTGTTCAATCCCCTCCAAAACCTCTACTTTCAAAACGCGCGAATGAACCCCAATGGTGAAAGCCTTCTAGCCGAACCCAAAAGAGAACAATCGAAAACACAACCAACATAGCTTGGCCCCGGCAATTCTCAAGGTCTGCCGCTTCTGGGGTTTTGCAACCACCAGTGTCCTAGCGAAGCATGGTCGCACGACAGGCCCCAACCGGTGTAGAAAGCAAATGGGGAATTAGACATGGAGATAGAAAAGAATCAATGACACATGCCTCCCATGTAGCCCCAGAAAAAAAGAAATGTGAATATGCCTGGGGCAACCTTGAGTCAACTTTTCAACCTCATGACCCAGCCCCCATAAAAAAATTATACCGGTGAAAATAGCAGCAATATGTACTCGCGATCCCAGAAACTTTTGGTCATGGAAAACAAAGCCGGCAAATGATCGCTTTTGAACGGCGCTCGGCCGGGGGATCGTCCCGAAAACGCCTTGGCCAGCTGCATTTGGCAGCAAACTTGTGTCGTCTTTAGTTGGCGCAACCATCGTTTGTCAGGTCGAAGTGACCATGAAGCCGGAGAACGGGTGCTTGAGAGGTGATGAGAAAGCGTGAATGCGGTGTGGTGGCTAGCGGAGGCCAGCAGCATCGAACCTCCTGAAGCCATTACTCAACACCCGCAAGCGCCCGTCTTGACTCATGCCCTGTGAACTGCTGATCCACCGGCTCAAGCGCCAAGGTGGAGCAGACTGAAAGTTTTGCAAATGCCGAGAACCGTTTCGCCGAATCTATGATGAAAGCCGAAACAAAAGAACGATGGTATTCGAGAAAGGAAACCAGAAAACGCCGATGTATGGAATGGGATGGACCCTTATACCGAAAAACGATCTCATTAGTCGAGACGACTGGCACCAAAACCACGGGTCGAACAGTGACGGCGCCAATGTCCTTTAAGAAAACATTGAGCCTCGTCGCCGCGTTCCGACCATTGACTGCGTCCTGCCAAGTGCAGGCGTAAGCTGACAACGGGAAGCGAACAGCCACGACGGTGGCCGAGCGGGCTCGCTAGAGTTCGAGTGTCCGTCGCGTCCGAAGCGTCGCTGGGGTATCTGAATGCAAACGTATGGAATTTCCGTTGTTCCGAATAGAAGTCGCGCCCTGTAGACGATGTAATGGAAGAGCAGAATCGTGCTGGTGGAAAGACCCAGCATGCATGGCAGCAGGCAACGCCAGACGCGCCCATCATCATCACCCCATGAAGAATTATCGGGCGGCCATTAGCCAACAACAGCCTGCCTGTAGGTGTGGCCACCAAAGTAGCCGGCCGGTTTGTGGTGCGGTCCAGCGCAACCACCACAACTGCAGTCAGTGGGACTCGGATGCTCCCAGATACTGTGGCCGTAGCTGTAGTAGTTGCCATAGTTGGCGGCATTGCGGGAAGCGTGGCCGCCGTGGCGGAAACCGTTGTAGGGCGGAGGCTGTTGATACTGTCTCGAAGTGGCATTGCCGTTGCCAAGAAGCGCGCCGTCGAACCACTCCGTGTAATTGGAATTAACCAGGACTGTCGAATTGGCGTACTCTGGAGTGCCGTAGCCCGAATCGGGCGGCGTGAGCGGCGCCGCCTGCGACCAGGAGCCGACAGCATAGGCCCACGATGATGGATCGTGCCGGTATGAAGCCGCTTGGGGGGGTTGGGTGCGCTTCATGCTGGACAGGCGTTCGTACTCTGCCACCTGCTGCCGGTGCCAAGCCGAGTAGAGCTGGTCGGCACGAGTTCGAGACATGTCAGGCTCGATGGGCGACACCAAACCGTTCAAGCGATCGCGGTTGACATGCTGCTGCCTTTGCTTCGTCTCTAGCCACTCCTTCCAGTTAGAAAGCCAAGCCTGGTAGTCCTTGCTCGCGTCCAGGTTGACATAGAGCGACCAATGGGTGGCGCCTAACCACTCATATTCCAGAGTGTTGAGTTCCTGAACCGGAATTCCGCTCACTTCCGACCAAGATTTGTTCTGAAAGGTGTTATCGTCCAGAAACTTGCTGCCGAGGAGCAGCGAGATGGTGAGCATGCGCCAAACTTGTCCCTCGGTGTGGTTGTTCTGCCCGGCGGCGTGCATCATGTTGATGCGCTTGGCCAAGTAATTCATGCCGAGGAGTATTGTAGTGCTTGGGAGGCGAGTCGAGGTCAGAATTTGCGAAACGAACTTGCGGAATGCCGGGTTGACTTGACGCTGGGGCATGACAATTCGGGTCGCCATCTCAGCTACGTAGTCGGCCATGAGCTCGACATCGTAGTCGAGCACAGCGCAAACGCCACCAGGCATTGTGACTGTTACCGAATCAGGTCGAGAGATGTCGTAGATGGTAGGAGGGTCGAACTGCTTCGAGCAGCTGGAAAGGGCAATTGAGCGCGGGGGTCAGTCCACGCGGTGCCAGCGCTTCCAGAGCCGAAGAGTCGGAAGATCTCGAGAGGTGAGGGGAATTCGAGATCTCTTAGGCTTGGTGAGCCATCAAGTGTATATCGCGCCGTCCACACAAAAAGGTTTCTGTTGCAACCGAGGTATGGCGATTCAAGTGCGCCTCGGAGTGTTGGAACCAAGCAAAGAGCAATCGCCGGCTCTAGGTAGGTTGTTGAAGAAGAAAGCCTGAAGCCTTGTTCCAAGGAAACACGTAGGCTCGAACGTGATGTCGAAGAAAGACGCCGAGATTTGAAGGGCCGGAATGTTAGGAGAGTGACGAAAAGAAACGTTCGGGTACTGCCAAAGACCAAGGTCGTTAGCCACAGACCGTCCTCTTTCCAACTAGCGAGCGTCCGAGGATGTCCGAGCCATAGACAGGAAGACCCGTCGAGGGCCAGTGACCCCAAGGCCAGATTCACCGGCCGAAACTCGACGTCGCGTCGGCAATAGGAAGTCGGGCCAAAACAGAACCGGGAAACGTGAAGGTGACTGCCAGTTCGAATGGCGATGGCTCCGGGCCCGTCTGGAGACAAACGGGGCAGGGAATAGATACTGACCTAGTATTGAAAATCGACCAAACCCTTGCGATCCTTGCGTTGAGTATTGGGTGTCCTCCCAAGCCGTGTCGATGGTTAAGACCCACAGACACAACAGCACCCGGGTCGAGGAAATCGCTCGCGAGCAGGCGCTGAATCTGTCGCCGTTCGAGTCAACGAAGGTCGACCAAACACCCGAATCCTTTCGTGAACGACACAAAAATGAATTTGGCCGATCGTCGATCGCTCGGTGCTTGGCGGATTCAGCGATGGTCGACGGAAGAGGGAAAAGGAAATGCGGCGCGTGGAAGGGTGGGAGGTGGGAGAGGGAAAGAACAACGAAAAAAGGATGCCTTTGCGGAGCACTGGGAACAGTTGATCAAAGGTGGCCGGTGCTCCGTGGGCCCACTGGCATGCTAGTGGGTGTTTAGTGGATGGGGCGAGGAAACCTGGGCGATTTGCTCGGGTGGACCATTGAGGTGGGCCTCTGGACTGAGGATTCGAGGAAGGGACCAGCAGGGGTGGCAGGCACAAGCGGGCACAACGCCGAGGAAGTCGACAAGGCAGCCAGGCTTCTTCGAGAGATGGATGGGAGTTTGAGGCCGGATCGCCTAGTCAACAAAAATTATCGAGTGCACTATCACCTTCTGAAGTCCCCAGTCCCGACTAGTCTATTCATCTAGCCAGCGGTCAGACTTTTTTCGCCATACCAAGAGAGATTGTGTCGAACAGCCCGACCCGGGAGCTGCAATCTCACAAGCGGCAACATATGGTGCGCCAAATTGAGGTTGACAGGTAACGGAATGAAATGACGGAGAGGACATGGACCGGCACACCGTCGCGCCTCCCACAACATCCCGTCTTGAACTGGCCATTCACCAACGTTATCCATACAAGTGTACTCCGTAAAATCCGCACGCTAGGCGGTCAAATGAGAGCGCCAAGAAGACCTTGCAGCGTTGAGCGAGGAGCAGATGAAGTGGGCCTAGAGAGGGCGTGTGGGATGGCAAAAACTTTCCTCATTCTTGATACCCCTCCTCCGGAAACCGAAGCCACTCTTCGTATTCCGAGGCACAACGGTGACGGTTCGGTACGAAGATTGAAAGAGAATGAGGCTTCGAACCTCTCTGGGAATTTTGAAGTACATATGAACTGACTTGTACTGGGTTGTAGAAAAGAACATCCATTCGGGACGTGTCTCAGTCGAAGGCAAAGCTTGGGATATTTTTCGATAAGAATGCGAAGTTAAGACGCCGATTCGTGGTTTGAGAAAGTACAACTTGGACTCCGTATTGCCATTGAACGATTGGTCATACAATGAGTGACTTGTCGCGATGTCCCAAACCGCAAGTTGGGAAGGCTCAGTCCATCGACACTTCCAATCCCATTTACAGAGTGTCTGCATTCCACCTCCAGCGACGAGGAAAGCAGAGATCTGTTTGGAAACCTGAAAGTCGACCTCTGACAACCGACAACCGGAGAGTGTTTCCATTCATTCATTAACCTTGTCAGCCAACCTGCCCCAAGCCAAGATAATCGCCTGCCAACACGACCACATCCCCGATCTAACGGCTTCGGCCAACATCTCAAAAAGAGGTCCCTACCTACACCAGAGCATGTGCTGCACTCTGGCGGACGGAAAGAACGTCGAGTCTGTTGTTGGTGAGCGAAGGCTAACGTTAATGTGTAATCAGTGGAAGTTTACGGATCCGTACCCTTCACACTACAACGGGTCCACCAGGCTGTTCGCGCACTCAACGCACGGTCCAAGAACTGCGTAACGCACTGATCAATTTACCTTGGACTCGATCCCATCCCCGTCTAGATCTCGTCTCCCTCGAGACACCATGACATGCCGGCATTTCTACACCGTACTACTGTACCGGCTCGAAGCATGAGTCAGGAAGCAAATCCAGGCCCGACACGCGGACGAATACGGATAGGCACTCATCAGTACCAGTACGGCCAGGTCGAAGGAAATGGCACTTGCAGCAGCTTATTACCACAGCAGTAACGGATCGGAGACGGAGGGCCACCCATGTGGTTGACTAAAGAGACTCCAGGGGTATTCCGAGGCCTTCTGAAACTCTGCGGAAGCGGTCAAGGCCAACTGGAACCATGGTGTCGGGAGATGCCACTCCCGGCTGCCCCAAATCTTCGATAAGTCTCTCGTCAGGAGCAACATTTCATGTGGCAGGCAGCAGTTGAACGCAATGCATCAAAATCTCGGCTTTACTGTGTATGTGTACGAGCCTGCTTCTGCTTGCTTTGCAGCGAAACGAAACCCTCGCTGCGGCTGGCCGTTCTCTCGGTTGATACCCGGCAACAGCAAAAACCTGCGGGTTTCCTCTTTTGTTGCTCCTGTTCGGGGATCAATAGGAACTCCCCGTTCTACAACCTGAGGCACCCATACACTGCTCTCAACTTCCCAGCCAAACTGCTGCACATGGGTTTGTCAAAGGATTCCGTAACAGCACCGGGACAATTCTGCCTCTCCCCTCCACAGCACTGCATTGTCAAGCCCTCCACTGACTTTTTTCTCGCTCTCAAAGAACATAGCAGCCTTCAGCAAGGCCATCAGAAGATGTCGAGATTTGCTTGGGCGAGATTCAGCGCAAGGCGGCCAACCAGAACCGACGCGTTGTCCTGGAGAAACACGACTAAATGGATGTCTCGAGCCACCTCCCACCCCTGTTAGCCGGCCGCGCCTTTGAAAGCCACGCGAGATGAATTTGAACAAACCACCCAATCCTCGCCGACTCCCAGCGCTTATTAATCGGCCGTCTTTCATAAGGTACAGTACCTGAATTGCATGGAATTGGTGCGTCCTTCCTCCGAAAGGGACAACCGCCCCACCGGCTTCGACGCAGGCGGTGTGGCAAGCGACCGGTGACAAGCCGGCTCCAAACACAAACGATGGGAGGGCAGTTTCTTACCTCGCTTCTCCAACCTGCTTACAGGTGGAGGCTGTTGACTTCGCCCGGACAGAAAAGCCAGGCCGGAGTTACGATTCGCCTTTGGCCGCTTCCCAACTTCCGAAACTGAACTGAGATCTGTCTGACAACTTCCCCATGCAGACCCCTCATGCGGTCACGATGAACGTTGGTGTTGAACCGGTAATCCCGCAGCGCCACCTCGATGTCATACACCTCTGACAAGCCACAAGTGCCAGTCATCCAGTGTGCCTGGAGGCCAGCGGACATCACGCTGCAAACCCACACACTGTCACAGAGTCTCGCTGCCTGCTTGTCATCGTCGTCATCCCGGATCCACCGGGACATCTCAAACCGACGTCGAGGAATTCAGCAGGCGGGCATGACCAAGAGGCCTTGCCCTGACGAGAGATGCAGCACCATACCACATCCGCCACACCGAAGTCACTGAACATCTGCCTTCAAATCGGAGCCAATCGACATGAGATATGTTCCGGCCCCTCCATAGGCGCGTAGAGATCCTTTCGAGTTGGCGCTCCATCCTCATAGAGGGTTTCCTCTGGCTAATGCCAGTGTTGGGCAGGCATACAGGCGCCTGCCCCGTCGTCGACCGTCTGCATTCTGCAGCCCACGCTTGCCATGCGCCGTGGCGGGGTTCCCATGCTCAAGCCCTTTTTAAGATCGTGGGAAAGCGAAAATATGCCGCAGTTGTATCGTCTCCTCCATGAACCCATGTCCCCTTCAACGGCAGCAGACTGCAGCCCAACATGCGAAGAGCCAAGGTGGTCTTGGCCGCATGTGCTGAACGATTTTTCTCTGGTCCGCTTGGTTCGACAAGGCGGGGTCCCCCTTCCAAGACTTTTTCTTCATTCACTGTTTCCTTTGCTCTTTTCTTGTCACTGCCGATAATCATCCGAGGATGTGACCGACTGCATCCAAACCGGGGGCGACGGCTGTTAAACTCTTGGACTGGATGATGCCAAAGCCATGTGAGATACAGGGAATCTGGTTCACCGCTTCCCCTTGTTGGTGGTGCATCGCACTTGACATGCTCTTCGATCGTGTCCATACAAAGTAATAAAGGTAGCACCTCGTATGGGTTGTATCGACGCTTCGGTCGTCAAAAGGAAAGACAGTACAAGTTTTCTTGAGCGTCTTCTTTTTCTGCATGCCCAAACAAGTAACCCGATTGACTGTCTGTTTCGGGCCCCAGCCGGAGGCGGTTCCCTGGCCATTGATCTCGGCTTCACCATCTTGCATTGCATCATGCTACGGCCAAGGTTTGGCCAGCCGTTATTGAAACAGAACATGCCTTTCCAAGTCGTCTTCCTTCCGGAAGCATCTCTTTCGCTCAACTCCTCAAAGACGCATACATCGGAGGGGTATCTATCTTCGGGAAAAAGTGGGGCGCCCGTCGTTTTGCCGTAACGCCGATTGAGCGGCCGGCGCACCGTTCGTTAGTCCATGACGGGGGGGAGAACAGGTTCTTACGTGAAGTGAACCAGTCCTTCTGGATTCCGGACTTCGCTCAGCACCGATCACATCAGTTAACGTAACAGTAGCCCAGACTCGAATGGTGACACTCGGAAAGCCCTGGCCATCGACATCGGGGCTGCGCAAGCACAGGTTCGCTTGGCATTACCCAAGGCAATGGGCGATAGCAAACTTTGCGTCATATAGAGAGGATCGTTGGATTTACCATCCAGTCAGTACAGTGCCAAGCTTGAACCTGCAGCCTAGACATTCAGTTATGATCCGTGTGTCATGGCTGGGGCCTTCGTCATTGGCCACCAGGTGACTTTCACCTGTTGGCTCTGACGCACATGCCTAAGACAACTTCCGCGACCTGCCTGCCTGGGAGAACTAACTCCAAAATTTTCGAAGCGTAGCCTGCGGTATTACACAGACGCTTACGTATACTCTTTGAACCGAGCTACAGCGAGGTTACAGTGACGTGTCGTGCACCGCCGCTTCGGTTGAACTTAATGGTTTGCAGGACACAATGCCGTAGCAGACTGACCAGTGATGTGCGATGTGACAGCTACCTCCTAGCAATAGCTGCCTGCTTGTCGAACTGCTACGGAGAGGCAATCCAGTCTCAACCTCCTATCATCAGTGACTGTCCGTTTCAGCATTCAGTACTGACTAAGCGATAAAGTGTGCTTTGGGATGAGCTGGAACAAGGTGCTGGGGACATCTGGTGGACGGTTAAGCGTATTTCGCAGGATATTTTTTTTTGCTTCCAGATCAACAACAGGGGTACAACTGCACAATGTACACACTTACGGTCTCCTTAGCTAGACATGATCAAGGTCAAAGAGTCACGGGCGAAAAGACTTCGACGGGCTTCCACCCTCCAACGTCAATTCCTGCTCAGCCACATATACAGGTCAAACCCCAATATAGTCGACGACTCTTCCCTCGAAGCGACGTGCAGCTTGACGCAGGGCGTTAAGGGTAGAAAGAAGGATTGGCTACGAACGCATCAGATAGTTTCACTAGCACTCAACGTGATGAGGACCCCAAGTCTGCCACAGACTGGTATCAGCTGGGATCGGACGACAAGAAATTCCAGATGTTCAATGTTAAACATGGCTATTACCTGAACCAGTATGTACACCACAACTGCGGAGCCAACCCTTGTTTTTCGACGGAGGAATGTTCTCACCCAAGACAACGCAAATGGAGCATTGCCCTGTGATCGGTGATCACAAGGTTGATGAACCATGCCACAGAGCTTACTTAAGTAGAGCAGATGATACAACTCGACAAGAAAACAAGCAATAACTTCCCCGTACTCATCTTCCAGGCAAGAGGACATCAAAAACCGACTGTCACAGATAACGGAATACATGGCAGATAAAGTATCAAACTCCGCCTGAAAACAAATCGACATCGTCGATTTACCCTTCCTCCTGCATGTGTGCCTTCGGGCTCGGCAAGGACGGGAGAGAGGACATGCACGGGGCGACCTGTCGACAGGAACGCAACCAGCTCTGGCCCAGGGGGCGCACATGGCACATTTTACCATAAGATACATAACACAGTCAGTTGCCACAGGCCCCTGCCCAATCACCCACCCTCCCATGCTTGCAGACACGGGAGCTGTTCACAAGTCATCCCCAACATCATGCCCATCACGTATCACCGCCCAAGCCCCAGGATCAAGCCAACGACATCACTTGGAAAGACAAAGGGTCCACATTATCTGAAGCCCCTGACCGTTCCATATCCCACAGCACACCAACAACGCCGTGAACCTCCCAGAACAAACAACATTAGGCAAAAACAATCCATTTCCGTCCCCTTAAGCAGCCATGAACGCCGTGGCTCAGCAGACTCTAGCCTCCTCCTGCCCAAGTGTCACAGGGTATTGTTGTTACATGCCAATACCAAAAGGATACCTCCCTTTCCTTCACCCTCCTCACCTCGGCACGATATTTCTCTCCTTCCATCAGTTCATCATTTTCTATGCTCGAGTCCTTCTCTCTCCACATGCCGGCCTCCCTTGAGCCGAGACCGCTGGGCTCGGAGAGCGGCCTCACAGTCACAGCCGATCCACACCATGAGCCTTGGTGCCGAACAGGATCCCCGATCTTTAACCGACCAAGTCGCTCATGATATTTTTGAACTGGGCAGCCGCGGCGGCAACCGAAGACGACCCCGGACTCTGCTGACGGCCGCTGCCGTTGCTCTTGAGCTCGCTTGTTGCATGATATCTTTAGCAGCTTCGCTGTCCTTGTCATCCTGCAAAGGCGGATAGTCGGGCTCGTTGATATCGCAGGTAGAAACCTCAAAAAGCAGAACCTAAAAGCCAACGCAAAAGAAAAAAAAAAAAGGTGCGCAAAACACAAGTCAACAAAATAAAACCATCCCCGTTCCACTTTCTTTTCATCTTCATCTTCAAGCAATCATCATCGAATAAGGCACGATCGCCTTATCCACGACTGGCTCACGTCTCGAAGTCGCCCGGGCCTCGTCGCCCCACCTGGCGAACCAGCTGTCCTCCTTCTGCCGCGCGTCATCAAACGCGCGCCGGCACTCCTCCGGCAGCAGGTCGCGCACGTCGTCGGGCACGGCCCGCAGGCCGCGAAAGGGCGACAAGAAATCGGCGGCCTCCGACGCCTCGTGGTCCGCCTGCGACGTGCGGAACGGCACATCGTACGCCGCCGCCGACACGCCCGCCGGCGGCGCCTCCAGGTGCGTGTCCATGATGAGGAAGTTGCGCGAGATGGACGGCTTGATCGGGGGGAAGGTCGTTGGTGTGGTGGTGGACTGGTCGGGTTCGTCGACGTCCACAATCTGCTCGATACGCGCGTGTGTCGGCTGCATGATGCGCGGGTAGTGCATCTGGTTGGTGTGGATGTCGTAGACGCCGTTCAGGTTGGCGCGGCGGACCGCGGACAGCATGCTGTTGAACTGGCTGCGAGACGGGGTCAGGCGACATGTCATCTGCGAATCTCAAACGCTGTGGATACGCACCTTGCCTCGCGGGCGTGCTCCAGCTGCCAGTTTACATCGTTGACGGCCACACGCCGCTTCTTGGTGTCGGCCTTGACGTTCTGCTGGGGGACAGATTGGCCTCCTGAATGGTAGACGGCGCTAGCGCCGTGCCACGCAACGTACTGGTTCTTGTTATACGGCTTGTCCGGGTCGTAGACGTCCGTTGGGTCAGCTAGCTCGCCTTCCACCACACCCTCCTCGCGCGCCTTGGCGACCTCGTAGTCGTCGATGATCCGGCGCCCGCCGACAATGATTTGTGCGCCAAACTCACGGAACACTGACCTGGCCGTCACGATACCTATCGAACGGCCTTTGTAGCTGTGCGGAATTATTTCGCGCTCGATCATGTCGCGCTTCTCTTCGTCGTTGACTATGATCTTGTACAGCTTTTTGTGCTTTGTGAAGAAGAGGTATGAGTCCCGAAAGCCAACGCACCGGGCGGGCTCGGTGGAAAGCATGTAGAGGCGGTCGCCGCGGCCGATGACCGTGAAGGTGCGGCACCGGTACTCGCGGCCCCCAAGGAGGTTGCCCAGCTTGTCGACCTTCTTCTCGCCCTCGGGATCCTCGGGCAGATCGACCTCGTCATTGACAATATCCAAGACGGTGCCATCCTTGTCAATCGACTGCTGCGTAGGCTGATAGTGTTGGCCCTTGCGGCCGCCCCGGCCACGCCATCCTCCCCGACCTCGGCGACGCGGAGTAGCATCCGGGTTAGGAGGCTCGATCGGCAAGGTGTCCCAATCCGGCGGACGGTTCTTGGGAGGTCGTCCTAGCCGTCGGCGACGGATGACAGGCTCGGGCGGCGGAGTTGGAGACTTGGCGGATTCCTCATCCTCCTCCCGGGCTTCTTCCTCGGCGGCAGAACCGTCGTCCTTCTCTGCCTCCTCTCCTCCTTCCCGCTCGGGCGCCGTGTCTCCTTGTGGTTCGGTGGCATCGGGCATGGGCTCATCGTCATCGTCGATTCCGTCAAACGTCTTGGGCGTACTCTCTGCGGAGGGAGACATGGCGTTAGTGATCCTGAGATTCGGAAGCCGCTGGTGAGAATCGGTCGCCATGTTGCAAGGCAGGTTTTTGTGTGATTTGGCATAAAGCGGTCCTACTGAAAGCGGCCAATCGTCACTTATGCAGCTGTTCAGATGGGAGCGAGCAGATCGGACGCTCAATGGCTCGGGAATGACTGGGCGGCCGGGTGTGCTCTCTCCCTTTGTACCTTGACCGTCTGCTGCCGACGGCCAGTATATAGTTGCACCAACGGGCAAAGCAACCAGTCTGTTGCAGGAGGTTTGTTTGCAAAGTGCAACCGGGGCCATCAATGCTCCAAAGTCGCGTGGAGGGGCAGTGTAGCTGCAGCACGAACGCAAAAAATCCACATACCGAGCGCTTGCTGGGCGCGCTTTGCAGCTGCGCGGCTAGTTCGTCGAGCAGGCATTTTGCGGGCTTGGTTGAGCGAGCGTGGTGTGACGACACTTTTGCAGCTGGCCAAGGGCGCTCTGTGGGCTGGCGCGATTCACAGTCGCAGTCAACCGATGACAGGCGGGTGGGTTTGGCTCGGTGTTGCGACGCGGGATGCGAAAGACGTGAAGTTGGGAATTGGCCCATGCGCATACAGTGTACAGTGCGATAAATGTACAAAATTGAACTGTGTGAGTATCGCTCAGTCAACTGGATCTGTCAACTGAATTCAAGCTCTTTTGGCAGTGCAACTAACTTAACTACATACTCTCCGCAGCCGCTGCCATTGAAACGGCTCTAGGCATCAGTTCCTGGTGATGTGCGTCCGTCCATCGCTACAGCATGCACCCGTTCCCCAAACTTCAGACAGAAGCCCAGGTTCACCCTCGTCAGTATACTCAGGACAGGATTGCGAAGATCACAGTTTGGCATAGTGTCATGTAATGTTCTTGACCTTTAACTAACCCTGACACTATGAGTATCACAATTCCCAGGCTGTAAGGCGAGTCCTAGACCACATAACAACCATCCTAGCCACGACGCGCCAAAGCAAAACCCTGCTGTCCGCTGATCCAAGACCGAGGATGCAGTCGACCGCTTGACCTCCAAACCCAGCGAGGGGAGCGAGCCGGACCACCAAAATAAATGAGCAAGAAGCGGGGCTGCTACCAATCTGTCGTCGAGCCTTTGCCGCTGTCGTTACATTTCCAGTAAAGACGTCCTGCCCATGCCATCCGCCCCTGTATGGTGACCACTTGCTGTTACGCTGCCGTCCATACTCTGGCGGACTTTATGGTGCTGTGCGACTCCAATGTCTAGTCTTCCCACCCGCATTAACACCAGTCCTCATAAGGGGCTCTTGCCCACGAAAATGTCGTTTAAGCCGGCGAGTCGACTGGCGCCAGTGCGTCGGTAAAGCCGACCCCCAACTGCGCGCTGTCCTGGAGCTCGCTTGGCTATCTAAGCCGCCGGCACCTTGTCCGCTTTCGCGAGAACGTCGTCAAACATCTCCTCCGGGAAAACGTCCTTGGTCAGAACTGTGTTCTTTGCCGCGTAGAGATACCGGTATGCTGTCTTGACGGTCCCGTCACTGACGTTGGAGACGGCAGCAATCGCCTTGTAGCTTCGCGGTTCCCCAACGAGGTGAGCAGCCATGTAGATGCAGGCGGCGGCAACCGACAGCGGCGACCGGCCCGCGAGGTCCGACACCTCGGACGATCTCTCGGTGAGGCGGCGCGCAATGCTCTCGACACGGACGGGATTTCGAAACGAGAGGGCGCTGCAAAAGCGGATGCACAGCTCGTCGGCGGTCGTGGAGCCCTTGGCCTGATATTGCTGGCTATAACCGGTGGCCTTGGCCACCTTGTCCTCGCCGCCCATCTTCTGCAGAAAGGCCTCGAGCAGCTTGAAGACGCGCCCAATCTCCTTCTTGGACACCTTGGTAAGGCCGTAGATCTCCCTAAACGTCCGCGGCACGCCCGTCTGCCGGCAGGCGATGAAGATGCAGCCGGCCACGATGGCCTCCTGCGACTTGCCCTTCAACGCCTTGTTGTCGTCGACCATCTTGAAAATGTGCTTGGCCGTGTTGGCCACTTGGCTGCCCGTGTTTATGCTGTCGGTCAGGGCCTGTATGTCCCGATATGCCTGAAGGAGCGCTTTGGTACCCTTGTCCTGGGTGATCTTGTTCTGGAGGTGAGCCAAGTTCTTGGCGCCCTTGCCGTCGAATGCGATCGACGTCTGGAGCTGGTCGCCGTCAATCATCAAATTGGGTGCGTCACCGACGCGAGAAGGGTCTTCATTTCCGTTGTCGTCGCCCGAGAATGTACGCCATTCAGACCGCGTGTCAATGATGCGGTCGAGGACAAGACCGCACGAGGCGCAGACCATGTCGCCCGAGGAGTACTCCTCAACCAGGTTGGGCGGATCCTCCTTGCAGTCGGGACAGATGAGGATGCGGTTGAGATCCTCCCTGAATTCCTGATCTTTGGAGCCCTTGTCGGCCGCATCAAAAGCGGCAAAAGCATCCGCCGCCATGTTGGACGATGCGGATGTGGTCCCGATGAAGCGATAGCACGAAACTCCTACCGTTTATTTTAAGGAAAAGTGCAAAAATGGTTTGCGCACGCTGCGCGGCCTGGTTGGAGCGGAACGGAGGAGGCTGGCAGGTTCTCGCAAGTGCTGGAAACCTGGGGAATCAGGTCGACGGGGGAACCGAGCAGCGCTGTCTCTGGCAGAGAATGATCCGAGCAATCGAGACAGCGAGGCTGACAAAAGTTGCGAATGCGTGACGGCGCCTCTAGCGACTGTTCTAGGAACCAGCGAAGGCGTCCGAGATGGCTCCGGTATGCGATCGGGGGCGCACTCTCAGAACAAAGAACAGCCGCTGTCGGGTTGGAAAAGGTCGTCGTCGCTAAATTCTCGAAACTAGTGGGTTGCGCTTCGACTACGGGTCGTTACTGTCGCACAACACTCGGGACATCGATGGCCGGGCTCGTCGGTTCAAGAATGAAAGCACAGCGAACGGCAGGCTGGGACGTGAGGTTGGCGCGAAAGAGAGGGATGGAGAACAAAGGAGGCAGTGCCGACGCTGACTGAACGTTAAACTTGGGTAGCCGAGGGAAAGTGCTCCCACTAGACTCACGGGTCCGTGTCGCTTTGGTCATCTCAGCTGCATTACGGATGTAATCACCACGAAAATGCATCTAACGCGGCCACCTCCCCGCGCCCGCAACATCACAGCTGGCGCCATCTCCATGGCCACCTTCACAGACGACTGCCTTCCTCCCGAACGCTATTTCGAGTCTCGACAGGCCGTTTTTGAGTCAATCAATGCGTGGGCTAAGCCGGGAGGCTACGCTTTTACGACTCTAAGCTCAACGAAAGAGAAAATGGCACGTCAACTGTCATCTACGCATGCGATCGATCAGGTGATCCTCCAAGCGATAGGGAGCGTCAGAGAAGAACTACAACTCGGACGCATTGCCCTTTCTCAGTTATAGCAAAAGACACGACTGATGGCGGCTGGACCCTGAAGCATCGTCCCAATCAACGCTTTGCGGTACACAACTATGAGCCAAGCAAGCACCCATCGGCCCAACCAGTCCATCGGCCACTCTCTGGAGGTACATCACAGCTTGCAAGCTTCTCTAATGCTGGTATCTCACCGAAGGAGATCCAGACACTCGTACAGCAGAGCGGCTCACTAGCTACAAGGCAAGACATCTACAACCGAATTGCAGATGTACGTCGAGATGCATGCGAAGGTCAGAGTGCAATTCATGCGCAAGCCAATCGCGGGCGCGGGGAGGTGGCCGCGTTAGATGCATTTTTTTGGTGACTAATACAGGGCTCCCACTAGAGAGACGGGTCCGTCTCGCTTAGTCATCGCAAAAGTGTATTACTCATTACAAAATGCATCTAACGCGGCCGCCTCCCCCGCGCCCGCAGCACACCGCCATCGCCATCGCATCGCCATCGCCATGGAGACTTTCCCAGGCGACTGCCTTCCTCCCGAACGCCATTTCGAGTCTCGACAGGCATTATTCGAGTCGATCAACGCGTGGGCTAAGCCAAGAGGCTACGCCTTTACTACCCAAAGGTCGACGAAGGAGAAGAATGGTACCTCGACAGTGATCTACGCATGCGATCGATCTCGTCATCCTCCTAGCGGCGTATTGGAGCGTCAACGGAAAACAACAACTCGAAGGACGAATTGCCCGTTTTCAGTTATAGCAAAAGAGACGACTAACGGCGGCGGCTGGATCTTGAAGCATCGTCCCGATCAGCGCTTTGCGGTACACAACCATGAGCCAAGCCAGCACCCATCGGCAAACCCAGTTCACCGGCAACTTTCTGAAGGCACGTCACAGCTTGCAAGCTTTTCGAATGCCGGTATCTCGCCGAAGGAAATCCAGACACTCGTACGGCAGAGCGGCTCACTAGCTACAAGGCAAGACATTTACAACCGGATTGCAGATGTACGACGAGATGCATGCGAAGGTCAGAGTGCAATTCATGCGCTAGCCAATCGACTCGACAAGTCGCGGGGGAGGCGGCCCCGTTAGATGCATTTTGTGATGACTAATACCTTTTGCGATGACTAAGCGAGACGGACCCGTCTCTCTAGTGGGAGCCCTAATACAGCTGTGCAATGACTAAGCGACACGGACCCGTCTCTCTAGTGGGAGCGGTTCCACCTCTCTACTGATTAGACTGTGACGTATTGATACAGCACAATACCATAGTTCATATCCGTACTCGGGACTGTCATCATGCTGCTTCCGTGCTATGCATCCTCTCTGTCACTCTTCGCTTTCATCGCTCTCAGAGCTCCTACACTCGACTCAGACATGTACAGGGCCTGTATCTGACCGATCTCGTCCGCTTCGCTCGTCAATGCTCAGGGTATCAAACTAACCGAACCGACAAAAGAAAACACTCTGGGCCCAGCAATGTGAGAATTGCGCCTCCTATCTCGAAGCCAATGCTGCCCCGACGCCGACGAGCCCCTGCCTTGTCTCGCTTCTTGCTAGCCTTTTCCGAGCCGACACGTCTAAGATGAAAATGAGCTTCCCAGGACTTGCCCACAGGTCCGCCGCCAGAGGTTTGAGAGGCTCTGCTCAGTCGTTCGGTGCACGCCAACCACGAATGGGCTTGCCCACATCCAACCAGGCGTCTTCTCTCATCCTCAATGTATGGCCTTTTCGGCCTTCCAACCGTGGTCCATCAAGCAAGCGCTGTGTCGTATAAGCAGCCTCTTCACCGTTGCCCTCAGGGTTCTGTTCAGCTCGCCGAGCGCCTACCGGGATGGCGTGGCGGCACTGGTGCGCTCGAGTTTGGGCTCATGGATGGCATCCGGCGATGCTTCGCTGGCGAGGGGATGGCCAGGATGGGCACTTGGCTGGCTGCACTCGCCGCTGGATGTTGGCCGGCCGACATGGATCGTTCGTGCCGCACCTGGGCTTCCCACCTCTTCCAATCCTCCTTTAACCTCGTCGACTCCTGTCGCTCCAGCTCCCTCAGTTCCCGATTGGCTTGGTCCATCATGGCCGACAAGCTGCTTCCGGACGAGTCGGTGGACCGCGCCGCCAGGGACTTGCGGATCATCTGCCTCCTGCGCTCCTCCTCCTCGAGAAACAGGTCGACCCTGTTCATTTTCTGCCTCTTGATAATCTCGTCGCGGCTCAGGTATGGGTGGAGCTCTTGGTATCTCCTGTATTGGCGGCGTCTTGTGTAGTACATCATGAGGAAGGTAAACGAGACTCCAACGCCGATGATGCCGCCCACAACTGACGCCACGATCCATACCACAGAGGTGCTCATGGAAGGAGATGCGGTATCCTTGACATACTCAGTTCGTGTGTTGGCGTCTCGAGCGCTGGGGAAGGCTGCGGTATTGGGCATCCTGGAGGGATGGACTTAAAACACGTTGAAAAGGGAAATAGGTGCGAGGTAATGATGTCGACATTCGCAAGGTGAGCAGGATGCATGCGTCTTTTCAAGTGGCTTCCCCCGGACTTGAACCATGCTGGGGATCGATGCCTTATATGGATGCCACAAACACTTCTCTCTCGGCACTGAAACCAAGGAACCACCTCTGCTGTGGAACGGCTGGCGGTTACTATCAGCGACTTCTATTCTTGGGCGAATCCCACCCTGCTACGGGCCATCTGTACGCCGACTCTGGACACGGCTAGATGGGCGAGGTATTCGAGGGGATCCCAGTCTTTAGTGTCGGCTGCTCTTTGTCCACTCCCAAAACAGCCTCCTCGAGGTGTAAGTGAGGCGCAGCGCGGGGCTGCAGCACGGCAGATTCTCCCGCTAGGAGCTGGGGTTCGGCATGATTACAACCTTTGATTTATCTGCCTGTGTTCTCTCGAACCTGTTTTACACTTTCTCTTCCAAAGTAAGACGGGCCTGGGATCGACCGTTCTGCAGCAGGCTTACTGCCTAGTCGCCAAACTGGAATCCGGCCCGTGTAATTCGCATCGGGAAGGCAAAGTCTGTCTGTCTCCCACGGCGTGGAGAGAGAGAATCTCGAAGCATACTAAGTCCAAAGAACGAAAATGGGAGACCGAACACAGCCGTTTGCGCCACGAATCTGTTTCCTCCGATCAGATGCAGGTTAAGAGGACCTCGTTTTGGTTGGTCCTGCCACGCGACCTCACCTCAATTGGCTCTCACGACCTGGCGTGAGGCGATGCAAGCCCGCCAAGATCCGACTTAACAGTCGCGAGTTATGTTTCCGAAGCAATGCAGTTCATGGCTTCTGGCCGACTGCTGGTACCAGTATCTGTGGCAATGAAGAGAGCCCGGATACCCGATTGATTGGCTCACATTGTCTTGCTTAATAAGATACGGATCCGTACACCTTCCCGGAGAGCCTGTCACAGGCTGCCTGGATCAACTGTCATCTGCCAGAGGCAGTCCCGTTGCTGTCTCAGGATATCTCCAACCCACAATAAATCAGAGCTCTCGGCCACATTCGCCCTTCTTTTGACGCAGAGGGAAGCTCCACACAGCCGTCAGAGATGGGGTCGATGAGGGAATCTGAGGTTTGACGGGCTATCTGCAACACGTCAGGCACCTGTGCAGCGGTGCTGGAAGCTGGGAAGACGAGGACGTCATCTATCAAACCGCGACATGTGCAATTGGAAGCAGAGGCCTGGATCAGCTTTACATACGGATTACTTTGGCAGCATTCAGCAGGTGGAACGTCAGTGGGGCTGGAGCAAGAGGATCCCCTTTGCGTCTGCGGGGCACCTCAAGGGATTTTTGATTGGGCCCCTGGAGAGCCTCTGCCCCACCAATGGAGATAATCCGCTGGAGAGCCGCCAAGTAATCAGACCAGAACAGCCACGTCGAGATGTACCCATCAATTTGGGCTCAGCTCATCAATTAAACGCTAGTAGACGATCTCGGGAAAGTGGTTGAGGTTGGCTAGAACAATTGTAGGCGAGATTTAAGGGATGTCTCAGGGAGGGCAGGCTGACGGGTCGACGATATAAACGACAGGAAATTCACTTGACGCTTGTGCAATGCATTGGTAAGGGCCAGAAGGGGACGGGTGGATAACTCCAGCCATCGGGAAAAGGGAACAGCAGGCGCATGTACGAAATACAGGATCAGATCATCTCATCATCATCTTCAACACATTGACTCATCTATGGGTATCCAATCCCCTAAATATCACGCCATGCGCCATGCAATGCTCCGCCCAGTCCATACATCACTGCCCAACATCCCTTGACCTCATCACACGACTCGTCTCCTCCGGGTCTTCCTCACGCCATTTCTCATCCACCTTTACGCCACCCACCTCCTCCGCCTTATCGCGGCAGTGACCCCCGTAACTAGTACTCGCGCGCGAGCTACCCGCTTTATCGTCCTCCTCGCCGGGCTGTCCCCGCAGGGTGAAGTCGACCGAGGGTTCCCGGTGGATGAAGCCGTTCTCGAGGTCGTCTCGGCTGTGCTGCGTGCTCCGTGTCCGCACCCAATGGCGCCACGTCAGGCTGATGGACGAGTGTTCGGTCCCGGCCACGGAGAAGCGCTGGTTGAAGCTGGTTCGATCGTGCAGGGTTGGTGCGGGGCTGGAGGCTGCGTTGGCGCGTCGTAGTAGTAGAGTACTGCCGAATCCACATCGGCACACGGGGATGTGGAGGAGGTTCCAGAGCCTGGTCGGCGTTAGTTTGGTCCCCGGCCACTGCCGGTTGCTAGAGTTAACTTACCCCTCCACTGATAGAAGGATATACAGCAGCGGAGCTGCAGCGTGCATAGGAAGACCCCAGTAGGTATATCCATCAGGAAACGGGCCGCCCAAGCCGACATAGACCAAGAAAAGAACCATATAAGCAAACCCGCAGAGGCATCTTAGCACCAGACCCCAGGTCGGCCACGGCTTTTGCGCCCGAAACAGAGTGACAAGATCTAGGACGACATCGGTGAAGACAACACAAAATAGAACAATGGCTTGTATGCTGAATTGCACCCGAATCGCGGTTAGCATCGTCTCACAAAGATACGACTCCATAGAACCACTCACCTCATGTAACTCCCCATATCCTCTCCCAACACACGCATCGCATACGCCATAATCGCAACCATCACCGAGCAGGGCACAACATGCAGTGCCCCGTTCACAAAGCGTATCAACGCCCCTCGATTCTCGACCGCCGTATCTGCGGGGTCCGGACCCGTACTTGGAGCCGCAATATTCTTCGTGTTGTTTGTGTTGGTGTTGACATCCTCTGCCGAGGGCCCATACCAGTGGTAGTCCAGGGATCGCTCCGAGATGGACGCTGCTGGCGCTCGCTCTGCCATGTCCTCGGTAAACCGAGACTGCCTTCGCGCGCTGAGTCTTGGCCTTGATCCTGTTGGGGTCAACGGGGACGGCGTGAAGGTGGAGGATGGTGTTGGCAGCGGTGGTGGACTTGACCCCGGGTCCTTGCTCGATGCTTCGGCCATGGCGGGCGGTGTGTCGTGCTTCTAAACGAACGGACGTGGCTATGGTATAGCCTACCGATGCCAAGAACGAAGGCAGGGTGAGAGAAAGGCTTGAGAGTTGATGTTCAGGGACGGAAAACGCATATCAGACTCGCCGAAACACTCGATTGTGTGCGAAGGCGTTAGACAAGTCGTCGAGTCGTAAAACGGGCCGCTCCGAGCTTGAGTTGCAGTCAAATACTTTGCCCTCCCGTCTCAAACAAACCCAAGGCTCAGGGGCGAGATTCCAGCGCCTAACATAGCAAGCTGAGCCAGGCTCTTTGATTCCAGGGGCGTATTGTCAGGCGTTGTCAAGGTGTTGGAGATCCTGGCGCGGCGCAGGAAAGAGGTATGGATCCGCCTGATATGGCCCAATGTGCGGCGCTGCAAAAGCTCAAAGTCTGGATCAACGAACGATGGTTGGGTGGAAAAGCAGCCTCTTGGGCGCCACTCATTAGGAGGCAAAGAGCCGTTGCCGTCCCAGACTGGCGGGAAGAATGATGAAAAAGGGCACTCCTTGAAATTGGGCTTCAAGATGAAGCCAACCTGGACGAAACGTAAGTGGCAGAGAAAACTTCGACTGCAGTACCAAAAGGGGAAGAACAATAATTAACACATCAAATACTTGTGGGCCAATGCGTTTTCCGGCTTGTCCCCTTTCCTGCGTGCATCTCAGGCGGGCCAAGTCAGGAACCGAGGCTTCCATCGACGTTTAAACCCATTCTCACAAGCTGGGGCGAACCAGGGGCTCGTAACGGCTGCAGGGGTTTGCCGGAAGAACTGCATCCAGGGTTTTCAGGGGTCCTGCGCTCGTCCAACCACTGCAGGAAGGGGACCGGGGTAACAATCTGGGGAAGCAAGGCACAACCATGGCAAGAGCCCACAATGCGTCTTTTTACCCGGAGCCTTTTCTGTTCTAGAACCGGCGCTTGCCAGTCATTGGAAAGAACATGAAGACAATGTGATCATGTGCTCTGGAGCCCGGGAAAATGGGCGTGTTGGGAATGGAGCCGCCTTTAAAAAATATTGTAGAGATGACCGGTCTCCGCAACTTGGAACCGGGCGGGTAGCCAGCGGCAGCACTCGACAACGGAGACTGCGTGGTGACTACCTGGTCGGGAACCATCGCAGGAAGCGGGCACCAAAAAGGGATGATCAATGCGAAGTGCGGCCCAAACTACACTGTTTCTTTCGTAGCCGCCATATTTGCTACCACTCACGGTCGGGACACACCGGCTCAGATTTGCCTTTTAACTTCATAGTCGATAGAAAACGACGCGGACCGGCAGCTGGCGCCCAAGGGCTTCGGCAGAAACCACAAGCAGAGCCAACCGCCTGTGTCCGTCGTCGCGACCGAGACTCAGAAGTATCTGTTGTGTATCATCACCGCCGTGCGTCCAACCGTGTTACTTATGATATCAGCGTGGTCCCTTTGACCCGCCCGCTCTCCATCTTGGCCGTCCTGGAGCCAAACTGAATCTGCACGAGTGTTAGCGGGAGAGCTGCTATGAGAGACCGCAACACTCACAGCGCGCTTCTTCTCCTTTGCTACATTCTCCATGCCCAGCTCCAGTGCAAGCAGGCGGAGTACCCTCTTGCCGGCTTCGACGCCGCTGATCTCTTCGCCGTTCTCAAAATCGCACTTCTCCCAGGCCGGCGTGCCGATGGCCCAACCTAGCAGGCGCTCGTCAAGGAAGGGGAACCTCACCTCCTTGCCCCAGTGAGCCATAACTCGGTCGTCCCGGCCAAGGTTGCGCTTGCCCAGGCGGCCAACGTCGAGTAGAAGCTCATCCATCAGTCCGGCAGAGCCCCGGTGTTGAAATGCAGAGGGGTGTCGAGAATAGCCCCCGAAGAGCTCGTCGGCTCCTAGGCCAGACAGAAGGACACGAGCCGGGGATGTGTACAGTGACTCCGGGCTCTTGGTACAGGATCCTTGGCCGCGGGCGGCGAAGTAGAGCGCATATGCGATAGAGAGGTCCATCTCGGTATTGTGCGGATGAATCAGAGAGATCACCTGCTGGCGGTGTGCCTGGGTTTCCGTATATGGGACATTTACCTGGCGAGTTAGTAACGGGTCTGTAAGAGATTCGGGTGAGAAAACTTACAGCCACAAACCTAAAGGCTCGCCCAGGACAAACTCGTTGCAACTCTGCAAATGATCTCCTTCCGGTGATTCTGTCTGGGCAAGCCTCATAGAAGTCCGGTAGGTCGCTGTTCTCCTTCTGGAGTTGTGCGACCACCCTGGGATTCTCGAAAGCGACATTGAGCAGGTCAATTCCCTGGTCTAAAGCGAGAAGTTCGTGGCATAGCCTGGCCAACACGCTGCAGTCTAGTCCCCCCGAGAACAGGACAGCGACGCGTGTTTGGCTGTTGACGTTTGCAGCCGAGGGCATCGGGACATTGAGAACCCTCAGCCTCAGGGACTCGAGCAGCTGTTCTTTGAGTCTGGCGACCGAAGACGACTCCTTTGTCAGAGGATGGCTGCCAGACGGCAGGGCACGATTGAACCTGCCAATGCCGGAGACCTGGAGGAAGTTGAGTAAGCCTGACAGGATAACTCATCACGGTCCAGCGCGCAATTCCACGATCGACCGCAAGTACTCACGAAGTCAACGGCACCATCCCCAACAGCCCAATCATGCCGTTCCGGGACAACCTCGCCCACTGTCACCACATAGACCCCATCCGCCTCAACCTCTCTCCACCCATCTTCACCCGGCGCCGCAACACTGCACAGCGCTAGCCCTCCTCCCATTGACGCCGTCAAAAGCGACCGCCTCCCTAACCGATCGCGCCCAAAGAACACCCTCCCAGCCGACGCATCATAATACACAAACGCGAACGGCCCTTCAATGCCGCGCAGAACCTCCAGCACGGCATCAACCCCGGCAGCGCCGCCCGAAGACGCCGTAACCAGCCGGGCAAAGACCACCTCCCCGTCATTCTCCCCCGCCTCAACCGGCCGCCCATCCACCCGCCAGGCCTCGCCGTTCCAGCACAGCACCGACCCCGTGCGCGGGTCAGTCAGCGGCTGGCGCGCGACGTGGTCGCCTCGCAGCGCCAGGACGGTGGACGTGAAGCGCAGCGACCATTCCGTCTCGGTGGGACCATCGTGGCTACCATCGATGGGGATGTGTTGTTGGCGGTCGACCTGGCCGAAATGATCTGGTCCCCGCGCAACGAGACAGCGCTTCAGTTCTGGGGGGAGGCCGAGGTCGCAGAGGGATGGCGTCGGCGCGATAGTCGCGTGGATGCCGCACATTGTTGCGTGGGTGCAAGAAATGTGTTAGTGAAGGTGAGTGGGAATTTAGAAAAGGTGAGTAACGGTCTTCTAAGACAAATGGATGCTTGGCGATATTGTTACGCACTGTGGGGAATGACTCAGCATTTTGACCTCACCTGACCAGCTGGGAAGAATGCAGGGTAGGGGGCAAAACACTAAGAAGCTCGATCACAAGCGTACCACCAAAGTAGGAAGGTTCGAAAATGGTTGTTTAGCTTCAACTCATATCGATCAAGTGACCTTAGGGTTATGGGTCCGACGGTCCGGCAGCTGAAGCAGCTCATCTTAAGGAGCAGTACTTCGGTGTCACCATGTCGGATCTCAGCCACGACGCCAACAAGCTACCTCTTCGGAACTTCGGCAAGGCGACCATCACGCAGGGTTTTTAGATCGGCGCTGACTGACGGCCAGCAAGCTCAGCAACACTTGCGACCGAGTCCAGAATACCGCGTTGAAGCGACCTGTATTATAAACACTGCCCTAGATTGCTTTCCCAACCAAGAGCAAACTCAGTCCCGCGGCCCTGACCAAGCTATGCACCTACACCGAAAAAGACGCAGAGATATAACCACCCATTCCCGCCCAATGCCCGCTCCGAGGAAAAGAAACGAGAATGCAAGAGACGATTTCGTAGCGAACCTTCAACACTCTCACGCCGACAAAGCGAGGCAGGCATCGACAGCCAACCCAACCCTGCTGCCAGTTAGTAACTCAGTGCTAATAAGGGGAACAGAACACAATCACGCACCTCCCCTCCTTTTGATACACAACATCACTGATAATCTCCCGATCCAGATCGGGAAACATACCCGCCAACGTCTCGACGACATTCGCATGCTCGGCGCGATGCAGCCGCTGCGCCTCGGCCGCTTCAGCACTCGCCTGCCGCGCCGCCGCCTCCTCGGCCGAAAGGAGCTGCCGGGCCCTGAGATCCCTATCCCCACGCTCTGGCGGCTGCGGCGTGCGCGCCGGGCTGGCGATGCTCCCGCTGGGGCCCGCAACAGCCGACGATGACGACGACGACGGTTCGTCCGAGAAGATGCGGCCTATCGTGCTCAGCGGCTTCTGGATGGACCTCAGCAGCCCCGTGATGGCCGCCTTTTCATCGCTGCCGCTGTACTCGCCGCTGTCGCGTGGCTCGTTGGACGAGGTGGACCGCCGCGGACTTGCCGGGCGGTCGGCGTCGAGCGAGGGACGGGTTGAGGAAGGGCCCGATCCGCCCGCGCTGAGAGGTCTGAGAAAGGCTAATTTTTCTGCCTGAGGAGGCGGTGGCGGGGGAGTTTCGGAGCGGTGCTTCTCTGCGATGGCAGAGACGGCGGCCTCAACGTTGTGCTCAAACTCCTCGTCAGTGATGGTCAGGGTTGTCCGGTCCATGTTCTCAATGAACTGGATGGCGCCCATCTGCGACGGTTAGTGACATGTCAATCGGGCATGACCGGCCGACGCACCAGTGAAGAGAGATAATAGCCGGCTTCGCCGCCCAGCTTCTCCTGGTTCCGAAATCTCAGAATGTACTGGACATTAGAAACTAGGTGTTCCGGATTCGCCTGCAGTACGACGTAGATGAGCATGGGCATGAACGAGTCGGCAGACGCGTCCGATTTGGTGTGTTTGAGTAGGCCTAGACAGTCAGCTGTCGAAAAGCTGCAAGTTCCGAAACTACCCACCAAAGATGACTTTGCAGCAGTTCAAGACGCAGATGATCTTGTCTCGGGGGGCGCGGTATGACTTGATTTTGAGCAGCTCTGTATCGGTCAGCTAGGAAACCAATCAATATCGGGACACCAACCCTGTTGCGCCAGCTTCAAAAACCGCTTTCCACTCTCGTTGACTGGCGGAATGTCGAGATGTTCTTCTCCTACCCAGCTGTAGATGTTGATCTTCTGTGCAAGTATCTCGTCACGCTCCACATCCTCCTGATGCTGGCCCCGTCTCCCTGGGCCTAGAGCTCGGTCGCCGCCTCTCTTCTTCTTCGCCCCGGGTATTGGCTGTGGCGGCGGGATGGCAGGAGAGAAAGTCTGAGAGTACAGGCGGTTCATGACCAGTTTCTCCATGCCCTCCCTGGCGTTGTCAAACTCCGCGTCCGACACGTCCCTCCAGACGTCACACTGGGCCATTTTGTTGGCGATGAACGCGAGAAAATCGCCAATGATTTTGACCTGCTCGTGCACCATCCACTGCCGCTTCCCAAACTCGGAGAGGAACGATTTGAGATACCTCGCGACCGGATCGGCCTTCTTGTTGCGCAGCTGCTCCAAGAACCTGTGGAAGTCGAAAGGCTGCGCCGGCTCGGGCTCGGGCTCTGGCGGGGGCGGGCGATGAAGCGAGTTGATGGGGGACATGGGAGAATCGAGGCTGCCCTCCCGAAAGCGTTCCGAATATCCGGAATCATCCTTCGGAGGCACCGGCGGCCTCTCATCGTCTGCCTCCTTCCTCGATCTTGTACTTGCTGGCGACGACGTTGATAGCCTGAGACCTTGCATCTCTTGAAGTTGCTGTGATATGCTGGGAGCGAGCGGCTCTAGGCTGGATTTTCGAGGTGGGTGTTGGACCGAAGTGCCTAGAAGTGGCGATGCCATCTCTAGCCGGGGGCTCATGACCTCGTCGACACCGGGGCCGCCTCCTTCCTCGCTAAACTGCTCCATGATACTCTGTATCTCGGACCTAGATCCGAGTTCTTGCTCATCCTCGCTGGTATACCGCTTCTCGTCGTACGCAGCATCGGATCTCGTCGGGGACGGCTCGGCAGACCTCGACTGGGCAGCTGATGACGGTGCTCGAGAAGGCGGTCGAGACAAGGTGGGAGTTGGCGGGGTAGGGTCAACATAAGGTTTCGGTTCGGCAGTGAGATACTGCGTCGTCGTGCTTGCAGTTGTAGGGGAAGTCGTCGGCTTCAGGGTGGCGATCGAAGAAGACATTGTGTCGGCTGCATCCTCAGGAGCCTTGCCCTGCCTCGCATGCCCGTCAGAATCACCAGACGCCCCTAGAAGGCCCTTATCTCCAGATAAAGTGTCCTCATCAAGGGCCTCGCACGAGCCGTTGTCCTCAGCCGTCCCTCCCTCTGCCGCGGTGGGAGCCTCGTCTGGAGGACTGCCCGCAGGCACGGCGCCGGGGAGAGGCGTCAGCGCGCCATCAACTGGTACTGTACCATCTTTGTCTGCGCCAGGCGAGCTCGGCGCAATGGCTTCTTGGTCGTGAGGAGACATGCAACGGATCTTCGAAACACTGGCAAAAGACGAGTCGGCAGAATCCCCACTCGGCTACCAGAACGATCCGGACCGAAGCTTGAGCGCCCCGAAGTTAAGCGTTGATGCTGGGAGGTCTACCAAAAAATGAATGACCGTTAACGGGTGTGTTAACAAGCCCTGCACTGATAACTTAGCAAGCAGACATGCGGTGATGCGGGTGTGCTGTTAATGCAAGTTGTTGGAGTGTCGGCAGGACGAGGCTAGTCCACCTAGGTGGTTGTTGAGCTGCCAAGACCCGGGCTTTGGGCCGTTCATCAGGTGGCCGCACCGGTTTGACCATCAGGTCCCGCCAAGGCGCTAGTGTTGTTACATCTCAATACTAGCCAAACTTTCGCGAAGGGTTAGCGCCCAAGGCGTCGCTGGGGGGTAAGGGGGCGGCGTCAGGCCCCGCGGTTAGGACTTGGTAGTTAGAACTTATGTTAGCGGTTAGGATTTGGTGTTAAGGATAGAATTAGGTTCAGATATATGAGGAAAGAATTGGTTGTGTTATGAGGTAGTTGTGATGGTTTGAAAGTGGTGAATTTGGAGGGCGATGCATTAGGTCATCGCGATTCTCCTCGCCCCTTGACGGTATGTATCGAATTGGAAATACCCTCTGTGTAACCCTTGCATCCGCCTTGCAACGCCCATGTCTAGCGCCTTGGCGGGATCCCGTTGCATAACTACGTACCCCGCTAATGTTGGCGACTGGAGTCTCGGTGACGGTCATCATGGCAGTGGTGGGATGGCTGGTGGGGTCCTTGTCTGATCGCCGGCCAGAGCGGAACACAGCAGGGAGGACCAGGCTTGAGAATAGGGTTTCACCAGGCAACGTTCTGGATTTCGATTTCATGAATCTAATCCGTACAGTACCTTATGATGTGTACACCGTGAACCGCAACGTCTTAGCCAACTCAGTGCAGTGCTTCAATTTCTGGTTGAGTCATCCATGGATATTGGGAAAGGTTCAAATAAAATCCCTGCAGGGCCTTGGTGCCCTTAGTAAGTGGCCGACCAGATAAGGTTAAGTTCCTCTGTTCCATTTAGTTGCGGTTGATTTATTCCCTTATTACCTGGTGGTTTTACGTTCAGTTTCTCTTTCAACACGATACCCGACTTGCGCTGGTTCTGCGCCTTTGCGCCATTCTCGGTTTCACCCTCAGATACTCTCACTTGTCGGGGACAAACTTTCGCCTGCTGCCATGGCGTCCCTTGGCACCCTCCCTCCGGAAGTCTTCAACCTCATCGCCAGGGTCCTGGCCGATGGTCACTGCGAGCGGTCACTGGCGGCTCTTGCAGCCTCTTGCCGGGGCTTCTACGAGATCGTCATGCCGCACCTCTACCACCAGGTCGTCGAAAGGCACCCGGCGCTCCTTCACTGGGCCGCCTACTACGGTCGCTTGAGCACCGCACAGAGACTCATCGAGGCCGGCGTATCTGTCGACACCGGCATGCTGTGGGATTCGTCTGGGGCCGAACCCAAGAGTTTTTGGAACTTTGAGGCGTTCTGTGCCTATGCCGGCAAAACGCCACGCAAGGTTTATCGGGCCATTCAGGGTCGCTTGAAGGACGGTAACATTGTCATGTGCCAAATCCCTTCCCTACGCCAGCTATCCATGGCCTACGTTATCTAGGTCCACTCCCCAAGGAGCGCACCCGTCTGCTGACCTGTGCGGCCTGACAGTACCACAAAACCTATTCCGAGAGGACGGCCAAGCTGGTTCCCTATTCATTTGGCAGCCATGAGCGGCAGCCTTGAGCTGGTCGAGCTTCTTGTCAAAACAAGCCCGGCGACCATGACTGCAGCATGCGTATGCCATAAGCTGTGCGACTGCTTGGCTGTGCATTTGCCCGGTTCGGACCGAGAGGAGATGGAGTCTATGGATATTGACGACGGGCTTCCACTACATGTTGCTGCCTGCCACGGCCACAATCATGTGGTAAAGTGGTTGCTCAAACGCGGCTGTGTGCCTGCCGCTGCCCTTGAGTTCCCCACCAACATTCACCACGCTCTTTTTAGTCTTGAAGGCATTCTCACTGCCCTCCATAATGCGGCACGCCTCGGCCAAGTGGACATGATCGAGTTCATTCTCGATGGTGGCTACCAGACGGATGTGAATGTGCTTGATATCAGGCAGTTTCCTCCCATCTGGTACGCTTACCACCATGGTCATTGTTTGTTATGCCCTGGCCTCTCACTTTCTGCAGTGGCTATACTAACGCCAGAGTGCCTCCAGGGGACGCTGTCGATGCGCTCGTTGCGCGCGGGGCTGATATCAACGACGATGTCGGCTTCGGATATACGCCACTGATTGACGCTTGCCTACGCAGCATGTATGATCATGCGGTTGAGCTGATAGACCGTGGGGCCGACGTGAATGTTGGATTTCATAGCCCACCAGAAGGACTCCGAAGAGCCTCCGCTATAAAATTTCGAGGGCGTGGCATCCGACCCATCGACATCTGCTGTTGGACCTCCCGCCCATTTGGCGAATACGGCCTCTCATTCTGGCCAAATGAGGAATCTCAGAGTTGGCAGCCCAGGGGTCCCCCCCAAAAATGTGATGATTACTTCGCGGAAAAGGCTAAACATCTTTCTCTCGTATCGAGACTGCTTCGCGCAGGCGCCGACTTCAATCAGGACTCTGAGATCTACCCATCTCCCCTCGTCGTTGCGGCGGCAAATCAGTAAGTCATGAAAATCACCTCACTCGTGTCGATAGTTGTTGCTCATTGTCGTTGCTTATACCCCGTCAACGATGTACAGTTTATCGGGAGTCGTTGAAGAGCTGATCAAGCACGGGGCCGCCGTCAATATGGCAGACCAACATGGGGTGTCGCCTCTTGCAGCTGCTTTCGTTTATGACAGTACGTACTGCGGATATTGTCCCTTCCATCTGCGCTACGACTACAATCAGTTCTACGAACGGGCGCCCTTCTTCACGGCCGGCGAAAAGAGAGCCAGTCTCGTACTTGGACGAGAATGGCCCGACTACCTTGACCCTGGCGACGGGGGGTGTCCCGAACTCAGGGCTTGCGTCGAGATTCTGCTGCGAAACGGCGCCGATGTGAACCAGGCTGACCTGAAGGGGAACCCGCCATTGGGCCGTCTGTTCGCCGCGCCATGCTTCAGATCTAATCTTGGCGATCACAGCTCGGATGTGTTGTGGATTACCCCGGCCGACAGATCTCGCATCGGCTCCTTGCTTCTCCAACACGGCGCAGATCCCCAATGCAGGATTTTCCTTGGGTCGGAGGGGCAAACCTCGCATGCCCAGCCATCTGCTGCCGTGCCTGCCAGAGAGCATTGGCCCTGTTCCGCCGTGGAACACGCCTGTTGGGATGCCGATTTTGAAGCCTGCAAGGTTCTGCTCTCAGCTGGTATGGTTCTCAGCCACGATACGGTTCTCTGGATGATCAGACTTGTACTCGAGGAGAGCCAAGGGCATGAAGGCCCCGGAACACCAGAGGCATTTGAGTTCTTCCAGAGCCTTCCCGCTGAGCTGCGAGACGGCGCACTCCGAGACCCCGTATGCATAGCCGCAGCAATTCGCCGAGGATGGCTTGAGAAAGCTCAGGAATTCTTGGATCTAGGTCCGGAACTTTGCCGGTTCTCCCAAAAGACTCGAGTCACGAAAAACGATGTTCCCAGCCCAGTCGCGGTTGGGGAACTAGTCGAACTAGGGGCATTCTGTTTGAACGAGGCGGCAGCGTGGACGCACCCCCATGCCACCTCTCTCGTCGAAGGGCTGCTGGAGCTGGGCGTGCGGCCAATCCCGCCCTCGGCCTTGTTGCATGCCGTTGACAAGGAAAACGACGAGATGCTTAGCACCTTTTTGAAGCACGGCGCTGTGCTACATGTGAGAGATAGAGAGCTAGACGATGATCGGAGCTCCGAATACCCGCCATCGTGGAAGCGGATGGACGACTGCGTCAACCCCGTGAAACTCGCCATCCATAGGAGTCAGATCTCTGCTATCAGGGTGATGCTCAAGCAATCCCAGGACCCTCTCGAGTCATGGTTCCGCTACTTCTACCTCAAGGAAGCATACACTAGTTTCAAGCCAGCAACGCTTGCCTGCATGCTTGAGCATCCGATAATGCGTTTCGACGAGACAGATATCACCGACGAGGCCGACCTGCCTCTTGCACACCTTGTGCGAAATGCCGACAGGCTCTGTGCGGAGATCTATGAGAAAAGGGGCGACAGATTCAGTGGGAAACGCGGACCCTGGTCGAGAACGGAAAACATTGGGCCGTGGATGGCTTGCGTGGCCGCCTTCGCGCACGCCGGCGCTGACCCGAGGATGCGAGACAGGGCCGGCAGGTCGACACTTGAATACCTTGGAGAGCACCTGACCTATGCTGGGAAGGACCGGTTCAGGAGATATTTTGCCTCGGAGTTGCGATCTGTCGGAGGGGAGCAGAGGGACGGCCAGCTCGACCCGGCGACTTGCTGGGAGGCGATCAAGGCACTCAAGGTGCCCGAGGCTGAGGAGCCTAGCGTCTCTACCGGACCTGACGAGTCTGAGGAGGAAGAAGAGTTTGAAGAGGAAGAGTAGCTACGTTTCGGTACTCTTCTTCGCCGCCAATAGCTGCGCAGCTCTTGAGGCTCATGCTCTGACCTCATGCGCGCCTTCCTTTCCGGTCATCTCCCGGGTACAATCTAAGCCACCGGCCAGGATATTGTTGCCGTCAATAACAAGTCTCGCCAGATAGGACTGCGACATCTGGGCTGAGCCCCTACTTTGTCAACACTGGCGGCTTCTGTACTGGGATATGACGGGTCTCGGCACGTTCACGTTCTCCGGAGTAGAGATGTTAGAGAGTTACTGTCTGTTGGGTGGTTTGTCAAGCCATAGCCATCAGGCGTCGAATCAGCAGCTGCATCTGCACCCACCTGGAAAGGAAAGGGGCCCTAGCCGCTGCGATCTTCACGCCGTTTGCTGCATGTCAATGCAACGTGACCCATCGAGCCTGATTCTACAGGCTGCCTCTCGAACTCACCTCCTACCTCAGTTCAGCTCGCTCAGGTGTGTGCTGTTATTCTTCGTTGTCAACCGAAACGTCCACTGGCGCGGATTTTTCGCTTCAACTATTCCCTTTCGACCAGCTCGTACTTTTGAAGCCCTGCGACTTACGACAATGAGTGGAAGCGACAGCGGCACGGAAACCGCCAGCTTGGCGGTGGCGGTGGTTGCTTTGATAATCGCCAGTATAGCGGTTATATGCACGACCGCCCAGGTCCTCCAGCAGTACATGGCGACCGCTGTAGGTTATTCGAACTGCGGGAAGAGAGTCTTGGGCCCTTGGGCTCTTCACACCAAACTCGACTTTCACCCTTGGGAGTTCCGCTTCGAGGTGGTATTCAGAAGCCCCTAGATATACGTTGAGGCACGCCTCCCCTGGTAATACGAAGTTAACAAGGAAATGGATACTTGGGACCTGCCAGAGCCTCGGCCAGAACGTAAGCTGGTCGCAAACGACATGGCTCCTAATTCCATGAACGCCGACCATTCAGCTTCCTGGCTGGCACTCCTCTCCACCATGCGTGAGATGGAACGCCGTCATTCGCATCTTATGGAGACCCACGACGCCGCCAGAGTCACTGTGAATGGAAACGAAGATAGCGAACTCAAAGCACTGGGTCAAGCCAAACTCAAAGTATTAGTTCGAGCCAAGATTCAGACGCTTGATTTGATGCCAGACGGCGTCAAGAGGCCATATGCAACCACTACGCTGAGCAGCATCGTTCTTATTGCAGCAATCTTGGGCCTCCACTGGAAAGAGTTTGACCGGCGCAACGACCGGTACCTCGCCGACGGGAATGGTCTCTTGATCACCGGATCGGCTGTTCCCCACCTCGGCATCATGTTTTCATTCACTCGTCACGGAAGCGCAGACTCTCGGAGAAAACGAAAGTCATTCCCTTCACCTGGATGCTGGAGTTCTGCTTTGGCTTGGTGCCTACCATCTTCCAGCCGGCCCGTTTCGCAAGACCTAGGTATCTCACGGACGTGCCCAAAGATGTCAGCACGCTCAGGCTGGGCAGCTGTCCGAGATCGCTAGCACACTCGCCCTCTTGTGCTGCGATAGAGACACAATCTCGACCATCAGTTCTGGCGAACATCTGTTTCCAGGTACACTGTCCTCACAACCAAGGTTTGCCGGCCAAGGTTTTGCTAATCACTGTATCCGCAGTGCTGTTTGAGCTTGTCGGGATGCTCCGACCGAAACTTTGCACTCGGGGATCCCCCTTCCCTGTGCTCCCCAACCCCCTACCGTACCGCTGGGACACGCGGCCTTTTCACCTGTGAAGCTTCTTGAGTCCAATGCCAAGACAGTTACGGGCGACGAGGATTCGAAGCATGTCGGTCCCTTCGTTTTCTCCGGCCTAAGAGACCAGGCCTCCTCACTCCTAGCACAACATAGCGATGATAACTCCAGCTTTGGCTTCATTGAGGCCGACTCACCATTCGTACAACGGCTGCACAACGCCCTGGATTGGTGCGATGAGTGGCTCAGACCCCTCGAACCCGAGTCCCAACGGGAAATCCTCCTCGTCATACGCAATCACCTTTTTGCTGTCGCAGAAGCGTTGAAGGGCACAGAAACAGCTCCCCAGGCAAAGTCCAACCGGTCAGATTATCAGGCCTAGCCAATGCGGCCGCCGAAAGCTTGGAGTTCGGTGAGGGGTGGTTCTTGGAGGAGTATATCAAAGCCGTCTTGTGGGAAATACTGGGGAGGGAGCCGCACTCCTTGCATTGGACGCCGAGAGCAGGATGTTCGCACAGGACTGAGGACTTGGCCTTTTGTAGATTGGGGGAGATATGGCTGGTGTTGGTGTTCCGGATGTTGTGCTGGCTGAGTCTGCACTCATTCCACCCATCAGATGTACAGCTCCCGAAGAGCGACCCCATGGGCATGCGGCTACCTGTGTATATCAGCTAAAACGCCTGACCAAGATATCAAGGGGATCAGTGCTGTGGAGTTACTCATATAACCCAACCCTGGTTTGTTTGTTGGCGCGAAATTATAATAGAATATCATTGAAACTCGTAACACCTCTGTAAGACCACCATAAAACACCGTGATCACTTATTTACCACCAAGCAGCCCGCCGAAGTTGGGGAATCCCGCCTTCTTCTCCTCCTGAGCCTGTTTCTCCGCCTCCCCGAAGGGCATGTCCTTGCCGGTGGCCTTCTTGTACTGCTGGCGGATCTGCTCGGCGATGAAACGGTCCTTGGCCTGCTCGGCGGCGCTCTCGTTGTCCTGAGGGCCTTGCTTCAGGACATTTTCCTGCACCCAGTCGATGCCTATTCAGGGATGCGTCAGTCTGAGAATGAAAAAGGGAATGGAGGAGAGGTGGATGGTACCTTTGTCGAGAGCGCCTTCCTTCTTCTCGCTCTCCGGGCCGCCGCCTGCCATGCCGTGCAGCTTGTCCATGAAGCTACTGGAGCCGGCCTGTTGGTTCTGTTGCTGATGTTCGCTGGCGGCTTTGTTGTCGTTGCCACCGCCTGCGAGCTTGTTGACGAAATCCATGGTGGTGAATGTGTGTGTAAGAGTAGAAAAATGAAGTTTGATTTTTCAAAACTGGGTCCGCTTGAACGCCAGGCTGGAAATGGAGGAGGATGTCAAGATGCTGATATAGAGAGGGGAAAGAGCAGGATGGAGGGGTATTTCAGCTGGTTGCACGGGACTACGCGACCTCAGCTCCGATGACGATGACGCGGGCCAATGGATGACATGGGCGATAGCTTGGCAGTACTCAGACATGCCTTGGCTAGCGTTCGTCACAGGGCAGAGCTTGTGGAACGGAACTGTCGTGAGACCGGCTTTGTTATGAGATGCCCAAGTGGGTTTGCCGCTGTTTGCGATCGGCTGAGCGAGCTGGAGCGGGGACAATCATGATCTCAGCTCGCCAGGGGGCCCGCGTCCGGCGTGGCGTCCCATCTTCCCATCTATCCAATGAAGAATCAAACGTAGGTAGTAGGATACGTGGAACATCAATCTATGGCCGTAAGCGTCGATATTCCGAGTTCTTGCGCTCAAAGGTACCTGGATAATCTTGCGTCAACCCCCAACCAAGGAGACCGCCCGCGTCAGGAAAGAACAAGAGTTGAACCCCGAAAATGGCAGCCAAATCACAGTAGGTTCCTGCATCAGCGGGGCATGGTCCGTGCTCCTATCTTATCCAGATGACTCCAGTCCGATCCCGCTTGCTGCGACTGCCGCGCCCCTGCCGGACCAAGAGTTGGGGACCTGGCTGCAGCTCCATTTAGCGCAGCCTTCCTCAGCCTTCTTTCCGCATCTCGACACCCGGCTTCGATCCTTGATACAAAGCTCATTGCTCAATTTTGCGGTTGCCCGGGGACCCGAGCCTAACGAAGCCGCACGTCTCACCGCACAACAGTCTTGGCGAAGCAACGGCCAGCCAAGACATCCTCACAATGGACTACGTCCAGCAGCGCGTTGCGCAAGCAGCCTCCAACCTGGACACATTCACCAAGTTCGCTTGCCTGCTTCCATTTCACGCATCTCACCAACTAAACTAACGCACAACCACCACCAGCTCGTTCTTCACCCCGCTGAACGCTTTCTTCCTCTCCGTCCTCCTCTACACAGCCTACGCCTTCCTCCTCCGCCCTTCCCCGCCAGCTACGCTGCCCCGCGAGCCGCCCGCCATCGTCTTCCGCACCTTCACCCCGCGCACCCTGCTGCCCTACAACGGCACGAACGACATGCCTGTCTACCTGGCCGTGCGCGGCCGCGTGTTTGATGTCACCCGCGGACGCAACTTCTACGGGCCCGGCGGGCCCTACGCCAACTTTGCTGGGCGCGATGCCTCGCGCGGCCTGGCCTGCGGCAGCTTTGACGAGGATATGCTGACCAAGGACCTGGATGGCCCATTGGACACGCTGAGCGATCTTGGACCGGAGGAGTTAGAGGCTCTCAGGGGTTGGGAGGAAAGGTTTGAGGAGAAGTATCTTGTTGTGGGGAGGCTGGTGTCGGTTGGGGAGGAAGGGGAAGAGGATTAGGGGAGGAGTCAAGGGGGGTCCACGATTGCACGGTGCGATGGAGCCAAGCAGCGGGAGTTGATTCGAAGCGGAACAAAGGGATATGTCCATGGTTTGGGCAGCTATGGCGTTATGGGTCTCCTTTTTCAAGACTTTGAAGGATGGAGGATATCTTTATGGATGGCTGCTCGGGAATGTTTGAAACCGGACTTCGGTACGTCAAGGAAAATAGATTCTTGTTCTCTTACCAAGCAGGTACTCTCTCCTGGGCCCGAACACACAAATCTACCACACGGCCTTGACCGCATCCGCAGGTTTTCACTCAATTGCACACACGGTTGCCCTTGATTCTCGTCATCACAAACCTCATCTAGCTGGCACCAGAGGCCCTCACATTTCCCACACTCTCAGCCCGTCATCACCATCCTCTGGCCATCCCCCGCGACATCATGGAACAGAATTGGCATACAACGTTATACGTAACGACCGTCTTCCTCAAGACCCTCCTCACCATCTCGATGTCTCTCCTCTCTTGACAAAATGCACGTGCCGGGCCAGAACCTGGACACCCAGCGAATTCGACGGGCTCAGCGGGTCGGTGGCTAGCCCGAAGTAGGCCGTCTAGGAGAGAGGGATGTATGTCGCCGCGGAGAAACGGATCACTCCGGGGACATACTGTAGACGTTTGTGAATGCGATGGCCTCAAGCCCCGCCAGCTTACCGACGGCCCGCTATATCGCCCTTGGCCATCTCCATGTGGACATGCTCCATCAGTTGCCAGAGCTGCACAGCCTCTGACGGAACACTGCGACGGCAAGCGCGGGGGCCTGCAGTAAGAGGGGCGACATCAGCCGGCGTAGCATTTCGCTATCGGGCGGCTATTTACTGGCCGGGCACCGAGTTTGTTTGGTATGATTCTGGGCCTAAGGTGTAGTACGGAAGCTACCTCGTAGTATGTGAATTTAAAGGGGGGATGGGAAGCCTGGTGGGGAGTTTCAGGTAGGCAGTCAGAGAGAGAAATGAATTTGTGAGGCAACTGTGGCGGCGATGATGCGGCGAGAGGTTGTAATCTGTATACAATGTCTTTTGTCTTTTTTGTCTCTTGGTGTGATCTGGCCGCAGCACATCCAGGACAGCCTCCATTCTAGGATGGATGGCGTGATTGACCGACTTCCCGCTTAGCCAACGCCATACTGGCATATCGCCAGATTCAGCACACTCCCGCATGTACCCTCAACTAGTAATACACGTTTCCCAAACTAACCAACGTCTCCCGGCCGCAGAACGTGCGTCCCTGAGGCAAAGAAACGGTCTTCATTCCCCAGCTACATAGCCGGTGCCGACAGGCGTAATTTCTCATCCTTGAATAGCTCGATTTCAATCGCCCCAACCGCAAGAAAAGATAACAGCAGCTTAGAGCGAGCTAGTGTGAGCGGAAACGATCTGGCCGAGTATAAGTTTCAATCAAAGTGGATGACTGGTGCCAATCTCAGGCCGCAGCAGCCATATTGTTGATCAACTCAGGCTGAGCGTGCAGGCCCGCTGGGAAATACCGCCTGAGCATGTCCCACAAACGCGATGCTTCCTGAGGCTGGTTGGTCTCTATCAGATGCCGAATAGTGTCGACACACAGCTGCTTGAAGCGGCCAACAGCGCGGGTAACAGACTGTTGCGGGGAGGTACTGTTGCCAATGGATTTGAAGGTCTCCTCGCTCGAGAGGAGCTCCCGCGCAAGGTGCGAAGAGGGCTCGGTGGGGTGATGAAGTTTCAGGTGTGCCAAGTCTACCCGTTGCCACGGGCCGAACTGGACGGCTCCTCCGAGGGCCACGAAGGCGTCGAAGAGTTGCTGAGGTGGGGGCTTGTGCATGTCGGAATACACTGTGCTCTGCACGGATAGCTCACGCCAAGCCCTTCCCAACACCCGCAACGGCCACTTCTTCTCTGTGACTATGGATTTCGCTCTGAAAAGCGCCGTATAAGCTGGCTCCAAGTCATGATGTTGAGCCTTTTTGCCCACTAAATCTCTGAGAAAGACGGCGGCTTGGTCCAAGGTCTTTGGTTCGGCGGGATCAACGACACGCTCAAGCCAAGCAAAAACCACATCGTCGAGGCCCTCAGCAGCCATGAACTGAAAGAGAAGTCGCTGGAATTGCACGTTGGCCAGGAATGCGAGGCCGTTCTCCTGACCCGAGGATCGCAGCCACTGCATAACAAGCTTGGCGGCACCCACTGGCCGCAAATCGTCGGCAATCGGGAGCTTGGAAGAGCCCTTCTGGGCCCTCGCCTTGTTCACTTCGGATCTGATCAGCATGAGAAACCCATGTGCCCTGGGGACAGTCATGAGCCCTCGCGAGACGGCCTTCTCGAATATGGCCTTGTGTGCGTCCAGAGTACTGATGGTGCCTGTGGTGGCAGTTGCGGACTCGGTAGGGAGGAAAAGCGGGTTGTTGAGGATGGCGCGCACGTGCCGGTCGGTCGATCGGAGTGAGCCATGGTTTTGGGACGCTGGCGAGGGGGCGGCGCTGGAGGAGGCCGCGACGGTAAGCGGCGGCGTCAAGCTCCGGGGGATGGCGGGCCGTGGTGTAGACCACCCGTATTCGGCATCTAGCTGTGCGCGGAACGATGCCTTGAGGCCGTCGAGCAGACGCTGAGCCTCGCGCTTGTCCAGCGGCAGCGGCTGGTGGATGGGCGGGAAGAGGGCCTTGAGGGAGCTGAGCGCCCGTGTCTTCTGCATCGTATTCGTCGTCGGGAAGCGAGGGTTAATCAATTGGCCCAGTTCGGTGCAGCGCTTGCAGTGCAGCCCGTTCTGGGCGGGATTGGCGAGGCGCGGCAGCCTGGAGGATGTCGTGCTGGTCCTGTCAGAGTTGTGATCAACAGGTTGGTGGGCTGCGGTTCAAAGTGAAGTGGGTCAAAGATGTCATGTGCCGACATTCCCCAAGTTCCGTGCAGAGAACTTTATCGTTACAATACGTCGTATTCTGTGGTCAATCGATCTGTGATTCTGTTTCCGACTTACAGGTACAACACCGTCTGAACAAGAGAGGGGAATACCACGTATCTTGTGCCCAACATTCAATTCAGATGCAGATTTGCTTGCTTCCCAGACGTAGAGTCATCGCCCATATCGAAGTCCTGAGTGGCTACCTTAGCCATATATTATATAGGCAGGCTTGAATTCCACGTATGAGTAGAGCAACCTACCGTAATGTATCCGTGTCGTACCACACCCGGTTCCCACTGCCCATCATCGGGGAGCAAAACTGTGTACATGACGGAGTAACACGATTCCATACACCACCCATTGAGGAGAGCTGGCCCGGTCAGCCGCAGTACCAAATCATGGTAGCTGATCCAATGAAGTTTTGATGCAGCCATGCATGGCCGCCGCGGTTCCTTCAAGGGTTGGTTTGTGTACGGATGTATGTTTTTGTGCCTGACATCTCTGCCCGCACGGCCCACACCGCACCACTATGATCACACAAACTCGTGACCAGAAGGGCACGAGATCGGATAGAAGTATGCATTGCTGTACTAACTCGCTGCTTACGCACTCAACAATTAAGAATTGGCAATTGAAGTAATATGTACAATAAGCTCAATAACTATGTCGATTTGCTCCAATTGCGACGACGAATGGACGGATGAATGAAGAGGTAGTGAGGGAGACAGAGCTCGGTTGATGGTCACTCTGACCCACAGTTAAATCGGGCGAGGCTGGAGCTGCAGCGCGCACTGAAACCTTGGGTGGCCTTTGCTACCCTTTCGGGCGGGCCAATTCTGAATCGCAGGCAAAAACTCAACGCCTCCACGGCTCGCCTTTCCACACCTTGCAACCGTTCCCTGTTCTTGCTATTCCAACCACTACTTGGATCGATCCATCAACGGATCGTACCACGATTCGATTCGCCCTGCGCGAAACCCATCACCTTTCGCAACCGGCATTTCCTCGATATTTTCCCCGTTTGTTCCACTCCGCCCGTTGTTCTGTGGTCTGCCGTCGGCAAACGCGAGTCGGTCGCCAATCTCTGAATCCACCACCGCTTTTCACACACACACACACCACACACATCTCAGCAATGTCTGAGGTACAGTCCAGACCAGCTGCCTCGCGCGGCAGAGGCTCCGGTCGAGGCGGTCGAGGCGGTTTTGCGTCCCGGGGAGGGGGCCGCGCCGGCGCCCGACCTGCTGCCGCCAATGGCGAATCGAAACCTGACACAGATTCCTCGCTGCCCACATTTGAGGACGAGGGCGACGTCGGCCGATTGAAGCAACAGTATGGCAGCAAAGTTGCAGTCATTAAAGAAATGTTCCCCGACTGGTCTGAAGTCGACATCCTCTATGCCTTGCAAGAGACCGATGGCGACGAAGACCTGACGGTCACCCGCATCTTTGACGGTAAGGATGACCCTCTCCCTTCCGTGTCTACGATGCAGATGCAGTTTTGCTTGCTCCTTCTTTCTTGTTTTCCTTTTCCTCCCCCGCCTTTCAATTCTGAGCTGTCTTCGGATTTGAATTGAGTCATAGCATCCTGCGTCAAGCAGTTCAGTACTAACACGTCCGTTCTCGTGACAGGGACCATCTCACAATGGGGTGAGGTCTCCAAGCAGAAGAAGGATCGCACGCGTCCTAAGGCAAAGGTCGATACCTTCACTACTACTACCGGCGACTCCGTTCCTGCGGGCGGCTCCCGAAACGCTCGAGGCGGCCGTGGTGCCGACCCCGGTCGTGGCCGTGGAAGAGCCACCGATCGTGGTGGTCGCGGCGGTGCGCGCGGCAAGTCGACCCTTGCCACAAGCAACGGTACTCGAACCAAGGACGCTCAACCCCTCTCAATCCCGACCGAGGAAGTATCCGAATGGAACACCAAGCCAGCTGAAGAGTCGGGCGGCTGGGGCGAACCTACTGAGACTGAGACGACGCCTGCCACGACAGCCACTGCTCCTACCACTGCACCCGCGGCTCCGAAACCCGCCACAATTCCCGAAGGCACAAAGACCACTTGGGCGAGCATGTTGAAACGGTCAACGGTCCCGAAGCCGGCACCGAAGCCGAAGGAGACCCCCAAGGGCCCCGAACCTGCCATTGAACTTCTTCCCCCTGCCGAGCGGGCCGAGCCTGAGCCCGAAGCTCCCGCGCCTGCTGAGGAGCCTGCTCCCGGGCCGGAGAATGAGACAGCTCCCGCCCCAGTCGTCGAATCCGTTGCCCCCGCGGTGCCCGTTATTCCGGCCGTGCCCGCGATTCCTGCTGTCGTCGTTCCTGAGGTTGCATTGCCGCCCTCAAAGGATCAACTTACCGAAAAGAATCTTGACCAGGTCAAGGACGACTCTCACCCTCCTGAGACGGAAACTGCTGCCAGCGAAGCTGCTGACTCCTGGGATCCCCGTGGCCCGGCGGCTAGCGCGACAGCCACCCCTCTCTCTGCTTCGCACCAGCAACACCAAGGCTCTCGAGCGGCCGCTGCGGCCAAGGCATCAGCTCGCACGCCTATCCACCATCCTCGGCGCATGCTTGATCAACTTGAAGCTGTCCGCATGCCCGGTAACCGAGATCAAATTGACCGCGCTGCGGTTCAGTTCGGTGCTTTCAGCCTGAACGGCCCCATCGATGACGATGTCGACGGCGATCGCGAAGAACCCCAGACCCGCCCCCAACCTCCCGAAGACTCCCCGGTTGCCCACCCCCGGACGTCTCTTCCTCCTGCCCAACCCACGCCCGTTCCCGATGCCTTCCCGGCCCAGAAGCAGGCCGCTGCTCAGATCCCCACAGGACCTGCTGGTATGGGTTTATACCTGCCCGCGAAGCCTTGGCCTTCAATTGCTGACCCATTTGCAGCCGTTACTCCTTCCGCACCTCAGGGGAACACCCCTTCTGCCCCGCAGGGTATGTCCTATGCTTCCCTTCCCGCTGCATATCTTGCCGATCATCGCCTAATCCTCCCGCCTGCAGCCACAGTACAGCCGCCTGCCGCGCAGAGCAATCAGCAATTCGGCCGGTTCGGCCAGCCGGCAGCGCAAGACTCCTCCTCATTCCCTACGACGAAGCCCTTCGAGCCATTTGGTCAGCAACCTGCCATCGCTTCGGCCGCCCAGAGTCAATTCGAGGGCGGTTTCCAGGCCCAGGGGCAAGCGGCTCAACCGCCTAGTCAGCAGCAGCCTGGCGGGCCCTTTAGCTCTGCCCCCGGCGAATTCTCGTCGTATTACACGGCCGATCATCAGAACCGCTTCAACAACTACTACAATCAGAACTTCGGCCAGCAGCAGGGCTCGCAGGGTCAGCAAGATGTCCTTCCCTCGCAGCCCCAGCGTTCCTTCAGCGGGTACAGTGCGCCTCAGAGCGATGCCCTCAGCCAGTACCCCCAGAGCGGTGCTCAGCACGGGCAGTCGCGCTTTGGCGGCAATACGCCCGCTGATTCGCAGATCACTGGCACGCCCACGCCTGGTCAGGCCACCAGCCAGGCCCCGAGTGCCCCGACCACGCAGGCCCAGACTCACACTCAACCTCACGACTACGCTTACAGCAGCCACCCATACTACCAGAATCCGTACTATTCCGCCTACATGAACTACGGAGGCTACAATCAGGGCGCTTACGGCGGCCCATACGGCAAGGGCGGCTTGAACTACCAGCCGAGCCAGTACGGCATCACCCCCCAGGGCCCTCATGCGTACTCGTCCCCCGCGGGAGCGTTCGGCCAATCTGCTTTGCATCGGGATAGCGGCGTCGGCCCCGGTCTGGGCGATTACGGCCGCGCTGGCTCTACTCAGTCAGGCCAGCAGGGTCTTGGTAGCGGATTCGGTGGTGTGCACGAGACGTTCGGCCGCGGCGGTTCCGCCTACCAGTCGCAAGCAGGACAGGCCTTCAACGCGCCCGGCTCGCAGCCCGGCTCTGTCCCGTCAGCCGCTGACGACCTGAAGCCGTTCGGCGATGCCAAGGCTGCTGGCGGACCAAGCCCTTCGCTGGGTGCCGCCGCTCGCCCGGGCTCTGCCGCCAATAACGGCCCGTCGCAAACCGGTCTTCCGCCTCCGCAGTCGAACCAACAGAGCAGCCTCGGCATGGGCGGCTATGGCTACCCCAGCCACATGCAGGGCCACGGCCTCCACGGCAGCCAGTCGGGCGCCGCCGGCGGTTATGGCATGAGCGCTAGCGGCGGCCAGAGCCACCAGACCACGTACGGAGCCGGCTACGGCGCCCAGGGCTTTGGTGGCAGCTATTACGGCAACCAGCCCCGGGGCTGGGGCAACAACTATCACTAGGGAGATGGCGGAGCTGGTCCCTGAGCCTTCAAGAGTCTGCTGAGTTTTGCTAGCTCGCGGGGAGACCATTCTTTCCGCGGCGGGGAAGAAGAAAGAAAAGAAAGTTCGGTTGGAGGATGAGTTCTAACACCCAAGAATGGGAACGCCGGATTTGTTACTTCCCATACACCCGCGAATTTTTTCGAGCCGTTGTGGTCAGTTCGCGCCTAGTTTGCGAGAAAAAAGCAAGCGAAGCTTTTTCCATAGGCGCAGAAGAAATCAAGTCGATGAGCTTTGACGTGAAAACGGGCTCTAACCCCTCACTCACCATCCTGGTTTTCCATCTCCCTCTGGTTTCGGTGTACGATTTTCCTCCAAAGGCAGTGGGCTTCATGAAATTCTGGGGAATCTGATATGTGTCGTGTGAATTGTGTCAACTGTTATTATGGTTGCCTGTGGCTGGTTTTGTCTGGGTTGGGTTGTCTCCTGGCATTCTTCGCTTTACTCCTTTTTTCAAAAGAATTGGTTGTTGCTGGGGACTAGTGGACAGGACGGGACAAGGGATAGTTGGTGTGTTGCGTAGGCAGGTCAAACAAAGTCTGATTGGGTGGTTGGGGCTGAATGATTGTGGTTATGGTCAATTCGGCAGGCAGCAGTCGTTTTTAACTGCTTGTGAAGTTTTTTGTTGCTCAGGGGCATCCTCTTATTGGGATGGCATATGGCCTGGCATGACATGACATGGACAGATTGGCCACCCTTGCTAGTTCTTTCTTGCTACACCATCCGGTACGGGCACGCGAAAAATGGGAAAACTCGGCTTTGAGCGCTGTGGTCTCTCTGGCTTGGTGTGTGCATTGTGCTCTCCTTTAAACTCGCTCACTCGTGTTGCTGCGTTGCGTTTCCGCCAGATGGCTTCATTTCGCCACCCAAGGGCATTTGCTTCGACGCGCTCATGCGGAAGGGGGAGAAATTGGGGAGGAGAAGGAGAGGGACTGAAACTGAAAAATAGGTGCTCAGGGATGCAGGCAACCTCGCATCGTCCTGGGCCGTGCCATCCACAAATGGCTTCAGGTCCGCCAACACAAGCTGACTCATTATTTACCAGGTTGTCTTGTCATCAGCACATCATATTTTCAAGACTTCCGTCTTTTGCTACTTAATATATCCATTCAAACCCCACAATGCCCGCCATCCCAACAAAAGAAATTAGAGGTTAGCATACGCCTTGAAAGCACCCAACAACCCGCCGGTCGAGGCATCGTGGCCTTGCCCGGCACCGGGCTCATCAATCTCCTTGAGGATCTTCTTGGCCAGCACCTTGCCGAGCTCGACGCCCCACTGGTCAAACGAGTTGATGTCCCACACGGCGCCTTCGGTGAAGGTGAGGTGCTCGTAGTAGACAATCAGAGCGCCCAACTCGGCCGGGCCGATGGCGCCGCCCACAAGAATGCTGGTCGTCGGCCTGTTGCCGAGGAAGACCTTGTGCGGGACAAGGTTGTCAGGCACGTTGCCCTCGGCGCGGACCTCGTCGGCCGTCTTGCCGACCATGAGGGCCTCGGCCTGGGCCAGGTAGTTGGAGGCGAGCATCTTTTGGTGCAGGTTGTCCGAGACGGGGTTGTGCGACTTGGCGGCGAGGATGAAGTCGGCCGGGATGAGCTTGGTGCCCTGGTGGACGAGCTGGAAGAAGGAGTGCTGGGCGTTGGTGCAGGGCTCGCCGAAGAGGATCGGGCCCGTCGTGTACTTGGCCGGGGAGCCGTCCGAGGTGATGGTCTTGCCGTTGGACTCCATCGAGAGCTGCTGGAGGTATGCTGGGAAGCGGTGCAGGTACTGGTCGAAGGGGGCAACGAGGTGGGTCTGGGCGTTGAAGAAGTTGGAGTACCAGACGGACAGCAGACCGGCGAGGACCGGGACGTTCTGGCGGAGAGGGGCGCTCCGGAAGTGGTTGTCCATGGCGTGGGCGCCGGCCAGGAACTTGCGGAAGTTGTCGTAGCCGATGTAGAGAGCGACGCTGAGGCCGATGGCGCTCCAGACCGAGTAGCGGCCGCCGACCCAGCTCTCGAAGCCAAACATGTTCTTGGCGTCGATGCCGAACTTGGTCACCTCGGTCTCGTTGGTGGAGAGGGCAACGAAGTGCTTGGCGATATCGCCCTTGCCGCCCGTCTTCTCAAGGAACCACGTCTTGGCCGTGTTCGCGTTGGTGGTGGTCTCGGCCGTGGTGAAGGTCTTGGAGGCGATCAGGAAGAGGGTCGTCTCAGGATCCGAGTTGGCGAGAGCCTCGGCGATGTGGGTGCCGTCGATGTTGGACACAAAGTGCAGCGTCATGTCCTTGGCGCCGTAGTGCTTGAGGGCCTCGGTAACCATGACCGGCCCGCTGCCAGCGAAAGTCAGCTTGAGCACCTGGCGAGAACAGACGGAGGAGAATGGCACTCACAGATCAGACCCGCCAATGCCAACGTTGATGATGGTGGTGAGCTTCTTGCCCGTGTAGCCCGTCCACTCACCGCTGCGGACTTGCTCCGAGAACTCGCGCATGTGGTTGAGGACGTCGTTGACGCCGCCCTGGGTGTTCATGACATCAACACCGTCGACCTTCATCTCGAGATTGCTGACATTGCGCAGGGCGGCATGGTAGACGGCGCGGTTCTCGGTGAAGTTGATCTTCTCGCCGGCGAACATGGCGTCGCGCTTCTTCTCGACGCCGGCTTCCTCGGCGAGCTTGACGAGCAGGCTCAGGGTTTCCTCGGTGACGAGGTTCTTGCTGAAGTCGAACAGGATCTCGGTGCCATTGGGCTCGGTCGAGATATCGGCAGGCAGGGTGACATTGGTCGAAAAGTTTTGGAAGCGGTTCTGATCGGCCTTGAAGGCGTCCTTGAGCACGAACGACTTGCCGACCTTGTCGTGGTGAGCCTGCAGCTCGGCCCATGCGGGGAGCGTATTTGCTGGGGCCATTGTGAAGTCAAGCTCCGAGCTGTGTTGCGACTCTTTTGGCGTCTTTTTTTTTTCTGCGGGATGAAAGGATAAAAAGGCCAGATGATGATGCCTGCTGCAGGACAGAATCGGTCAGAATGTGCGGGATGTGGAAGGCAGATCAGGAACTGCGCCGTCCAGACTGGGAGTGGGGTGGTTGATATGCTGTGTTAGTCGCGAGCTTGAGTGCCCCGCATGCGGGGACCTGGAAGAGCTGCGAAGGCCTGACTGTGATGACGTCCAGGCAGGAAGGGTGTGGTGTTGTTGGTTGCAGAGCACCTAAGGAAAGTAGACAGAGAACTTGCCAACCAAAAACGCTAGACTCTAAGAATTACGGCATGAATGGTCTGAGGTAGTCGCGAGCAGACTTTGTGGCTTATGAGGGGTTTTCATGAAAATGCAGAGAGCAACACATGCTCTCAACCACAGCATGCTTTGGGGGGACGTCGCCAATACTTTCTCCGATCTGGCCCACCTTCGCATCAAATGTGTCAAGCTCCTCGGGTGCTGCACTCCACCGCGGATTTAGCCAATTCGCTGTGCACGCTGAATAAGAGCCTCAAGTCAGCTAGCGCGGGGGGTTCCGAACGGGATCTGTCGGGGTATGGACGGGATAAATTGTACCGGGCGGCCTCGCAGCATCGAGTTTTGAGCAATGAGTGGATATCAAGAGGGCCGGGGAGGAGCGAACCGACTTCGGACGGACCAGCGCGGTTATGCGATCCAATGCAATCGCGATGCGGCTGCCAAGTCTCCGTTCTGTCGCCCTCTGCGCGGCTCATAGAGGAGGACCTGATTTGTCGTTTGAGTGAATGTGTTATACTTTCTTGAGTTGCCCAAAAAGAATAAAAGGACAGCCGAAGAAAGAGGTTCCAAACAGACAAAAACCCATTGACCATCCATGCCTGCCCCCAAAACGTGACAAGGAAATTTGAAATGTAGAAACGCTTCCCCCTTGAAAGCTCTCTTCGATTGCCATGACCACGCTGGCGCCGTCCCCGTTGTCTCACCTAAAATCCCGTCTCGAAAACAGTCCCGGCCGAATTCGCAAGCTCCCTTGGCAGTGGGCCCTGAGAGATGTGGTTGCGAGACGACCTCAACATCTCTGCCACGACATCCCCGGTTTGCCGACGGGTTTTTCGAGCAAAGCAACCGTTGTTACGTCGTCGATTCATCTCAGGCTGCCTTGAATGCTGCCCACGAATGACGGGTCTCGCACGCTGCCGCCAGCGTCTCCGAGGCCTGCGATAGGACGGTTGTAGCTGAACCCGGTGAACTGGTTCTGCAGCGTCTCGGACAGCATGGGCCCCTCGACGTATGAGTCTTGTGGCGGCTCCGAGGTGAATTCGGGGTCAAAATTGGCCGTGTCGAGCGCATCAGCCTGGAGAAAACAAGTCAGCACCAACCGTCACGCTGCTTTCGTTGACGACAGAAAACACTGCTACCTACCACGCTCGGTTTGAACGCAGGCTCATACTTGCGCTGCAAGAGCTTCCGCCAGTCGATGGCATGGAAGAAGGGGTGCGCCTTAATCTCTGCAGACCCGTTGGCCCCTAAACGCTGCTGCGGGTCGCGGTTCAGCAGCTTCGTCAACAGGTCCTTGGCTGCTGGCGGCACAATTTCGTGACCGGGGAAGTGCAGTGGCTCGCTGAGAATCTTGCGATACATCTCGTTAGTGTTCTCGTCGTAGAATGGCGGGAGGCCGGTCAGCATCTCATAGAGCAGCACGCCCAGCGTCCACCAGTCGACCGTCTTATTGTAACCATTGCCCATCAGCAGCTCCGGCGCCAGGTACTCGGGCGTCCCGCAGAACGTGTTGGTGCGGTCCTCGTCCTTCATGTCGAGCTTGCAGAGACCAAAGTCGCAGAGGGCGATGTGGCCCTGGTAGTCGAGCAGGATGTTCTCGGGCTTCAGGTCGCGGTAGATGACGTTGAAGCCATGGAGGCATTCGAGGGCGCAGAGCAGCTCGGCCGTGTAGAACCTACTGCGGTTCACATCGAATCGCTGCTCCTTTTGAAGGTGGTGAAAGAGCTCGCCGCCGTTGACAAAGGCCAGAACAAAGTAAAGCTTTTCTGGGCTCTGGAAGGTGAATTTAAGCGGCACAATGAAGGGGTTGTTGATCTGGGCCAGCACGGACCGCTCCGCCAGAGTGTGTGCCACTTCGGACCTCGAGATGATGTGGGCTTTCCGGATGGTCTTGAGCGCGTAAATTCGGTTCGTGTCCTTCTTGCGCACCTGCATGACCTTGCCAAAACTGCCCTTCCCAACCACCTTGAGCAGCTCAAAGTCCTCAATCTTTAGCTTGCCAGCCCGGTTCTCGACGTACTCGACGCCAATTTTGAGCTTGCCCGTGCCGTACTGAACGTCGACCCACTCGACACCACTATGGCCCAGGGCGCGCTCCCGGCTGGCGTGTTCGGCGGCAGCCTTCTCACGGTCCTTCTTGCTGGCTTTGGGATCTTCGACGAATGGCTGTCTCTCCTCGAACCGGGGGTTGATGCGAACAACGCCGAGAAAGATGTCTTGGCTGCGGCCGGACCCCGGTGGGGCATTGGGATTTCGCATGTAGAGATGCACGACCAGCTCGGTGACGCGGGAAACGTCGAACTTATATTGTGTGTTGGACCCGGCCCAGAGCGGGTTCTCGGGGGTGCCTTCGACCGAGTTGACAAAGACCTGTACTTTGTCGAAATCAATCAGGGCATAGGGCATATACTTGGTGGGGATGCGGCCGTGGTTCGTAGGGATGCCGCTGAATCCGCCCGAAGTCTGGGGGCGATTGCCCATAAATCCCGGTGTTCGAGACGAGGATGAGGGGCGAGTAGAGCCCGCCATGCTGAGGGCGTTCCCCGTAGAAAGAGAACTACCGGAATGGGACGATGCGAAGGCATTTCGGTGTTGCTCAGGGAGGGAGAATCCTTGGCCTTCGTGGAGGGTAATAACGAGGATGCCCGGTTTGGGTGTCTTGACAACGGGTGCTTGGGAGAGGGCTTCGGAGGCCGCTGGGGGAAGAGTCAGGACATGGCCGGTATGGCAAGAGCATTAATGGCCCATCATCTTCGTCACATACCAATCGTGCTCTCGTTTGTAGGAGTCGCTGTTCCAGAGATGGGCCCCTGGCTCTTGTCCTCCTTCTCTGTGATGGTCGATGTTGACGGGGATCGGGAGAATGTGCTCGTCAGGGGACCCAAATGGGTCTCTTTGAGTTCTAAAGCAGCATTTTTGTCAGTAAAGTCGCGTATGAAGAGGGGAGGCATAGCGGACTGCGCAGAGCACAGCGCAGACATGTGGAGAGGAATTCCAACACACTCTTGGTGAGTTTCCACGACATGGTGCAAATGAGGAGGGATCCGTCACCTGCGGATCACTTTGTCGATGTCGCAGGATGTTGCAAAGCCTAAAAACAGGCGGTAGCCCAAAACCGAGCGGGTAAGAGGAATAGTTAAGACAGGTAGCAAAGCGATGGTGAATACCAGCGAAGGACTGAGTCGCCGCCCAAGTTGGATCAGGTCGAGTCCAAAATGAGAGGTGACGGATCGGACGGACTGAGGTGCGGGAGGTTGTGGTTCCAGCCCAGACTAGGGACGCTAACTTCGAAACCGCGGCGGTGGACCGGGGCGTAACTGTGCCCACAGGCTGGGGCAGAGCAGACGTGGGGCTTTACCTGAGCAACCAAAAAGCCCCGCACAGGATGCGGTAAACAGCAGTCGGCTCCAAGCCCTCAGGGGCGCAACAGCCAGGCAATGGACCCGGGAACTGGGAACTCAGGTTGGAAACCTTTCCAACCCGGAACAGCCGGGGATGAAGCGCAAGTTGCAACAGGCGCAATGTCGGTTGTCCGCAAGCCAAGTATAGCAGCAACTGGGTGCCAGTTGGCGATTTCCACGAGATTGCCAAAGGGCGATTGCTTCCAACCAAAGCGGCAAGAAGCGCGCAGAGAGATTGGTGATGATGACACAGGGGACCGGTGCTCCGCAGTGTTACAGACAAGGGGAAGACGTTGCCTCAACCTCTGAAATGTGGAAGTCACCCATCTGCTGCATGCAGGAGAAAAAGCAAAGCGGCCTTGAGGATGGACAGTTCCCGTTGAATGCCTTGTCTTCAGCCTGCGTCTTTTTTTTCAAAGCCTCCACGAGATGGTCCACGTCCGTTCAGTTGGCCAGGAAGAATGTCCCCTCCGCAAGAGATTGACTACGCGGTAAGATACAGGTCGGTTAGCCCCGCATCGTGTTCCACGACACTGAGGCAGCGGGAGCGGGAGGCGTTGCCGAGGGGAGAGTTGACGACATCAAGCCACGCGGACAATTGCGGCACAGCCTCAGGATGGCAAAATGGCCCCCTTCCCCATGAAACTTGGGGCCTTGTTAACGAGGCTGAAGGGTCAGGGGGCAAACCAAAAAAAGGGGTTCCAGAAGCTCCGCCCCTGTTTGAGTGCGCTTGGGCCTCGGGCCCCTTTCAGGCAAATGTAGGTATGTAATCAATGAATGATTGGCAGCCGATCGCCATCTCCAAGTTACTGCTGCTGCCCTCTCATCCTCCAACTCATTTAATATTTTGATACTATGCGAGCAGGGTAGCTATTATCAAATACAGTCAGCACCTCTCCGACCAATGTTTTTGGGCTTGGGAACTCGACGTTGAGTCCTATGTAGGACTAGGTACGGGCAGTGTACCGTAATGGGGAAATGCACCAGGCGGGTATGATACTTCGCATTCCAGGGATACAATCTGCCGTTGACGCATTCCAGGGATACAATCTGCCGTTGATGTGTCAACTAGCATTCCCACCGCAAGTAGCATTCCCAGCACAACTAGCGTTCCAAGCGCTCCGCTCTCTGATTGGCTGGTAATTCTTTCGGTCATGCTCAATCCGGCTGGTCGATCAAACTGTGGCAATTGGCGCTAGTGTAAGCCACTGTAAGCTACCTAAGCCACTGTTCGCGGACGATGACAACTCACCATACCTAATCCCTTTTGAACAACGCACAAATGCTGGACATGAAGATACAAAACGAGGAATTGAGTCTTCTCTTTTTCTTACTGTTCTTAGTAAGACATCATCTAACGCTAACGTTATTCTTAAACACACATTATATACTGCCACTGGCATCAATCGGATGCGGCGATACAAGCAGAAACCCGGCGGAGGGTGACACACACCGGAGTCGGCTCGATCATCCATCAGGAGGACCACATCAGTCATTCCAGTTTCTCGGCCCGCTCTCCTCCGAGCCCGCCAGCCGATTTGAAGCAGGATACCACTGGCTGCAGTCTGCGGTAAGCTGGGCAGTATCTTGATCGGTCAGCTTGCTACATTGTTTTCAGATATCGATACAGTTCAGTAGCATCTTTGCCACGGAATCCCCATTCCTGTTCTCATGGTCATGCTACATGCCTGTAGTCACTGTTCTCATAATTGTATCATAGGCATGTGCTCCAGCATATAGGTCTGGTTGCACGCCCGTTCCTGTCATCTAGCTCTTGCTCTCTTCGTAGGAATATTGATCTTGTATGTGCGAGCTGACCAGACCTTGGGTGGTGCCCGTCACAATCTTTAAGACCTCTCTCTAC